TGTGGGACTCTCTCGCTGCCTTGCCCTCCCTCTCTCAGGGATTGGGCTTCCTCACCCTGGCCTCCCAAGCCCTGATACTGGCTGAAATGGCCTTTCTTGGAAGACCGACCAGGCCTGGGGGCTACAGGGAGCCCCTGAAGCTCTGGCTCAGCACCTGTGAGGTGCCTGGGCCTTGTCCCTCTCAAGCTCTAGGCTACCTCTGTCTCATCCTGAAACCCCCTCACACTCCTCCCCTGGAGAGCCACATCCTAGGGCCTGCTACTGGAAACAAGAGCCCCTCCTTTCCCCCTTGGTGACTGTGAGCCCTTCCCCCTTGCCCAAGATCTCCAAACTCAGGCAAGTTTCCTGGGTTCATCAGAACCTGTGCTCTGGCACATTCCCAGGGCCAAAATCTCACACTCCCCTTTGTTTCTCCTGCTAGAGATCCAGGCTTCTTCCCCACTCCTCCCCCAAGGCCCATCAGCAGAGCGCAGATACTTAGGTCCCCACTCTACGGTCTCCTAGGACCTTGGAAAGTTCTGGCTGCCAGGCGTGGTGAGAACTCACCTGGCAAGGTCCAGGCAGTGGTGGCTGCCTTTGCTCTGAGATCACCGCATGTCCTGGGTCCAAGGACCCCCGGAGGGACTGTGGCTGAGGCGGCGGGAGGCACTCATCATAGGCAGAGAGATGGCTGAAATGAGGCGTCGGAGGCAGAACTGGCTGGGCCACCTGCCCTAGGCACGAGGCAGGCCACACCCACCAGCCATAGCTGCAGCGCCTGCCCACCCACATGCCCTGCCTGAGTCACCCCCACACCCACAGGGCAGCCCAGCCTAGGAGACAGCAGGAGAGGCAGCAGGTGCCAAGGCCAAAGTTTTGGTCCCAACTCTTCTCTCTTGTATTTGATGCTTCCCATCACGGGCCCCAGTTTCCCAGCTGGGAAATTGGAATTACAATACCTACATCACAAGGATGCCGTGAAGAGTCAAAGAGGTCATGCTGGTGGGAGAGCCTAATGAGTGGTCGAGTGCTCTGCCCAGAGCCTTAGGAGGAAAGGCCACAGCTGAGCACCAGCCTGGTTGATCCCAAGGTCCCAAGACTTGGTGATCTGTCCTTCAATGTCTGGGATCAGATCCTTTTAGAGACAAAGGAAGTCCCCATTCAAAGCTTACCACCAGAAATTACACACTTCCGACCTTGGTGACAGACAGCCTTTCTGGCTGTCTTTCTGGCTATATGACCTTGAGCAAGTCTTTTCACCCATTTCCTGTCTGTGAAATGTGCATAATAAATCTACCTTGCAGAATTACTTAAGAAAACTCATAGGAAGGACTTGAACAAAGACCAGAGTACAGAAAGAACTCAATAAACAGTGACAGTTATTAATTCTTCCTAGTTTTATCATCCCAGTCCATTCTCCAAGCAAACACCTGGGCCACCTGTCTCCAGGTCAGACTTCCCCACAGATGGGGAGGATTCTGTGCCCTCCCTCCTCACCCAGCTGTGGCTGTGACAGAGGCAGGCAAGGCTGGGTAGCCCTGACTGTCTCTTGTCACTCAGGAATTGCACACCTGTTCCCTCCGGCAGGACAGGACAGGACAGGACAGGACAGGGAGGTAGCAGGAAGTCTTGCTGAGAGGGATGGCACCTATGACTGATGAGGCAGGGATTTCCCCAACTGCCATCTCTCATCCCATCCCTCATCACCACAACCTGCCAGGCCTGGGGAGAAGCAAGAGGCAGGCTCAGGCTTCTGCCTGTGGGGCAGCTGGACCTGTGGCCAGTAAGGGACAGGAAACCTGGTTTCAGGACCAACAGGCTTTATTATTTTTTTTAAAGATTTTATGTATTTATTCATGAGAGAGAGAAAGAGAAAGAGGCAGAGACACAGGCAGAGGGAGAAGCAGGCTCCATGCGGGGAGCCAGATGTGGGACTCAATCCTGGGACCCTAGGATCACATCCTGAGCTGAGGGTGGACGCTCAACCGCTGAGCCACCCAGGCATCCCAGGGCCAATAGGCTTTCATGTGGGTGAAGTAGGGGCTACTTTTGCAATTTTATATCAAGGGGTCCAGGAGTTCCCACAAACATCGCCTGGAACTCCTTCACGAAAGACTGACCTTGGATCAATCATAGTCTTCCCCCTAACAATTAATTTCCCCTTCTGACTCAGCTCCTTGTCCTTCTTGGCTGGCTTCTTGCTGCCTCAGAACCCTAGGGATGAGACTATTGCCACATTTCAGTGTTTACATTTTGCCTGGTGTTAGCACTTTTTATCAAAGTGCTCAGGCTGGAACTGCTCTAAAGGCCCCTGACCTCTACCCACAGGCACCTGCTGTGCCCAGCAAGGAGTAAGAGGAGCCCCCTCTGCTGTGCCTGAGGCAGGGAAGCAAGGGCCAGCGTAGGATTCAGAACTGGAGAAAGGGGTCTCTTAGGAAAACTGTGGGCCACACAGGACACAGGCTCAGGCGGGAACCATGACCCCCCAAGTGAGTGGTAAGGACAAAAAGGGCTCAGGCCACTGAGGTGGAAGGATATCCCCCCCCACGGGGGAAGCGAGGGATGGGCCGAGGGAAGGGAGAGCCTTTGGGCTGGACTTGGGCTGAGGGAGGACAGTGTGCGCACTGAGTGGAGAGGCAGGAGCGGGCCTGGGAGGCGAGAGATCCGGGCACGTTCGAGGAGTGGTGCCGAACATTGTTGGCAGGGGTCAGACAGGAACTGCAGGTTGGGCCCCAAGCCACTGAGTCAGACCTGACCCTTTCATCACAGGAGCCTACACTGGTCCAGCCTCACGGGGCACACAGTCCTCTGGAAGATGCTGCCACCCACCTGCTCAGGCAGGGGACCGACCCCGCTGAACGGAGGCATCAGGCATCCGCCTGGGCTCGAACCAAAGGCAACATTCCAGGCCGTGGAAACCCTGGCTGCACTCGCCAGGGGCTACAGGAGAAGCTGATTCCCGCCCCCCCCCCCCATGTTGGGGACCCACACAGCACAGTGGCAGGAGCAGGGAGCCTGGAGTCTGGTCTTCTCCTCCCAAGCCTGGAACCCCTTCGAAGCCTGCATCGCCCACTCAGCCGTGACCGCCACATGGGTGACTTTGGAGTCACAGCTGCATCAATGCCCAGATACCCAGAAGGACCAACAAACTGCCCCCCGCAATCTGGCTTCTCATTCCCAGGAGCAGCCAAGGGCCATGCTCTGCCCACCCTCCACTGAGGACTTCAACTCCTTCCATGACAGCGCTCTGAACAAGTAGAGCCAAATAAAAACCAACAGTGACAGAAGGGACCTTTTAAATGGGCTTTGTGTGCAGAGCAAAGCCCCCGAAGGCAGATGCAGCCCAGCCCAGGTGGGATGTGGCAGTGAGAGGGAAAGGGCAGCCGCTGGGTATTCCCGCCCCAACCCCAACCCTGCTTCCTGGAAGCCTGGATTTTAGACAGCCCCTAGACATCTGCCAACATACCCTATCTGGACCCCCATCTCACCAGACTGGGGTCAGGGTCTGTCCACCCTGGACTGTAAAACACCCAACAGAGGACATACCAGGCAGGGGTCAAGCACACTTTCACCTCCTCCCTGCACCTTCCAAGCCCTGCAGGCAGCTGGTCCTGCTGGCAGGTGCATAAGCTCTCCCTCCAAGAAAGAGGAGGAAGAGAAGTGGTCTCTGTAGGGTGAGTGCACACAGGGATGGGCCGACCCCTTGACCTGCCTAGGGAATGCCCCAACTTGGTGCAGTGAACAAGGAGGAAGGACTGGGAGCCAGGCATAGCTCCATCCATAGCCTCTCGCCTGGCAGATCCACCCTGACAGTGGTCAGGAGAGGCTCTGTCTGCATCCTGGCATCCTCCCCATCGGGGATGATGGCTTGTGGCTCATCCTGCCTCCAGGTGATGGAGGGAAGGACATGAGGAGAGAGAGAGAGAAATAAAGATTCAGTGACAGATAAAAGGGCAAAGAACAGGCTACTTACATGTGTGACCTTCTTTAAACAACCCAGGTTTACACAAAAGGTTATGATCATCATTCATTTTATTTTTTTTTTTAAATTCTTTTTTTTTTTTAAATTTTTATTTATTTATGATAGTCACACATAGAGAGAGAGAGAGAGAGAGAGAGAGAGAGAGAGAGAGGCAGAGACACAGGCAGAGGGAGAAGCAGGCTCCATGCACCCGGAGCCCGACGTGGGACTCGATCCCGGGTCTCCAGGATCGCGCCCTGGGCCGGCGGCAGGCGCCAAACCGCTGCGCCACCCAGGGATCCCCTCATCATTCATTTTAGAAAAGAACATCCACAACACTAAGGAGAGCACTTGATGGAATGAGTACTGGGTGTTATACTATATGTTGGAAAGTTGAATTTAAATTAAAAATAGGGCAGCCTGGGTGGCACAGCGGTTTAAGCGCTGCCTTCAACCTGGGGTGTGATCCTGGAGACCCGGGATGGAGTCCCACATCTGGCTCCCTGCATGGAGCCTGCTTCTCCCTCTGCCGGTCTCTGCCTGCCTCTCTCTCTCTCTCTCTCTCTCTGTGTGTGTGTGTGTGTGTGTGTGAGTGTCTCTCTCATGAATAAATGAAATCTTTAAAAAAAAAATTAAAAGAACACCCACAAGATTCCTTCCAGCTCTAAGTAAGTTTGAAGGTTGACCCAATTTGAAGAAACTTGCAAATATCTGACATCTACATGACCCTTTTGGAAGAGGGCCTATAGGAAAAGGGAGGGCCCACAACAGGAAGCAAAAGCCCTCGTGTCTCTGTTTCCCAAGGAGGGACTGGCATGTCCCAGCCCATTTTTCTGCCAGATAGCTTGGCACCATGGTTAAGTTCCAGGCTTTAGAGTCAGACTGTCTGGGGTCAGACCCAGGCAACGGTTTTTATTGGCTGTGTAACCTTACTAACTATCCTAGACTCAGTAGTATATACACACACACAGATCACAGAGTCCACTAGCTATGCTAGCCCAATGACTGGCACAAAGTTCACACTTATTATGATACTTATATATTTATTTATTTACTTACTTACTCATTTATTTGATGGATGACAGGTGGGATGGAGGTAGAAGTATGTACCACTACAGGGGAGTGGGACTATGGTCACTACAAATGGAAGATCATTAAAAAATTCTTGCCACATGCTTTTGAGACATGGTTCTGTACTTTTATCTGAACAGCAATAGAGTTAATGTTTTTGGAACTGTGAAGTATCACACAGAAGGAAGAAGTCACTCTGGAAAAACCTGATTCTGGCAGAGCAGGAATAGGGCCAGCCTCCCCCACCTTCTCTGACAAATAAATGACATCACCCCCAGACCACTCTGTTCAGGGGAGGTAATTAAACACAATACAGAGAACAGCTTCAACATTTTACATCAAAGGACATGCTTTGTTCTAAGAAGTGTTTTCCTGGGCCTCATTTGCTTTTACTCAGTAAAATAAAGCAGGGGTATCACATATGTCCACACAAAGGTTCATCATTCATGATACTTAACAAAGTCAGTAAAAAGATGAGAGCAAAATCCTTTCCTGGTGGGAGACTCACTTGCAGACAGTGGGGGGTATGAAGACTATCTCTTCCCATGCATCACCAATGCTTCACATAGCTTGTCCAGATCAGGCAAGGAAAGTGCCTAGGCAGGCACAGACCAGGCCAGGCTGCTGAGAGTGCCCTATTGTTCCCTACACAGCCCCTCGGCAGCAGTGGGATATTCTGAGGCCCAACAATGTTAAGAGAACCCTAGACAGGTCCCTCACTTCTCCCCTAAACCAACAGGATCCTTGAAGATCTCAGCATCTTCTGGTTTGAGGGACCCTGCAAAGTGCCTCAGATGAACTTCCTCCGGTTGGGCAGGGTGCCTTTCCCTTGTACTTGCATCTCTTAAAAGGGGAACCAGGGAAAAGTTCTTCCAGTTTCTTCCTGAAACTGAAGGGTAAAATACCATTACTGCCTTGGATGCAGCCAGCAGGAATAAACACTTATTTGTTGGCCTTACCAACTTGTTGGTCTCTTAAAAGGAGACCCAGACATGTTAGTGCTTCCTAAGGTACATGGAGAGGTGCCATTTCCTCTTCCCTTGCCTGCTTAAGGAGCCTCATCCACTCTGGAGGATCCTAAATGCTATTCCTTCACCTCACCCTGACTTGCAGGGGCCTCATGAGAATCTCTTGCTTGCCTATCTCAGTCTCCATTTCCCCCCTGCCCACATGGGAGGGAGAGTAGGGGCCCCCATGGTATCTTCACATCAGGTCAGCTGTAGGGTGATGAACACCAGACAAAGAATCAGGACTTGGGGACCAGGCCCCACCCGGGCATAGAAGATAGGGAACAATGCCAAGGAAACCATGGTGACACTAGGCCTTGTGGTATATAGATAGATAGATATAGATAGATAGATAGATAGATAGATAGATAGATAGATAGATAGAGATAGATATAGATATAGATACAGATATAGATATATTGGCTCTCATGTGTGGGCAAGGAACTCCCTAAGAGAACCCAGGTGTCACCCCCATGGCCATCTTCAGCTTCCCAGCCACCTAGGCAAAATGACAACCAAGAGGGAAAGCTGCACATGTTCTCCTCCCACTCCCAGAGTCCCGGTCAGCCAAGTCCTCTTTGGCTACACCAGGTCTAATCTCTCTGGAAAACCAGCTTAAATTTATACCTCTCACTCTCAGGCCATGATTCAGACTCCTCTGCTAGTATCTAACACTGACCATGTGTCAAATGCATCAGGAATATGGGAGACTGAGCCCATCATGACCACTCCAGCTGAATTCTCCCGGTCTTGGTGTTTGCCCCAGGCCTACAGGCTGACACTGGCCTGCCCCCAAACACAGTCTGATAGCAATTATCAACCGCCCAAGGAGGATCCGTTGAAGCAGGATTTCATGGGGATATGAGCCAGGCCTCTTAAAGACACAATCTTCTAACTGGCTCAGTGTTGGGGACACTCAGCCTCAGAGATTGCTAGGCTCAGCTCCAGCCCAAATGCCCTCAAAGGAGGCATGGGGCTCCCTGTGCCCACTTCCCACAATCCTGATGCCAAGATTCCCTTGAGTGCTCTGCCTAGCTTAGCTACTAACTGTTTCTTCCTTGGCCTGTCTCTCATGAATTCCTTCATTCTTTTTCAGTCATACACATGGTGTGGGTGGGAGAGTTCCTTGTTATCTGAATTATATGACTAGTCATTACTAAGGTGTCCACTGTTACAAAGTTGTACAAAAAACAAAATCCTCAGGAAATACTCACTAATTAATTATAAATGTAAAATCATGGAACCTCATGATTAGACATCTCCTACACCAACCCACGTAACATGAATGTGTGTATCTCCTAGTTGGTCAATATACTTATTATTATCACAGTGAATGTGCAATGTTATAAACAGCCAACAATGTCATGCAAACACAATGCAAATCAACTGCAAAGTAAAACAGCAAATCTTTAAATGATGTGAAGTTTCATGAAATCAGTAAGAAAGATGTTAGAAAACTGCTCAAATTATAGGCAAAGCCATCTCTGAGTGGCTCTGTAGCAAAGTTAGACCAGTAAAATTTGAAGAGATAATAAGTATCATGACATGACACAGGAAGTGCTTTCAATGAAAGTCGTGGGAAAATTATAGGATTACAGGAGGCTCTTGATAAAACAGATTTCTACTTCCAGCCCTGATGGAGTATCTAATATTGGGTGACCCACTATGCTCTAAACAACCATAAAACAGGACAAAATACATGCAGTAAATGTTTTCAGGCATAGGACACAGACTAAAAACTGCAATTGCTGACAGAAGTGAAATTCACAAAGTGAGCCCCATGATTGCCCTGATGCTTTGCTTAAGGAAAATTTCTCTGAGTATGCTATAGTAAGCTGGAGTACAAGCAGAGCATGGCAGTGCCTCTGACCTAAGGAAGGAGAGATCAGAATTTTGGGTAGCTGAAACAACTAGAATCTGTGAGACAGGCACAGAAGAGGAAGAAGAAAGTGGGATGGAGGTCTAGAAGTCTCTGGGCTTGGGGCTTGACTGTACTTGCACAATCTGAGACTGCATAAGGCTTATCAGACTGTGACCACTATAGGAATAAAGGTTAGATAGAAACCCTAGAAGCTGAGCAGTACTGAGTGGAGAGACCTCCTTACCTTTTCTCTACTCCAAGGATCAAGCTAAAAATACCAGAAATGCCCTACTTACTCTATGTACCCTATAGTAAGGTCTATGAGGGATCCACCCCAACAAAGCCTAAAATCAAGCCCTGAAAAGATCCTTAGTGGAAACAGGTTAGAGGTTGAGTCCCAAAAGTTTTATGGAATTGGCAAATACTTTGGCATTTCACATATCTACCATAATAAAGTTTAAAACTAAGCCTATACAAGTTTAGAGTGATTAATCAATAATTGAACTGCCAACTAAAAAATTCAATCCAGGATATCTACAACATATTATCCACAATGCCCAGTATACAATTAAAAGTTACTAGACATGCAAAGAAACAGAGAAATGTAACTCACAATAAGAGAGGAGGAAAAGCAGTCAATAGAAACTGTCCCCAAGATGGCCAGATGTTGGATTTAGCAGAAATTTAAATCAGCTATTATCAACATGTTAAAAAAAAAAAGGAAAATAGGATCTTGATGAGAGCACAGCTAGAGAATCTCAGTACAGAAATGAAAACTATAAAAAAATATAGGAATTCAAAAACCAAATAGTATAATACTTGAAATGGAATAGTCACTAGGTGAGCTTAATACTAGTTTGGAGATGTCTAAGGATAGGATCAGTGAACTTGAAGACAAAACAATAAAATTACCAAATTTGAGAAACAGAGAGAAAAAACATCAAGGAAAAATAAACAAAGCCTCAGAAACCTGTGGGACAATATCAAATGATCTAAAATACATGTAGAGGCACTTGGGTGGCTCAGTCAGTTGAGCACCCACCTCTTGATTTTGGCTAAGGTCACAATCTTGGGGTCCTGGGATCAAGCTCTGCATCAGGCTTCATGCTCAGCAGGGAGTCTGCTTGAGGATTTTCTCTCTCTCCTTCTGCCCCTCCCCTGCTTGCTTTCACTCTCTCTCAAATAAACAAATAAAGTTTAAATAAAATAAATTAAATAAAATACATGTGACTGGAGTCCCAAAAAAAGAAGATAGGGAGAATAAAACAAAATATATATAGTTCCCCAATTTGATGAAATGCTGATATACAGATCTAAGAATCTAAGGCAAACCCTAAACAGGATAAAACCAAGAAAATCAAACCTAAGTACATTTTAGTCAGACTGCTGAAAAACAAAAGTGAAGAGAATATTTTGAAAGCAGCCAGAGAAAAAAAGATAAAGTACATACAGGAATTCAAATAAATAGGCACCATTTCATCCATTCAAAAACAATGGCGGCCAGAAGATAATGGGAAAAAATAGTGTTGGAAAATTTTCTTTAAAAGAAAAAAAAAATCTGTTAACCCAGAATTCTTTATTCAGTGAAAATATCCTTCAAATATGAGAATGAAATTTACATTTTCAGGTAAATGGAAGCTGGCATCAAACTGATTGACAGTGATAGAAATTAGATAAGTAGTTACCCAGATGATTGCAAGGAGGCATTAGAGTACTTCGTGGCACAATGGAAATGTTCTATATCTTGAGTGGGGTGGTGGTTGCCTGAGTGCACATTTGCCAAAACTAACCAAACTATACATTTAAAACGTGTACATTTTGTTGTATGTAAATTATACCTCAATAAACTATTAAGTTTATAAAACATAAAAAAATGAGTTTCTCTAAGAAGCAATATCAAATATGAAAGATGCAGTATTATGCTGTCAGGCAGGTTGATCTGAAAAATTGTGCCCCTTCCCCAACCCACCAAAAAAAAAAAAATCCCAAACTGTCAACACCTGATTCATTTTTTGTTCAAGAATTAGTAACATCAGCAAAATGGTAAAGTAGGTCACTCCCAAAACCTAGGCCTCAACAAAAACATCCAAAAAACAGAAAATTTGAAACCAATGTTGTTTCAACTCTGGGAAATAGTCCAACATTTATAGCAACCAAGCAAATGCTGAATCATTTTTAAAAATCAATGTAAAAGTGATAAGGAACTAAAACTATAGAACTCTTACCAAAAAACATAGGAGAAAACTTTCAAGATATTGATTTGGTGATAATTTCTTAAATGTTACAACAAAAGAATAAGCAACAAAAGGAAAGAATAGATAAATTGAGCTTCATCAAAATAAAAACTTTCACATCAAAGGACAAGTCACAGAATAGAAGAAAACACTGGCAGATGATATACCTGATAAAGGATTAATATCCAGAATGTATAAAGAACTTTTATAACTCAACAACAGGAACAAAACAAATATTTAAATGAGCAGAGAGCTCAAATAGGCATTTCTCCAAGGAATATTTATAATGACAAATGAGCATATGAAAAAATGTTCAAAATCATTACTCATTAGGGAAATGAAAATCAAAAACACAATGAGATACTGATTCACATCCATTAGGATGGCTAAAACAACTACCACCACTGCAACAAAAACCCAGAAAATAGCAAGTGTTGGTGAGGATGTGGAACCCTCAAACCCAGAAAATAGCAAGTGTTGGTGAGGATGTGGAACCCTCATGTATTGCTGGTGGGAATATGCAGTAATGTAGCTGCTAGAAAACAGTTTGGCAGTTCCTTAAAAAGTTAAAAATAGAATTGCCATATGACTCAGCAGTTTCATTTCTATCCCAAAAAACTGAAGAAGGGCACTTGGGTGGCTCAGTCAGGTAAATATCTGACTCTTGATTTCAGCTCAGGTCATGACATCAGGGTCATGAGATTGAGCCCCACACTGTCAGGCTCCATGCTGGGTGTAGAACCTGCTTAAGATTTTCTCCCTCTGCCCCACCTCAACTCTGCCTCTCTATGAATAAATAAATAGTTTAAAAAAGAACTGAAGGAAAAAAGTCAAACAGAATCTTGTACATCAATGTTTATAGCATTATTCATAATACCCAAAAAGGTGGACACAATCCTAATGTTGATTGAACAGATGAAATGGATAAATAAAATATGATATATACCTACAATGGAATATTTTTGAGCCAGACATAAAAGGTGTGTTCCATTTATGTGAGGTATTTATCCTAGGCAAACTCACAGAGACAGAAAGTAGAATAGAAGTTACCAGAGGCTGGAGGAGGGAGAAATAGGAGTAATTGTTCAATAGGTACAGAATTTCTGTTTGAAATATTGAAAATGTTTTGGAAATAGTAGCGAAGTTTGCATAGTATTGTGGATGTAATTAATACCAATGAATTGTACACTTAAAAATGGTTAAAATGGCAACTTTTGTATTATATATATTTTAGCACCATTTTCTAAAAGCTAAAAAGAAATAATAGTGCAGAATTATAATTACAACTCAAAATGTATTCAATTCAAACTAGGTTTGCTTCATTTTTAAGTAAATGTTCTCAATTAGACCTTTAATTTAACATATACTACTAGATGTTTACCATTAACTAATAAAGGACCTTTTTTCTGGTAGCGATTTTCTGCAGAGCATTTCTGCTTTATGATATACTCGTTACTCTTCCCATTCTTCCTCTGCCAGCTGGATGCATTCATGAAGGTGAGATTTTGCCAATACCTGCTTGTGTCCATAAGCCTCACAGAGCTGAATGTAGACACTGAGTATGAGGAATGGGAAGAGGAGACAGGGCAGCCCACAATGAGGCCAGCTGTCTCAGATGGCTGTGTATGAGATGGACTGCTTCCACTGGGGCACTTGAGGACAGATGCCTGGACCAGGGTGCTGGCGGAGCTGGTGAACATGGGCATGTGGGTCAGTCAGCTGTACAGAAATGTGTGAGAGTACACAAGAGTGCCTGTGATTGAGTATGTGCAGGTGGTTGGCCCTCTTCCAGCATCCAGGCTGTGGGGTGAAGAGGTCCAGCAAGGAGCAAGGAATCCCAAGGCTTTACCTGCCCAACATCAGGCCACCTCCATGCCACATCACCCTTCCCTCACACCTCACCTCTGCCTGACCGCAGGGAGAAGCTCAGGGTGCGCTTGATGCCCTCACAGTTCCCGGGGTCTTCATTGATGATACCTACATTGGTGTTCCAAGTGGTCCAGTTGACCTCATCCACCCTGCAGGGCAAGGAGACAAGGGAGCTGATGGCCTAAAAGCCATGCCTAGCTTCCCACATTGCCACAAGTCAATCCCAAAAAGCCCATAGACCAGGATGGGGAGACATAGCTGATGGAGGGTTGTAAGGGTCCTGCATTTTGGACACCACCCTCAAAGCTGTGTTCTCTGACCACATCATAAGGCCCAGGGACTTTAAATGCTGTATCCTTGGTTCTGACCCTGATCACTAGATGACCCCTTTTGGACACCTCATTTTCCAATAGGTTTCCTATGCCCACATTAAGTCCTTGATGCCTGCAGCTGAGCCTCAGGGTAGCCCCTGTACCTACCTACAGCTGCCTTGGGAGAGTCCCCTATGTTCATGACTCATCCCAGGAGGCCCTTAGGCAGGTTTCTGTATCCACAGCTAACTCCAGGTGAGTTCCCTATGCCCACAAAGTCCCAGAATGTCCTCTGTACCCATAGCTGGCTCTGGGTAGATCCCTGATACCTACAGCTAAGCTCCTGAGCTCCCTTAGTTTGATTTCCTGCCTGGGCATTACCTGAAACACCACCTGTAGTCATCCTTGCCGTCAGGTGTATACCCCACCTGCAACAGCTTGCCTGAGCGGAAGGCCTTCCTCATACACTTAAGGAAGCTCTTCTCCGTGTCCAGGATGGTGATAGCTCTCTGTGAGAGGGCAGAGAGACAGAGGGCTTAGCCAGGGGCTGCCCTTGGCTGCCAGCAGGGCTTCCAAGATCAGCCTCTCCAGAGTTTCTCCCAGCCCCAGTGCCCCCAAGCTGGACCTCTAGCACCTTCTACATCAGGCTTGTTTCCCAGCAAGTACACTGTAGCCCAGCAGGTATACACTCCAAGCTCAGCCCATCCAGCCCAGACCTGCCCAGGCACTGCTGGTGCCTGCCAGGTTGGGTTGGGGCAGGGCCTCCCATGAGTGATGTGGAGTGTCCAGCCCCAGACTCTTCCCTGAAGTGCCCACAGAGGGGCAGATAGTATAGTTGTTAAGAGCAGGATCACAAATGGGACTACTTGGCTTGAATCCTGATTGTGCTACTTCCTGCAGATAGTCCCCAACTTAAAATGGTTCAACTTAATGATTTTCAATTTTACGATCATGCAAAAGTAATATGGGTTCAGCAGAAACCATACTTCAAGATTCGAGTGTGGATCTTTTCTCAGGCTAGCAAAATATGGTACAATCCTATTGCATGACTGGACTGGGAACTCCCAGTTCAGTCATGCGATCACAAGGTTCAACAACCAGTACACTTAGAACCACTCTGTACCCATACAACCATTCTGTTTTTCACTTTTATTATAGTATTCAACACATTTCTTGAGATATCCAATACCTTATTATAAATAGGCTTTGTGTTAGATGATTTTGCCTAACTGTAGGCTAATGTTAATATTCTAAGCACATTTAAAGTAGGCTGGGCTATGCTGTGATATTCAGGAGGTTCAGTGTATTGAATATATTTTTAAATTACAGTGGTTTATTGGGATCTAATCCCACTGTAAGTTGAGGAAGATCTGTAGTTAACTTGAACATGGATACCTAACTTCTCTACACATCAGTGCCTTTATTTAAAAAATGAGAATAGTAACTGTAGCCACTTGATAGTATTGTTGTGAGAATTAAATGAGAGCATTAAAACACTTAGAACAATACCGCGTATAGAGTTAATGTTACTTAATAAGAATGATAATTTTATTACTGTGCTAGTAATAAAAGGTAGATGTGGACTAGATGGCTAAAAATGCAGCTGTTAGGGCTCATCCCATTTTAGCTTCTCCCCTAAGTCTGGTTTCTGATGTCCATTCTAGACCAAGCTCCTGTGAGGTGGGTACCACATGGGGCTGAGCCCTCCGTCTCCTGCCCCTGGGGACTGCCCAGCCACAGGAAACACAATGTCTATGAACACTAATTGATGATGCTTGGGAGGGAAACACTGCAGGAGAGGTCAGAAGAAAGTCAACTAGGGGAGATGCTGCTGCTTGATCCCCCAGGACTGACTGTGCTCTCTGCCCTTCCTCAAACCCTATAGGGTTTCATATACCCAGCTGTGTTAAGCAGCAGACACAGCAGTTGACACCCTCTTGCTACACTTACCTGTAGCTTCCATATGTTCTTGCTCTCCTGTGCGATCTTGTTGACAGTCTCACCCATGAGGGCAATGAGCATGTTGAGTAGAAGGATATAGGTGAGAATCACGTAGGCCAGCAATAAGATGATGAAGACAGCCTTGAAGTCATAGTTCTCGGTGAACTCCAGGTCGCCCATACCGATGGTAAACTTGAAGAGCTCCAGACACGTGGAGTACAGGCTATTGTAGGAGCTGTCAGGTGGCCGGCAGCCAGGCCCTCGCCACCTATGCAATGTGGACTCAGTCGGCACAGAGTTATTCTTCCCATCCTCAATCAGTGTCACCACCGCTATAGGGCATGGGGAGGGACAAGTGCAGCTGGATGGAAGCCAAGACAGATCCCCCAGCAGACACACCACCATATCCCTTGATGGGTCTCCAGCAGGGATGCTGCTTGGCCATATGGCATCTTTGTGTGAATTTAGAAAGAGAAAAACAGCTCTCTTCTCCAGAACTATCAGGAAATTGCCATATTATAGTTGACCTTTGAACAACATGGGTTTGAAATGCATGAGTCCACTTATACACAGGTTTTATTCAAAAAATACCATATAGTATTTTTGATTCAAAAAAATACCGTAACTATTTTCTGTATGATTTTATTAATAACATTTTCTCTAGCTTACTTTATTATAAGAATACAGTATATAATACACCTAACATATAAAAACATGTGTTAATCAACTGTTTATATTCTTGGTAAGGCTTCTGATCAACCATGGGCTATTACTAAACTTTTGGGGGAGTCAAAAGTTATTTACAGATTTTTGATTGTGCAAGAGATTGATGTTCCTAATCTCCATGGTGTTCAAGGGACAACTATACTGTTTTGTTACAATAAGAACTTTATTGTAATCTGCTAGGAAAAAACTGTTAAAATAAATATGCAAATCTATATATACAATGTGAATAGAGTCACCTTTGTGCAGCACATGACCTGCCTAACTTTATATATCAGTCCTGAATCCACACCCAGCTTCTCAATCATAATCTGACTGTGCCCCTTAGAAGGTGACCCAGAGTCAGCCCCATTCTAGAACGATGGGGACTAAGCAGTTCAGAACAGAATGGCCTCTTTCTGTGTGCTACACTTTTCTTTGGGAAATATAATCTGGGGCCTAAGAGCTTTCATAGCAGTTATGCCCCACGGTTACTTCATATCCAGTATCCATTAACCTACATGCCAAGTCCCTTCCGTGGGTACTGATAGACCAAAGCCTTCAGACCAGGTGCCAGAGCCCACGCACATCTCTATCAGTCAAAGCTGTCCATAACTCTGAGACAGAGATTCCAAAACAGGCTGTGGGGTGGGGATAGGGGAGGGTCTATGTGAACCATGTAAGTGCAGGACTCAGATGAGGATCAAAGCAGAACCAGGTGCCCAGAAATGCTGTGAATATGTCAGAAGGACACAGGAGCCAGCTTGAAGAGGCTCCCAAAGATGATTATTCAGACAATCTCAGCATCAAGATAGATGGTGATGGTAAAAATTACAACCTATTTAACAAAGTAAGAATCCATGAAAAATGAAACAAAACCAGAAAAGAATCTGTGAGGGCATGATGAAATAAATAACAAATGCATGTAGAATGGAAAACTCTTCCCTACAACAGAATGACAGCTAATAAATGTAGAAGGAATGACAGAGTTAGAAAATCATCATCTGGCAACCATTAGAATTAAGTGATTCAGGTGAGAATCATCAGTGGATTCTAACACTACCAGTTAAAAGTCTGATGAGAAACAGGATATCTACCTAGTCCCAAAGCACCTCCTTACAAATTACTTATTGATTCCCAAGGGAAAGATAATTACTTTACAGGAATCTAGCAGACCCATCAAAACCAAGTAATTAAACGTAACGTCACTAGAGATGGGCTAAACAAATGTGGGACTCCTGATACAATGCACTGAGGAAGACACATATTCCTTGATATTCGAATAAAAAATGCACAACTGAATCTAATTGTGAGGAAGCATCAGACAAACCCAAATTGAGAAACACTGTAAAAACTAGCTTTTACTTATCAAAAATCTAAGGTCACAAAAGACAAGGAAAGACTGAGGAGCCACTTCAGATTAAAGGTAACTAAAGAGACATGACAACTGAATGTAGTGCATGATCTGGAATTTTCACTTCTGTAAAGGATATTATTAGCACAATTGGTGAAATTTGAATAAGGCTGGTAGATTAGTTTATACTATTGTACTGATGTTTGTTTCCTTATTTTGATCATTATACATTGTTTATGTAAGAAAATCTTACTGTTTTTAGGAAATGCAGGCTTTATCCAATAGTAAAGGGCTGATCATGTCCGCAGCTCAGTATTTTTTTTTTTTTTAGCGTGGTGGTGGTGATGGTGTGTGTACATGTGTGTGCATGTGTACCAGAGAGAGGAAGTAATTTTTAAATGTAAAATTTGGGGAACTGGGTAGTAAGTACAGAAAAGTGATTTGTACTATTCTTGCAACTTTTGTGAAAATATGAAATAATGTCAAAATAAAAAGTTAAAAGGGAAACTTGGATGGCTCAGTCAATTAAGTGCCAATTCTTGATTTCTGCTCAAGTCACAATCTGAGGATCATGAGGTCAAGCTCTGTGCTGGACATAAAACCTGCTTAAGATTCTCTCTCTCAAATGAGTGGGAAATATCAGTGAGGGTAACAGAACATGAGAGACTCCTAACTCTGGGAAACAAACAAGGGGTGGTGGAAAGGGAGGTGGAAGGAGGGTTGGGGTGACTGGGTGACAGGCACTGAGGGGGGCACTTGACGGGATGAGCACTGGGTGTTATGCTATATGTTGGCAAATCGAACTCCAATAAAAAAGTATATACGAAAAAAATATTCTCTCTCTCCCTTTCCCTCTGCCCCTCCCCTGGTCATTCTCTCTCTCTCTCTCTCTCTCTCTCTGTCTAAAATAAAATAAAATAAAATAAAATAAAATAAAATAAAATAAAATAAAATAAAATAAAATAAAATAAAATATTAAAAAAAACTAAGCCAAAATGTAGCTATACTATAGGCAAGCAGAACTTCATACCTCTAAAATTGCTTACAATATTTTATGAATTGCATTTCCAGGTTCTCCTGACCATTTCTGTGTTCTCTATTTTCCAGCTCTGTCACTTGCAGATACATAATCCCAGGGGGCCTCTCCCCACCCAGCCCCTGCAGAGTCCTCAGGAAACTGAGGTGAATAGGAGCTCTGCCCACCACCAGCCCTGAGCAAGCACATTACCTGTGGAAAACCCGAACAAGAAAACAAGGTAGACAAACATGAAGCGACACAAGTCTCTCAGGATCATCTGCAGGAGAGAGCAGACTTGTCAGAACCAAGTCCAGTCCTAGGCAAGGCCAAGGGGAGGGTCAGGACTATGTAATCCTGGTTGTTTATCTTGAGCCCAAGTGAACTAGAGAACATGCAGGAGGGTTTGGTTTGGTGGTTCTCAGTTCTGGTGTCATCAGGAAATCATCTACAGCTCCCCACTCCTTGGCCTTTGTTCTAGTGGGAGAGGGGTCCTGGTATATAGAGGAGTCAGGTTTCAAAGGAGCCCCCAAACCTGGGTCAGGGCCAGGTTGCCTGATTCTTGAGGAAATAGCTGGGAAATTGGGTCCTGAGCTAAACCAGAACCTTCTCAGATATTGTAATATCCACAGAGGGTGGACAGAGTTTGTAGACAATGTCCCACATGCCCATGGTAAAAACTGGCTCTGTGGAGAACTACCTGGACACCGGCACCCACCTTCTCAATCATAACAGCATAGATGCCCATCTGCTGGAAGCCGCGGGTGTAGTAGAGCATGTTGGTCCAGCCCATGGCCAGGGAGAACACCATAGAGGCCACGTACTCCTTGTGGTGGCAGAAGTACAGCACCACGGTCCCCAGCATGAACAGTGACTGCACAAAACTGAAGGTGGAGGGATAGGAAGCTTCATCTACAAGCACCGAGGAGGCCTGATCCCTCAGAAGCACAGACCACAGGCTGTGGCACAAGCTAGGGTTGGTTGTCCTGTCTCCTTTAGCCCATGATTCTCAGTAGGAACAACATCTTCTCCAAGAGGGCAAAACTTGGTTAGGGAGTGCAGAATCTTATTCTCTTTTTGTAGAAAGCACAAATATTAATACAGTACATAGACAACTATACTGTATATTTGTGGTATTAGATTTCATGAAAGGGGCAATTAGGAAAAAACATCTAAAAAGGCAATAATGAAGAAAGAATAAGAAACAATTCTTAGCAGTGAGAAAGGACAGGCCATGGTCTCCTGAAAAATCACAGGTAGAGTCTGCTGGTCACACCCTCAAACTCAGAAGCAGAGCCAGGCAAGATGTCCTTCAGCAAGTTGGTCTGGTGGGGGTTGCCCAGGTAGGATCCATGGATAAGACAGAGTAAATCTGATGATCCTATGGCAGAGTCTGCCTAGTGGTACCTTCACATATTCATCCCAGGTCTCCCTGTTCATCATGGCCTCCTCCTGAAAGTTCCCCCACCTACATTTATACTGTAGACTACACCAACCACCTCAATTCCCATTTATGTGAGAGAAGCCACCAAAAAACTACCACTGTGCTGATGTGAGTCAGGAAACTGGTGTCAGGAGACTGTCTCATCAATTGGAATTCTGCTGCAAAAGAAAACTATTTCCCTGTATTTGCAGGACCTTGACCAAAATAATAACTAACCCTCATTGAAACAGGTAAAGAGTTGTCCTGGGTGGTAAATGGAGCCCCCACATATGAATTTGGGGAGCAGTGGACAAATGAAAACTGACTTAGCAGACCCAACAAAACCAAATCCAAATCTATAGTGGGGGAAGCTGAGAATCAACTGATTTAATCAAGGAATCTCAAAAGGCTTAGGGACCTCTGGAGAATAGATGAAGAGACCTAAAATAAAGAAGGGGGGAGGTTTGTCTCTGAAGAAGATAAAAGAAGACTGTTGAACCCATTTTCATCAGACAGTGAAAACACTGGCATTTTACCAAAAGCAGGAGACAATATGATTTTTATATTATATAGATTACAGAAAGCCCTCTATTCTACTCAGTTCTCAGAACTGTGGCACCAGATTTCTTCCCTCCAGGTAGAAGATTAAAGAGATGCAATTGACTAACTAGATATTCCCCAATAACATGAGAGACTTGTAACTCTGGGAAATGAACTAGGGGGGTGAAAGGGAAGGTGGGCGGGGGGTGGGGGTGACTGTGTGATGGGCACTGAGGGGGGTACTTGATGGGATGAGCACTGGGTGTTATTCTATATGGTGGCAAACTGAACACCAATAAAAAATAAATTTATATTTTAAAAAAGATATTCCCCAATAAATAGCTTACCTAGATTAATTTAGAGTGTAGCTCAAAATTGATAAGCCCCATTCATACATTGAGAGCTTCCAACGAGTTTTTCAGTTTTCCACTCTTACTCATGACCAAATATCAAAAATCTCCAGATATCCTCGAACATGAAAGATAGGGCAAAACAAGAAAATGGGAAACAACAACTTGGAGAAAATAAAACCTATGCAAAAAGAAGAAAAATTTACCAAAAGCTGTTTCAACAGTCTTAGAAAGACAAAAGAAGATATTCATCAATGAAATAAGAGTAAAATGCTTAGAAACAAGAATGGAATGCTCCTTAGAAATAAAGAACAAAGAATTTTTAAAAAGAGCATTTAGAAATTAAAAACTTTATATAAAAATAATAAACTCAATGGAAGGATTGGTAATTAAAGTTGATTTGAACCTCCCAGAAAAAAAAAGCCAAAGATAAAGAGATAAAACACAAGTGAGAAAATATAAGAACTGGTTCAGACTAGGTCAGGAGGTTCAATATACATATCAAAGGGTTCCAGGAGAGAGATCAAGAAATAAAAGACATAAATTTCCAGACTGAAAGAGCGCACTATGTGTCCAGAACATTGAGTAAAAAAATCCACATCAAGACACACCTTTAAGTTTCAGAACACTAGAAACAAACAGAAGATACTAAAGATCTACAAAGGGAAAAACCAAGCCAGATCTTAAAAGATGATCTAGAATCAGAATGGTTTTGAACTTGTCATCTATAATACTTGAAGAAAGGAAACAATGGAAAAATATCTTCAAATTTTTAGAAGAATTTTATACCCAACCAAGCTAGCAATCAAACATGAAGGTATAATAGAATATTTTCAGACGTGCCAGATTTAAAATTAATTTTATTCCCTTCCTCCCTATTATGTGTCTTCTCTCTTTGGCTTAGGATGCCTTCTCCCAAAACAAGGGAGTTAATCAGTAAAGAGGAAGACATAGAGTTCAGATCAGGAGAGAAGTGAAAGGGATCTCGAGGTGCTAGTGAACGGTAAACACCTTGGATGTACATGTGGGAGCAATGGGACTCAAGAACCAGGTATGATGAAAGCTGTCATCACTGTGCTCTCCATCATGAGACCATCTTTTTCACCAGAGGACAATATAAAGGATGTGCTCAAATAAAACAAGGAAATCAAGAAAGAGACAGGAAGTTTAACCCAGGAGGATAGCAGTAAGCATCCCAAGGCTGGTGGCAAAGAGGAGTCCCAGGATGACAGCTAAGCAGCAGGCCCAGAGAGAAACCATCCCAATTAGAAAGAGAGGACAACACTCTGGGAGGAATTTCTTCAAGAAAAAAAAAAGGAGCAAGGGGTTCCAATTACATAATTTATGTGACCAATTTTGAGAAAAATTGTACTGAGAGGCTTCAAGATGTGTGGGATAAGTTAATAGTTGATACAAAGAAAACTAAACAAGTGAAAACAAGACAGTTACCAACTTTAGGAGAAATGGGGAAAAGGGTATGGTATATTCTGAAGCTCAACTGTGAATACTACTTGTAGAAATATAATAACATAAATTACTCAATACCCAGTAAAACAAAAATTACTAAAAACCATATTGGACAGCTAGATGAATGGAAGCAAAAGGCAAGGAAGTATAAGGATGCTAAATCCTCATCTACTGAGTGAGTAAACTTCAGAAAAAAGAGTTACAAGAATGAAAAGTGATTGTCTCTGGGAATGAGGAATGCAAGGAATGGGAAGAGTTAAGATGAGGAACTCATACACTGGCTGTAAGCTTTTCAGTACTCTTCAATGTTTCCCTATGTGCTACCCTACGTGGGTAGCTTTGAAAAAATAAAATAAAATTCTAACCTGCCTACAAATGATCTTCTTCAGAGTAGAATCAAAGTTATTGGCACAATCCTATGTACAACAATATTGCTTCCCCTAGTAAAGCAAACCAGCATTGCACTAACCACCCTGCCCTTTTGGGTTAAGATGTGAGTATCTCAGAGAAAGATAAGTACCATATGATTTTTCTCATATGTGGAATTAAAGGAACAAAATAGATGAACATAGGGGAAGGGAAGGAAAAATAAAATAAGATGAAATCAGAGAGGAAGACAAACCATAAGAAACTCTTAACTATAGGAAACAAACTGAGGGTTGCTGGAGGAGAGGTAAAGGGATGGGGTAATTGGGTGATGGGCATTAAGGAGGGCATTTGATCTAATGAGCACTGAGTGCTATATGCAACTGATGAATCACTAAATTCTACTGAAGCTAATAAAAAACAAAACAAAAATGTAAGCATCTCAAGATTATGGTAAAATGATGGGGTTTGTGAGTCCTAGGGACAAGCTAGCAACAACTGGATGAGAAATCAACTTCTTGCATTTGCAGAATAAAGGAATTATTGCATTATCAGGAATAAAGGAATATTGTATTATCAGGAATAAAGAGAGAGGCCTCAGGAATGAGGAAAAATGGGGTGCCTGGGTGGTCAACAGTTGAGCATCTGCCTTTGGCTCAGGGTGTGGTCCTGGGGTCCCGGGATCAAGTCCCACGTTGGGCTCCCTGTGGGAAGCTTGCTTCTCCTTCTGCCTGTGTCTCTGCCTCTTTCTCTGTGTCTCTCATGGATAGATAAATACAACATCTTATAAAAGGGGGGGCTGGAGATCAGAGTAAAGTCCATAGAAGAGATCCCAGGAGATGAACCCATCCCCTTCTGAAGGCACTTTTTGTATCCTGGGTCCTCCAAGGAAACTTCATAAGGTTCCAGCTTATTTTGTGAAGGAAAGAGGTTCTCAGTGACATCCATATTGTTTAATAGCTATGCTTTTGCTTATCTGTCTCCCCCTAAAGCAGCGTACCTCCCCAAGTGGAGGGCATTTGGCAATATCTGGATACAGGCAATATTTGGCTGTCAGGGACAGGGAGAGTTCTACTGGCATCTGGGATGGAGAGGCCAGGGATGCTGCTAAACATTCTAAAATGCATAGGACAGCCCCCACGATAAAGAATCATCTAGTCCAAAATTACCATAGTGCTGAGGCTGAGAAACCCTGTTCTAAAGATTGGAAATTCCTTGAAGACAGGAATCATATCTAGTTCATCTCAGTATCCCAGTGCCAACTCAGTGAATGCCAAATGGTTAGATGAGTGGATGAAAGAAAATGAACAAGGCTTTTCAGGCTATAACTCAGAATGTAAAGCACATGAACTCATGTCTGTCATTCACTGGCACCTGATACATAGCTGATATAGGGTAGAGCCTCAGTATTCACCAGTCAACACACATTTACTGAGGGCCTTCCATCATTCATCCAACATGTTTGCGAGGTCCTACTATGTTCCAAGTTCAGCATATATGAAAGGATGGGTGAGAACTGATGGCTATAATCTTAGGACTGGGCCAAAAGATGCTGTCTGCTATTGAGGCATAAGAGTCAAAGTGTCACTTACAAAAGCATCTCACTGTAGCTGTCCACAAACAAGGTCTTCAGCGATGGCCGCCTCTGCAGGAAATATTGAATCTGCGGGTAAATAGAGAGTGTAAGATCCCCCGAAAGTCTAAATGGTGAGCATTTGCAATGTTTCCTTAATGGCCTACAATGGAACACAGGAGTGCATCAAAGCAGAGATTCTGAAGAGGGGAGGACAGTGAGGCTAATGGGGTAATGTCATGTAACTCAGGAGAGATATTTTAAAATAGAGAGTGGAATTACAACTATACCTATAAATAAAGACAGGAGGGAAATTCACCAAAATATCATTAATTGCTGCATTTGAATAATGAGATTGAGAGTTTTTTCTTCTTTTTAATATGTGCATTTTTCCTAATTTTCTTTAATAACTATGCATTATGGTAAAAATTCTTTAATCAGCTTCCATTGAACTATGTCACCAAGATAGCCAATGCTCTCCACTCCCTAAAAACATTCCAACTGATGCCCACAATGAGTGCTGGTGGCTAGGAGATCCTTTCCAAGACACACCCAAATGCTCTACTTCTTCCCCTCAGGTTAATACTAGTTGCCAAGAGAGCTTTTTGTCCACTGCACTTGCTACTGTGGCTTTGTATTTTAGTATAATATAAAATATGAGTACAAAATAACAACAGTAGTTTCTGTGAAGACAGAGTGATTTGGAAAGACTCCTTAATGGTGAATCACTAAGAAAAATTTGGTGTACCTTAGATCAAAAAGATTACAGGGGAAAAAAATCACAATAATCTCCAATCATTTATAACAGTGTAACGTGTAACAGTGGCCCTAATTTCAAAGAAAAGACTATTCACATGTTAGAATTGCTAAGGAATATGCACGTATCTTCAGGCAAAATAAACTGATGCCAGTATATGTGTAGATTTCTTTCATTATTTTGAACTTTACATATTGTTTTGATTAATTGGATAACTACCTGTCATGATCCTGTCACTTAAGAGCTGACAACTACAGTTGACCCTTGAACAACATGGTTTTGAACTGCTAAGGACACTTATATGCACTTTTTTTTCAATAAATATAGTATAGTGCTATAAATCTATTTTCTCTTATGATTTTAATAACATTTTCTTTTCACTAGCTTCTTTAATTGTAAGAATATAATATATAACATATCATACAAAATATGTGTTAACTGACTATATTACTGGTAAGGTTTCTAGTCAACTGTGGGCTATTAGTATTAAATTGGGGGGAGGTCAAAAGTTATATGCAGATTTTTTATCGTGGGGAGAGTTGAACCCCTGCAATGTTCAAGGGTCAACTGTGCATTCAATGAGGAGTCCTGACTATCTTCCAACAAGACTACCCTGGGCCTGCAGGAATCCATGGGGTAGACCCTCAGTCCCCAGTCATAAATGCCTGGACAGCTCTCATTTTCACCTGTGTATCTCTCTCATGAATTAAAGAGTGAGTGAGCAACAAGTGAGTCTCTTGGCTTTTTGCTTTGGTGATAATGGAAATTCAGTGTGGGAAGGAATGCTTACCCCTCGGAAAAAAAAGTAGACTCCCCCTAATACAGAAAGAATCTCGCCGGTGACTCGGAAATAGTCTCCAACAGTGTGTTTCAGCTTATAGGGAGGCTGCAAGGTGCAGAGAAGTTAGAGACTCCATTCACTCATTCATTTACTCAACAAACATTTACCAAGCCCTGTGATTAAGAGTCAGCACCTGCCCAAGAGGCTAGCCTTGTTCAAGAGATAGGCATAATTAAAGACAGTGCATCATTGGGGACACCTGCAAGGAGGCCCCTCTGTGGGACCTGATTCCCAAAGTGGTAGCCTCTAGGTGCCAAGCAGACTATCCTTACAGTGCTGTGTTGTCTCCCAGACAATATCCGGGCTCAGAAGAGCCCGGAGCTCTTCTGAGAAGAGGCTGATGGCAGAGGTGGAAACAGTCTTATAGACCCAATGCCATATGCTTCCTGCTTCTCCCACAGCCAGGGTGAACCCCTGTCAAAGTTTTCCATTGATGGTGGAAGATGAGATGTCCCATATACATGTCATCCTTGTGTCTCAGACACTTTTCTAGGGCAAGTTTCCTTTCTGCTTGTCACTGATGTTTTAAACGCTGCTTCGCTAGCTTGTCTTAATCAGTGTGTTTCTCTTTCCTCATAAAATGAAATTATTAAGAGGCCTTATGAGGTCAAGAGAAGTCAGGTTTCACCTAACTGGGAAGTGGAATTTTAAATCAATTTTATAAGCAAGAAGCCCTGTGTATAAAGGCAGCAAATTAAGTGCTTGGGTATTGAATGGAAAGGAGTCAATTCAGTAACTCAAAGGAGTCCATGGCTCCTGGCAGAGGAAGAAGTCTGGTCTTAGGCTGATTTGATGGATGGCCCAGGACCTGGCACAGAAGATGTGCTCAAAAGTATATGTCCAGGGAATGAACAATGAGCAAGTGAGTGAACAAAAGTGGGCAGGTCAGTGGGATGGCAATGGGCTCAGGGCTCATGCCAGCCTATGACCTTGCAGACAGCCAACTCAGGGAAGAGTTGCTTCTGGAGCCCTAATTCTTTCATCTTTCTAATCTCTTATCCCTCCTCTGCCACTAGGGACCTCGGAGACCATCCATTCAGCCTCAGCCAACCAGGACACTAAAGGAGGGACTGAGAAGGGGGAGGGGAGTGTTGCCAGGACAGCCTGAGAGATGAAGGGCTGAGCACAGGGACATAAGGAGCTCCAGATGATCCTTCCATCTTTCCAGCATGCTAGGAAGGAGTCCAGGGTCTGGCCTGGGCCTGGGTCATAGGGGGGTCTTATAAGAATGCCCATCTCTCTCCCCACTCCCTTGTCTTGAGGCTGAGCCTCAGGCCGCACCAAGCCATCCACAGGCCTGTAGTAGGCTGCTGTAGTGAAGATGATCATATACAAGCAGTAGACGAAGAAGTTGAAGTAGAAGATGCGCTTGACAAATCTGTCCCACTTATCCTGCAGGAGTCGGTTCAGTGGTTCCACCAAAAGCATGTCATGGCGATTCTAAGGGGAGCAGAAAGAGGTGAGGCTCACTCCCCAGCCAGATACCACAAAAATCTCATATCCAAGGGACTTCCGTTAAAGTTCCAGTATCCCTAAGATGGATGAGCCAAAATCAGGTCATCCTAACCTTTGTAGGCCATTGAGCCCAACCCCCAGCCCAAGCTTAAGTTTCCTCAACAAGGTCCCTGTTCAGTGTTTTCTTCAATATCTTTGGGGATAGGAAATTCCTTGCTGACTCGAGCAGCCTGCAGAGAAACACTGTCAGGAAGATCTATTCTCTAGAGTCACGTTGGTCTTCTCTGCTTTCTACCAGTTGTCCCAGTTCTGTACTCAGGGACCCCAGTACTGCATGTTCACCCAAGAGAGCCTTCAGAGATATGAAGATGGCAGCCATGGCCCCAGAGCCCTCTCCTCTCTAGTTCAAACACCCTAGCCTTTTTAGAGCCATTTCCTACACGGGCTAGTCCTCTGGGAACATTTGCATCCAAGATTCTGAGTCCAAGGTCCTGATTCAGTATGGCGGCCCAGGTGGAGGCTGACAGGGTGGAGCAAAGCAGGCCAGGCCTCTATCTCCCCTGGACTTTGCCCCTGTAAACACAGCCTCTACCCTGTGAGCTGTGGCAGCCCCTCATCACTGACAGCATAGACTCCAGCCCCCAGGTTTGCCTCAGGGGCAGGTATCAGCTCAGCAAGGACAGACAGGGAAGGTGTGGCAGGACATACTTTACATTAAGTGGCTCTAGGACCCTCATTTGGAAACAAAATAATTAAGTAAGATGCCTACCTCACACCTACACAAAAATAAATTCTAGATAAGTTAAGGAGCCAGACATAAAATAATTACAAAGGAGCTAAACAAAAATATTGCAGGATATGTATATGTATAATCTTGAAGTGGAAGAGACTGTGCAAAGCAAGATACAAGTCACAGAAGCTACAAATGAAAAAGACTAATTTGACTCTTAAAATGAAAATCTTTTATAAGCAAATGATGTCTTATATGAAGCTAGAAGCCAAGAGACAGACTGGAAGAAAATAAAATATTTTTAACATATGCAATAGAGAAAGGATCAATTCATTCTATGGCAAGTGCACCTGCAAACAAAAAGGAATGGGCCGACAGTCCAGTAGAAGAGATGGCCAAGGACAATGAACAGGAAATATACCAAAGGAATATGAATGATCAGATAACTATACTAAAAATTATCTACTTCACATTAGTCAAGAAAATGAGAATTAAGACATCAATAAGATAGCATTTTTGGCCCCAAAAACTTAAATAAGTTTTTGAGAAGATATTGATAATATCCTGGTTGGCAAGGACATGGGTAGATGTATACCCACTGCTAGTGGGCAAGTGAACTGATGTAGTCTTTCTGGAGGACAACTTGGCAGTACCTATTAAAATATTAAAACACGCATATTTCTTCAATTTAGCAATTCCAATTCTAGGCATCCTAGAAAAATTCCCAAACCCATGCCAAGTGGCCTGCAGCACTGTAGTAGCAAAAAACTGGAAATAACTCAAATATCCTCCAATGGAAATTTATTCCTCACCCCTACTATGGAACACTATACAGCCAGGTTTTTGTTTTTTTTTTTTAATGAAGCAGGCCCATATGAACCCATATAAAATGATCTACAAGACACACCATTAAATGAAAAAATTGTTCCACATTTTGTATAGTATGATCCCATTTAATGTAAACAAAATGAAGCTACATGCTTTTATATGGTATAAAAAGAAAATTATTTTTGTCTACCTGAAATATTTATGTTTTTATGAGAAAATCACCCTATATTATTTGTATGATGAACGAAAACATTCAGTGGGAATAAACAGGGAGATGAGGCATCAGAGCCTAGGCCCCAGGCAACAGATTTTCACTGATGAAAGGATAGACAAAGCTAGGGTGGGGGGCTGGGGCAGAGTGAGGCCAGAAGCCCACCTTACCCGGCCCCGCCCAGGCGCACTCACCGGGGTCTCACTGCTGCTGTAGGCAATCACCTCCAGCACTGAGTTCTTCTCACAAGTGTCAATGCAGGACAGGTCATAGAGTGACGAGTGCACGGGCCCGTACGCCCATTCAGTGAACTTCCTGGACAGATGCCTGCACTCAGGCTCTTGGATCTCTCTCTGGAGAATATAGGCCAAGACCTACCACGGGGATACAAAAGCCTGTGAGAGACCAGCCAGCAAGCAGCCCCACCACAGGCACTTCCCCACTAGGCCACCAGCTCTGCCTCAACAATAAGTCTGCTTCCTAGCTCAGTCAGAGACTCAGCTTAGCCCCAGGAGAGCCCTCACCTCTATCCATCAGCCTCCTGACCAACTTACCCCCTGCCTCAGACCTCAACTACAGCCATATCAGATCCATCATCACCTGATCACACCTGCTCACAGCCACTTCACCCTTGGCTCAAGCCACCCCCACACCCAGGTGTCAGCACCCCACCCCCACTCTGTCTGGTTGGTGCTGTTCATATGTGAAAGTCAGAAATAGTCAGGTGTGGTGCTGACTTCCGCTCAGCATTTCACAGTTCCTCTGGCTACCCTACTAGCCCCTGTCCTACACCTTCTGGCAAGTGTCACAGAAGGAGGACTCTGCAGGGTGGTGGTATCAGGTGGCAGCAAGGCAGGCAGTCCTTTCCATGGCACCCTCAAAAGTTGCACCCCTAGCTCAGGCAAGACGCCTCCCCCTACCCCGATTTTCCCACTCCTGGCTGCCAGAGCCAGTGGCGTCAGCCCCTTCTTGTTGGTGAGCCCCTCCAGCTTCAGTGTAGGGTGGAGCTTGGCGCCCAGGATGAGAATCTCATTGTACATGCTCGTCACAAACTTGGTATTGTCAGCTGTGTTGTCGGCCACCTCTACCAGTGCGTGCAGCACGGTGTTACCCACGGAGTCCCTGGCGCTGATGTCTGCAGGTTGCCAAGAGTTCTGCAGCAGGAACTTCACAATGCCCAGCTGGTTGGTACATGCAGCCAAGGACAGGGGCAGCTCACCTGCGGCCAACACAGGCATAGGATGGGCCTCACGAATAGTTGAGTTTGGTCCCTGGACCACCCAGCCTCCAAATCCCTCTGTCTCCACCCTAAACCTCCCCTTAGTGATTGTCAAAAAACCAAGCATCTACCACATGGTCTTCCTACCAAAGTAGAAGCCAGGCCGCCCTTTGGTTTTCTTAAAGAAGTCCCCATTGGCTGCAGCCTGGACGTCTGCCCCGTTCTCCACCAGGAGGGTCACGAGCGCCATGTTCCGCCTCTCAATGGCAATATGCAGGGCTGTCTGGCCTGTGGAGGATGGGTGCTATTGCTTTGTACTCACAGTCCTGTGCTTGGACAGGTGCAGGGGCAAGACTTTGGCAGAAAGTGCCAGAAGACTCCCCTGCAGAAGAGGAGAGCAGGCCAGAATGCCCAAAGGGGGCCCAAAGAGTCCCTGAGGTAGGAGTAGAAATCCCCAAGGGAACAACAGACTGGGAACTGGAGTAGTCAAAACTGCCCAAGGTCAAGGAACAGTAGCAGAGAGAGTAGCCATGGCTTCCAGAGGCAAAGAACACCAAGTCCACAGAGAGGAGGATAGGACCAGGATGTATATGGAGAGAAACCAAGTCCAGCAGGTGGGGGAGGCAAGGACCCCCTGGGACCAAGAGATACCATCTCAGTGGCTGGTCCAGGGAGCAAGGAGCTGAGAGACTCGCCTAGGCATGACAATGCCTCCTGGCTCCAGGCATGCTTGCAGACAGAGCCATGCCAGGCCCTGTCCTCGTCCTCACCCTTGTAGTAGCTGTCTGTGTAGCTGGCGTTGACCAACTCCTTTAGGCTGTCCGTCTGACGGGCAATCTCCAGGAGCAGGGGGATGGTGTCATTCTGCCCATCATGCAGGTTGAGCATGGCTTTCAGCAGACAGGTCTTCCCTGTCTCTGGGTCTGCAAGACAAAGTGAGGGTCAGAGCAGGGCATGGCAGCAGGGCCTCTCCCAGGAATCTGGCCTTCCAGGGCTACCTTTGAACTCGCTGTCCATGAGGTGCTTCTTGCTCTTCTGCAGGAAGAGCAGCAGGCTCTGCAGCTCCTCACAGTTATTCTGAGCGACAGCCTCAAATATCTTCCTGCGATCATAGAGCTTGAGGCTCTTCTCAGATCCACCAGTCACAGAGTCCTGGGACGGCTGCCTATGGGCCAGAAAATACCTTCATCCAACTACTCTGATGTGCCTTCAGAGCTTGTCGGGGAGCATGACTAAAAGCCAGGGCAAACCAAAAGGGGAAAAACATGATACAAAACCCATCCCTTAGTCTAGGTGACTGTCCAGGAAACTGATATAATAAGAAACCGTGAGGTATATGTGCCCTCATTCTGTCCCCACTCTGTCTATAGGCACCATCTAGAAAGTCTCTCCTGCCACTGCTTCCTCTCCTACCCAAGCCACTCACTTTTCTGCTTGCTTAGGAGCTGGGGCTCTGGAGGCAGTGGCCTGGAGGGGGCTGGAGGCAGGGGTTGCAAAGGTTTGGATAGCCCCTGACAAGTGAAAAAGTGTCCCCACACTACCCAGAGGTTAGTCAGTCTATGCACCCTCCCTGACCTGCCTTGGTAGAAGCCAAAGAGCTGGTGGGCTCCTCACTAGAACTGTTCTGCACCTTCTCTCTAAAAGCCTCCTGGTGGGCACCTGATGGCTTGGTCAGTTAAGCGTCTGCCTTCAGCTCAGGCCATGACCCCAGGGTCCTAGGATCAAGTCCTGCATTGGGCTCCCTGCTCAGTGGGGAGTCTGCCTCTCCCTCTACCCCTCTCCCTGTTCATCTCTCTCTCTCTCTCTCTCTCATGCTCACTCTTGCTCTCATAAATAAATAAATAAATAAATAAATAAATAAATAAATAAATAAATAAATAAAACCAAAAATCTAAACATCTTTTAAAAAAATAAATAAAAGCCTCCTGGCTTTGAGCTTTTTAACTTACAGACTAAGTGTTTAGGGCTGGTGAGCATTCAAGGCCTGGACAGCTAGAGATCAGCCTACATCTAAGATCAGCATATATGCCAGCATCCACGACCATGTGTCCCCAAGCTCCTATGAGTGCAGATGCTGGACCACATGATTGCTGAAGGCTCCCCAGCTCCCTGGTTCTATGACCTACAGTTTATAATCTAGAGCACCATGTGGTATTTCCATAGCTGGGGCCTCAGCCAGGTGAGCCAGTTTGGCTCCTGGTGAGGAAGGGGCCGAGGTTCCAGATACAGCTTACCTGGCACAGGTGGGGCCGTCCTCATGTTTCGGGATCATGACAACAGGACTGACTGTGATGGCTGGGCAAGAGGCTAGCTGGCCTTCTTCATAAGAGCAATCCATAGAAGCCTCCTCTGAGTCACACTTTCCAAAAAGTCGGCTGCGGCTCTTAGCCGTAGGGAAGATGTGGGGCTTGGCTGGAACTGGCCTGGAATTAGGGTCTCCATCCAGGGGGTCTAAGCAGGAGTCCTCTTGGGGCAGGTCCTCAGACCCCCCTGAATCGGAGCTTCCCCAATTCTTCATCCTTGCCAGATCCTTTGTGGCCAAAGAGGCAGCCTGCAGGCAGCCACCAAGATCAGGTTTGTTCCCAGCTTGAGGACTACATGACTCTAGTCCTCATTTGCCCTCATTGCTTTTGCAAGGAGAAGCCCCTGTGAAGCAGCCCCAGAGGTCAAACAGCTATTGGCACTAACCCCCCCAGAAATGAAGCTTCCAGAGGTGCTGTACTTTCTAGCTCAGAGCCCCAGGGGTGAGCCGGCCTAGCAGCCCCACAGGCATTGGGATCAGGAGTGATGGGTCCCCCAACCTGAAGCCATCAGGCTCTGAAGGACTTGAATGTACTCTCTCCTCTCTGGGTTTCAGGTGCCTCATCTGCAAAGTAGGATGATATCCACGGCTCTGCCTCCCTCCAAGATCAGAGTAAGGGGGGCAATGGAAGAGCTGTCACTGACTGTGCACTCCGGGGAGAAGTCTGTGATGAGAATGGCTCAACCCTAAAGAGCAAGGCAGGCTGTGTATCTACAAACAAGGAGGCAGCAGAGACTGGCACACTCCCACTCCTCTGCAATGGCCACCTGTGCCCTGTGTCCCGTCACCAGCCATGTGCTCAGCTGCCTGTGCTGTTCAACCTGGTGGCTATAACTGCTGAGTCTGTAGGAGATTTTTTTGTACTTTTAGTCATTTTTGTGAAATTAGCATATTTCAAGCCTCCTTGAACTTTTAAACTTTAAGTGATTCAGGGCTGGTTCAGGCCTTCTAGGTCTGAACATGTGGAGTTCGGGTGGCAGCTCATGCCAGCACATACGGCCATGAACTAGTTTTGATACTGTTTCCCACTCCCTTCCTAACTTCCTCTCCCACTCTTCCCTCCATCCAGTGGGGCATCCCCTCTCTCTAGTACCCAAGGCTGTCCCACATCTCAGAGGCCTTTGCTCCTGCAGTACCTCCTCTTGGGGCCCAACAAACCTCCAAGCTCTGCACTGCCCATGTTCCCAACCCCTCCTGAGTGGCCTGAGTTGATTGTCCATCATCCTTCAGAGTCCTCTTTGCACCGTCCATTATGCAGTCTAGCAATTTCTATCCAGCACTGACGTATCCATACCCAGTGACCTCCTGAGCAGGGAGCTTTCTTGATCCCCCTCTTGATGAAAAAAAAAAAAGTTGTGCTGGTCACTGTGGGGGACAGGAAAGAGATCACATATAGACCTTTTTTTATTCCCATTTGCATAGGAAGTAAGTGAGATTCATGTTCCAGCAGTGGCTGGATTCCAGAAAATGCCACTGAAGGAATGGGAGGTGCCCCAAGACCAGCATTTTCAAGTGTATATTCAGGCAGTGAACACTCAGAACACATGGCTGGGCCTTAACAATAAATCAGCTATGATCTGATGCCCAGATCCTTGGGGGAAGAAAATGAAGCAGCATCACCACTCCACATCCTGTAAATAAGATAGACCCATTTTCCCTCCTGCCTGTTGTTCCACTTTGAGGAGGGCCTGAGTATTTCTCTGGGTCATCCATCAGATGGAAACTCTGCAGCAAGAAGTGTTCCCAGCCACAGAGAATCCCATTTCCAACCACTCACCCATTTGTTCATCCCATCACTCAATACCCATCTGCTGAATCCTACTGGGTATCCAGGCCTGTGCTGGGGGTACAGAGAGCATTCAGGCCCCATCTAAGACAGAAACCAGGTGCTGGCTGAGGCAGGGATATCACAGGAGGGGGGCCAGGGTCCTGAAGAAGGATTCTGGAGGAAGTGACAGAGGATCTGGGCCTGGAAGGAGATCCAGGGTTGGTCTGGGACTGAAGGAAGAGGATGGGGATCCCAGAATACCTGATGGAGAGCAAGCCAGTGGACTGGGAGGCAGGCAGTCGGGTTGGAACCAAATGGCTACTGTCCTTGAATGTCAAGGAACAGGATGTGGATGTTATTGTGTAGATGGCAGGAAGCCATGAGAAGCTTCAGATGAATGAACACCAGCAGTCATCTATACTTTCAGAAAATAACTCTCTGGTCAGGATTGTTCATACTAAGGGGAGTCTGTCCCCTTTAAAAGGCACAGGAGGTGAGTAAGAATGAAAATAATTGACATGCTTGAGCCTGTGCTGTGCCAAGATGGTGTTCTAGCACTTCCCATGCACTCACTTCATTTTCATATCTCTAAGACGTAAATATTTGACAGATGAGGAAACTCAGACACAGTGGTTACACGAGGCCACACAGGCAGAGTGGGGACCTGGATTGAACACGCAGTAGCCTGACCCCAGAGCATCTCCAGCACTCCACCACCTCTCTGAAGGCTCAGGCTCTTCTCAGCCATTAAACTCAGCCCTAGGTCTCACCTCAGGGTGGGGTGGGGGCAGATCAGACCAGGGTCCCCCAGCCCTGGGCCAGGCAGGCAGGGATGGTGCCCTTTCAATCAGAAGCCCCAGCCTGTAGCACCTTCCTGCTCAAACAAGCATCCCTAAAAGCTCAAAGCCCAAAATGAAGTATAAGTAAGATTTGGCCATATGCCAGGCCTGGCTCTCCCAGGGCTGACCCCTTGGATGGGACTGGCCACAAAATGAAGAATAAACCTGCTGCCTGACTCACAGCTCTTAACATCCCAAAAAGAGTACCCATTAGCAGGAGCCTCCACAAAACCTTTCCATGGTATTCCTTTTTGCCTCTTCCTCTGGTCTGAATCTAACCAAACCCAAGAAACATGAAGCAGGCCACACAGTGTCATCATTCAGTAGGTCAAGAAACCCCAAATCTGTGCTGCATGCCTCGCACCTAATTCCCTACTGGAAACCAAGCTTCTTCAGGAGCAGAGGGAAGGACAGGGACCAAGAAGCCATTTGCTCTGGGCTGTGGGGTAGACAGGGACAGGGTAGTCTGTCCAGCACATGAGCTCCATGGCAATGTACCTGTCACAGTGGAATGTTCTACAATGATGGGGGAATTTCCAACCATGACTTGGAGTGTCTGATGGAGATGGTGGTTCTGGTTTATGTAACATTCACAAATAGCAATCTGGACTAAAGGACAGACCTGAAAAAGTGACCCTGCTTAGCAAAGACTTGGTTTAGCCTCTGGGTTTTTCTCAACTCCAGAGCCAGGGAGGACAATGCCCACCATCCAGGAGAAGCCTTTATTTTCTCCCCAATCCAGATGAGACATCCTGGGTGTGGCTCTCCTGCTCCCTCTCTGCTCAAAGCATCTGTCTGCCTCTAGCCTCCCTGCAGGCTCTTGGGAGCTGGTCCAGGACCCAACCCAGATCATCTTTGCCCTGTTGGCCTACATGAGTATTTCCTAAAGAGATATGGAGATCTGGGAATACCCAAACTATGGATGAAGATCCAGAGGAACTCTACCCAAAACATAGAATAAGTGGAGCCTTCAGTCCAGAGAGGGCAATCCAGTGAAACCTCCAGCCACAAACCACTGGCCTCGGCAGGAGCCATGGCCTCTTCACTCCAGGATGGATGTCCAGGATGACTCTGGTGCAAATAATACACATTGACAATAGCAACCTCCACTATCACTTGCCAAGTGTTTACGATTAGCCACACTAAGTGCACCTAAGCCGTAGCTTCACTTAAATGTCACCACCACATTTGAGGCAGCCACTGTTATTATCCTGTGTTCAGAGGGGGTAAATGAGGTGCTGAGAGGCTAGTTGAACTGGGCATAGTCACACAGCTGGACAGAGGCAAGGCTCAGCTTCTGACAGCTCACTATGCCGCTCTAAAAGCTAACATCTACATTAGCCATCAAACAATAAAAAGGACTCACCAGCTAGACTCAGGCACACTCCAGACACGGCAGGTACCAGCAAGCTCCAAGGCCGTTGTTATTTGAAGGGAGAGTTGGATTCGTGTGGGGAGAAGAGTTGCCTCCCCTGCCTCTGTGAGGGTCCTTGGCCCCTCCCCAGGTAGCAGTTGTTCTGCACTGGCAGGGATGAACCGTGGGTATGCTCTGGCACTCAAGGAAAATGCTTCCAGCAATGGCAGCAGCTGCTGTTGCCGTGGCTCTGATTCCCAGAGGATCCCAGAGCTTTTCCCATCATTTTTGCCCTTTTTCAGAAACCACTTAGCGGCTGCCCCGCCTCCAGCCATGCCAGGGCTGTGGTGCACTTAGCCACACACAGCCCTGAACCAGCCAGAGCTGTGAGCTCAGCTCTCACAGAAAAGGAGGGCATGGTTCAGCCCTCCCAAGCCCACCACTCCTACAGACAGGGTGGTCTGGGGGTAAAAACTCAACAAATTCACTGCTCCAGTTTGAAAATGTAGAAGGAATGGAAATGGTCATATCACCCAGTCCTGGCCTGGCATTTAAGGACCTGGTTTTGAATGCTGGCTTTGCCACCAACTCTGTGGAAGCTTGGATGAGTCCTTGCCTCTCAGGCTTCTCATTCCCTGTGGAGCCCTGATGTAGAAATTGGAGTGGGAGGTCCCAGGCTTGCTCAACTGGGATTCTTCATGGAACCTCATGGATTATTTTCTGTGTCTATTTCCTCATTTCACTTAGTATGATCCTAAATGCACAGGAGAAAAGTTAATACAGTAAGGCTTAATACCCTCCCAGAACATGGCTGAGAAAAGCTTCAAAGTCCTTCTGAGCATGCATACGATCTGCAGCCCAAAATGTCCTGCAGAACCCATTCTGGCAGCTGCCTATAAGAACCCTATAGGACTCCAATAAGCCGCAGGCCCCACACACCCTGAAATGAGCAGCCACATGCCAGAAAAGCCCATCGTAGCCCTACTTAGAGTATCTCACAAGGTTGAGCCCTGACTCAAGAGAGTAAAGTGCAGGGACTCCTGGGTGGCTCAGCAGTTGAGCATCTGCCTTGGGCTCACGGCATGATCTCCAATCAGGGGATTGAGTCTCACATCAGGCTCCCCACATGGAGCCTGCTTCCCCTCTGCCTATGTCCTGCCTCTCTGTGTCTCTCGTGAATAAATGAATAAAATCTTAAAAAAAAAAAAAAAGTAAAGTGCAGACACTGCATGGATTTTGTGTGACATTTTATAGTATACAGAAAGACTGCACAAACTCACTCCCCCATGCCACATAACAGCCCCGGGCAGTGGCAGGGCAGGGATTGCCATATTCATTTTACACATGAGACATCTATGTAATTAGCTGATTGCCCAGGTCATGCTGTTGGTCTGGGCATGAAGGCCAACCCCATCTCAACATGCCATACCATGCCCCCTGCTTGAACATCTTTTTATGTGTGTGCCATTTTATCTGTGATACTTTAGTTTCAATAAAAATGAATCTTGGAATTCATTCCTTTTTTTGAAATTTTGGTAAATACATATAACATGAAAAATACCATTTTAACCATTTTAAGCATACAATTCAGTAGCATTAAATACATTCATAATATTGTACAGCCATCACCACGACCCATGTCCAGAACTGTTGTCATCTTACAAAGCTGAAACTCTATACCCATTAAAAACTAACTCCCCATTGTTCCCCTCCCCCAGCCCCTGGCAACCATTCTACATTCTGTGTATGAATTCGAATACTATTAAGACCATCACGTAAGTGGATTCATGCAGTATTTATCTTTTTGTGACTGGCTTATTTTACTTACCATAATAGGCTCAAGATTCATCCATAGCAAATTGCAGAATTTCCTCCCTTTATAAGGCTGAATAATATTCCATCATATGTATATAATGCATTTTATTTAGACATTCGTCTGTCAATGGATACTTGAGTTGTTTCCAACTTTTAACTATGGGACGAATTATGCTGCTATGAACATGGGTGTACAAATACCTCTTTGGGTCACAGCTTTCAATTCTTTGGGGCATATACTCAAAAGTGGGATTGCTGGATCATGGAATTCGTCCTTAATCATACATAACTATCTGTTATATATATATTTGAAACTCACCAGCAGTGATTGCCTCAACCTGCAAGTTCTCTGGGGTCACTGTTCCTTCTAACCACATGTGTGGGCCAGAGGTGCTGAAGGGAACACCTCAGTATGGAGACTGACACGCCTATGCTGTCTTAGGGATGGCCTCTGGCTCGCATACTGCTTCAGCCAGGGCCAGGTCTCAGCCGGTTGCAGCCCTGGGGCATGAGTGGAAACATCTGAGAAAGGCACTGAGACAGCACACAGACCAAATCCAAGAAGGGGAAGGTTACACTCTCCACCAAAACTGTCCCCTTAGCTTCCAAGGTGATTTCTGCCTCCAATGAGGACAACACAGATCACTAAATATGTCCCCTTTGTAACAGGCATTGGGTGCTGACCACATCCCCAGGGCCTGCATGGTACCATTCATGCTGTAAGGGCTACTGGGGAAATTGTGGCCCTTCTCCTCCTTCCCTGAAAGCTTTTCCTCAACACATGGGGACTCCCCAGGGCTGATCCTTATATCCTCCCACCCCTCTCTGAGACCCCCACTCCTCCAACAAGCCAGGGACCCCCCTCATCCAGGGGTCCAGCCCTACCCTCTCCACCGGGCTCCATCCCTACCTCCTGGAATCTCCAGATGAAGACCACAAACCCCTTCTACTCAGAACATCCCAAGAAAGACTCCTCTGCTCTCCACATTCCCTCCTGTCAATGTTCCTGCCTATAGAGGCACCAACTTTCTTGTGCTCATCAAGGCTGACATACTTTGTCATCTCCAGCCTCTCCTTCTCTGTCTTCACTGTCTAGGCTACATTTCTGTGGCTCATATCTATCCCTCTTTGTATCTGGCAGCTACCTCCTCTCACCTGAGACACCAGAAGTGCCTCCCTTCCCTGGCCCAGCACGCTGGCCCACCACCTCCCAATCTCCACTCCTGGAATATCCTCCGGACTGTGCACCCTTACTGAACCTTATCCCTCAGCCTGGCACCCTGAGCCCACAGCCCCCATCTCCACTCCCAGGGTGGTGCAGCCCTTCCTGCCACCTAGACACATCCCCTCCCCAGCCACACTAACTGCCTGCCTCCATGCTCTCCCCCTGCCCACCTTCTGTTCGTGTTTGTGCTGTGCATCTCATTAACTCATCTTTAAGGCCCAGGTGGCAGGTGAGACCCATGGATGCTGAGACTCTAAGCCCTCAACTCCCAGCTCCTCCAAAAAGCCTCCCACCAAGGGCCCAGCCAAAGTACCCACCTCTATATTACAGAAATCTCAGACTATACCTTCCTATAGCAACTGGCACATGTGATCACAATGACAATAATAGCAGTGGATGCTTATTAAGCCCATGCAGCGTGCCATGTTCTGGGCTAAGCACTTTAGGCATTAACTCATCAAACTGTCACAAGGTTTCATGAGGAAAGTTTTATTTTTGTTCTAATTGTATAAATTAGGAAATGAAATATAGACAGGCTACGTAACCCACCCAAGGACAGTGACAATCATCCCAGTCTTGTCTGAGGCTTCCTAAAGCTTGTACCGAACTTTAACTTCTCTGATGTTTGTTTCTAATTTCACAGATTTTAATGCTCCAGGGTGACAATGCTCTTGCCCCATCCATTTTCCTTCTCTAAGCCTAGCTCCATGCCTTGCCCAAAGTAGCACACTGCAAATATTTATTGGCATAGGTTTTTTCTGAGCAAAAGCAGCACTGAGTGGTTCTACTAAAACTCATGAAATGGTGGCAGAGACAAGACCTTGGGGTTGAGCACTGCTGCCATCAGCATAGTTTTCTGGGTCATAATGTACAATAAGGTGTTCGTCCGAGCCCCCTTCCACCCCAGCTTCCATAATCCAAGGATGTTCTTGAATCTATGCAATGATGTACCCATTAAAACCCTTAGTAAGTAGATCATGTTTTAATGATGAATTCTGGGAGGGGGCATTTACTCCAAGCTCAGGTCTGATGGGGACAAGAAGCAGTGAAGGAAGTGCTGGAGGCCCCGCGAGCAAGTGGGTGAGCCAAGTCGGCTGCAGTTCACCCAGTGTTACCACCAGGGGGCACACGGACTTCAACTGAGTCTTTGACTCTGGCAATTAGAATCCTAATTTTCTTCCTCCATCTGGGTTTGGATTGGAAGCCAGACTTTCTGATACAACTAGAAACCAGCAAACTCTCATGTGCTGAAAAAGCCTGATTACCCAAATCAGGAACTGTCAGCCTGACATTTCTGGGAGGAACCAGGTAGGAACCAAGAAGCACTAGTTCCGGCCCCAGGGAAAGTGGTGAAGGCACCACTGCAAGTGCCTGTAACCCACTCAAGAACAGTACCAACTCTACTAGTCTTGTCTTGAGCTTTCTAAATCTTCTGTTGACATTTAACTTCCCGGATTTTTGTGTCTTGCCTCCCAGATTTTAAATGGCTTCAGGGATCCCAGATCCAGATGGCAAACAGCCACCCTGGAAGAAAACTGCTTTCCTTTCTGCATTTCATCTGTGCATTCATGTCACCAAGTCCCCATATAAGTCAGTTTCCATGAAGAGCAGGGCTCTGTGAAAGGGGTTATCACACTCCAGAAGTGAATGGAGCTGGCCACCTAAGCCAGGAAGGAATAAAGCATCAAAGTGAGAGCCAAGCCCTTGCTATGCAGAACTGGGACCCAGAGTGGGAACTGGGAACAAGAGGGAGAAAAGATCGAGGGTCAGGAGCATGGGCAGAGGATGGAGGTGGGAGGGGAGGCCCAGCTGTGCCAGACACCCACTGCATAAATTTGGGTTGGTAGCTGAAGCTCTGGGTCTGTCTTCTCATCCACAAAATGGGTGAGAGCACCTGCCCTACCTGCTTTACTGGGCTTTTCTGGGGATTATTAAGGACACGGGGTGTGAATGGTCTCTGTGAGCTGGTAAAGCCCTAGGCAAGCATGAGGGATTATGGTTCTCATCTTCATTATTTTAAATGAGAACCACATCTGCTGACTGTTGAGCTATATCCGGCCATTAGCTCAAGGTTGTGACTAATTGTTTTTTAATGAAAAAAAAAAAAAGATTTGCTTAATGTTTCATGACTCACACACTGAGTGTCTGTCAATCAAGAATCTCTCAATTTCAAAGATGTGATCTGTCCATCTAACCGCAGCTGAGACAAGAGGTCAGGTACAAACTGCCCTCTTTCCTGAAGGACCACTGAGCACTAGCAAACCCACAGCAAGTGAGCAGGATGAGCAAGATGGTCTCTGCCCTCAAGGAGGTCAGGATGCATGAGGATGAAGACAGTAGGCTTTCTCTGACATTTTACTGGCTGGGGCACCCTATGACAAGCACAAGCCAGGAACCAATAGGCCATGCCAACAGCAAACACTGATTGGGGTCCTGGATATCAGCTATATTGATGATCCAGTGACAAGTATGCCGCCAGGGAGACTTTGTAACAGGCAGACGGTATTTGAGCTGGGCCTCAGACAAGGCATAATGTTCTGCCCTGGGAGGAGTGCATTCCAAACATGGGCATCAGCTTGAGATTAAGGAGAAGGACAAGGCAGAGAACACCTTAAGAGGAACCCTTCCCTCAAGCAGCTTTCAGTGTAGCTGAGAAGAAAAACTGAGAGCATGAAAGCCATATAAACATTATATGGTCTAGGCATAGTCAAGGGCCAAAGGAAGAATTATGTGTGGCAGGCTCTGCCCCCAGCTTGGTTAGGGCCCACCATCTCTCACAGACTGTCTTCTAGGCTCCTCCAATTGGGCCTCTGCCTTCTGCAATACCCATTCTCCAATCTAGAGTCTATATGGCCAGCAGTTATACTCCTAGGACCCATGAAGCCTGCCCTCCTCTCCAATGCCCACAGGAGAAAGTCCAAGCCCCTTCATCTGGCATCTAAGACCCTTCACAGTTTGGCAAACACTTCCAGTCACAAATCCCATCACATCCTTTCATATGCCCTATGACGAAGTTATACCAGATAATTCATCACACTCTGCTCCTGTCAGTCTTTCATGTGAATGAATGCATTTGCTCTCTCAGCCTAGAGTGCTGAAGAAAGTGGGCTCTGGGGTTGAATCTTAGAGTTGTGATCTTAGGTAAGTTACTTAACTTTTTTATGTCTCGTTTTCTTCAGCTGAGAAATGAAGATAATAGTACCCACCATCTAGGGTCACCATAAAGATCAAATAGGTCCAAACAAGAAGAGTTTAGATTAGTTCCTAGTACAAAGCAGGTACTCAAAAAACATTATTGTTGGTATTGATGGACTGAAACTCTCCAAGGTTTAGCTCAATGTCACTTACATAAAGAATGAATTGTTCTTCCTTCTGCACATACATAAATCTGTCCTACTATTTATTTCATTCCCTAGTGATGGAAATTCAATAACTCATCACTGTCCTGAAATAACACCCAGGTCCTAGGGGGTGCCAATAAATGTCTGTATCTGTGCTGGGTGCAGCTGAGGCTTCTCAGGTAGTCTGTGCTGTGGCTGTAGTAGTCAGGATATACTACATTATGCTATGGTAACAAACAATCCCCAAATGTCAGTGGTTTCCAATATCAAAGGTTTATTTGTCAGTCACACTGCATGTTGCTCATCTGTTGGTGAGGGTTCTACACTATACTACCCTAACATGGAACCCAAGCTGACAGAGCTTCCGTTCTCTGGGACACTACAATAATTTATGATATTCCTAAAGCTGACAAGTGTCTTATGAAAGGAACAAGGCTCTGGAAGAATGAGCTTCAGTTTCTGAAATCTAACAAGCATGGCCAGGCGGATTAATCTAAGAGCTTTGGACAATCACATGATTCATAAAGTGACTTACAAAGAGACATGACTACTTCCCAAATTCATAGTTGCCCAGGTGCCTCAGAGTCAGGCCTGCCAGAGTCTTGGGAATCACTCTTAGGAATCTGAACTAGACACAGCAACAATGGCTTTCTCCTGGAAGCCATGCCATAGTCATTCCTACCAACTACAGGAAGGTTTAAGATGTTCTAGATCGGTTTTCTGGAGAGCTTCTCGGCAAGATGGCAGAAGAGTAGGGGTCCTCAACTCACCTGGTCCCACAAACTTACCTAGAAAACTTTCTAAACATCCTGAACACCTACGAATTTGACCTGAGATTTAAAGAGAGAACAGCTGGAATGCTACAGAGAGAAAAGTTTTCGCTTCTAACAAAGTAAGAAGGTGAAAAAATAAAAAACTTAAGTGGGGGAGGGGCCCCACGAGTAGCCGGGCCAGCTCAGAGTGGTGAGAGCCTCCGGGACAGGAAAGCCCAGCCCTGAAGAAGTGGGAACTTTAAAAATCCACGCTGGAGTTTTCCCGGACAGAAAAGTGCTCAGTGGGGAAATCGGGCAGAATCTCAGGAGGTGCAGTGAAGCCTCCAGATTCCCAAAGTCACTAATAAAGGAAGAGCGGGGGGGGGGGGGGGGCACGACTCTCACTGCAAACTGTGGACTGATCTCCCTAAAGTGCTGGAGCACACAGCGGAAGGGCATTTGGGAGAAGCCAGTCGGTTATGCGGAGGCTCCCCAACGGAGGTGTCTGTGCCCTGCTGCCTTTGGGAGCCGCCCACCTCAGGAGCGTGTTTCCAGAGCACAGGGCCCAGATCCCAGGGTGCTGAGCGGACACAGCCTGCAATCCTGTGCTCCCCCTGGCACAGGCGGAAGCGAGGAGGACACAAAACAGCGAGGACTCTCCTGCGGCCCGGGCGCCTCCAAGCTATGCAGATCAGCGCCCCGGCACTGCCCCGGGAATATCTAAGCCAGTGTGGACTGGGAGACTGCGTTAGTTACTAGTGGGGAGCTGACTCCAGGGCTGGAATTCTGGCCGCTGTTGCCATTGTTGTTGTTCCTCCTTGTTTCACCTTATGCCTGGGAGGTGGGGCCGCCGGGAACAAAGGGCCTCTCACCGAGGTAAACAGCTCCCACTGAGCCCTGCACTGGCAGGGGGGCGGAGATGCCCTGCCCCACACACCTGAGAATCAGCACAGCAGGCCCCTGACCCAGAAGACTACCTGGAAGTAAAAGGGAAGAGCAAGTTCTTGACCAAGCAGCACTGGAAAGCTCCAGGACCAGGGGAAAATCAAGGGAAAATAGTATATACAACTAGAGGGTCCCTTTTTTCCCCTTCTTTTTTCCCTTTTTCCATTACAACTCATTTTTATACCAGACTAAAAATTTCCAATACTTTTTCTCTTTTCCTGCCTTATTGGAACTTTATCAGGATAAAAAGCTTTTGCACAGCAAAAGAAACAGTCAACAAAACTCAAAGACAACCTACAGAATGGAAGAAGATATTTGCAAATGACATATCAGATAAAGGGCTAGTGCCCAAGATCTATAAAGAACTTCTTAAACTCAACAGCCAAGAAACAAAAAAATCCAATCCTGAAATGGGCAGAAGACATGAACAGAAATTTCACCAAAGAAGACATACACATGGCCAATAAACACATGATAAAATGCTCCATATCATGTACCATTAAGGAAATCCAAATCAAAACCACAATGAGATGCCACCTCACACCAGTAAGAATGAAAATTAACAAGACAGGAAACAACAAATGTTGGAGAGGATGTGGAGAAGGGGGAACCCTCTAGCTCTGTTGGAGGGAATGTGAACTAGTACAGCCACTCTGGAAAACTGTGTGGAGGTTCCTCAATTTGTTAAAAATAGAGCTACCATACGACCCAGTAACTGCACTACTGGATATTTACCCCAAAGATACAGATGTAGTCAAATGCCAGGACACCTGCATCCCAATGTTCATAGCAGCAATGTCCACAATAGCCAAACTGTGGAAGCAGGCATGATGTCCTTCAACAGATGAATAAAGAAGATGTGGTCTATATATACAATGGAATATTACTGAGCCATTAGAGAGGATGAATACCCACCATTTGCTTCAACATGGATGGAACTGGAGGGTATGATTCTTAGTGAAGTAAGTCAATTGGAGAAGGACAATCATCACATGGTCTCACACATACGTGGAATATAAGAAATAGTGAAAGGGATTATAAGGGAAAGGAGGGAAAATGAGTGGGAAAAATTAGAGAGGGAGACAAACCATGGGACTCCTAACTGGGAAATGAACAAAGGGTTGTGGAAGGGGAGTTATGCAGGGGGATGGGGTAACTGTTGAACTTGGGTGATGGGCAATGAGGAGGGCACTTGATGGGATGAGCACTGGGTGTTATACTACATGTTGGGAAATCGAATGTCAATTTAAAAAAGAAAAAAGAAAAAAGATGCTCTGGGATCCCTGCAGGGATGCTGAATCCCATGGGATGTTTCTGCAAGCCAGGAATACATAGTGGGCCAGCAAGGCCTTCACTAAGAGAAAGAAAAGCTAGTGCCTGCAAGATGAGGGGTTCTTTTTCATTAAATTGGCCACCCTCTCTGACAGGAACATGCCCAGCCACATCTCTTCCTTTGGAAGACTTCCCAAGAATGTACAGTGGCAAAAACACACTGCTGCCCAGACATATGCCTAAAAAAAGTATCCTGCTAATTAATGCCTAATCAGACCCTTCAGAAAAATGTATCTGAATGGCAGAGCTATGCGGCATCTATCCCCATTGCTGATCACACTACCCACCTTTCCTGCCCTGTTCTGTGCCTTCAAGCCAGTTGTGTTAAGGATCTGGAGCAGCTCCAGGGATATCTGGGTGGCTCAGTTAAGTGTCTGCCTTCAACTCAGGTCATGATCCCAGGGTCCTGGGATGGAGTCCCACGTCAAGCTCCTTGCTCAGCGGGGAGTCTGCTTCTCCCTCTCCCTCACCCCTATCTCCCACTTGTATTCTATCTCTCATTCTGTCTCAAAAAAATGAATAAAATATTTTTTAAAATAATATAAAAGAAGGATCTGGAGCAGCTCCACTGCAGCAGGCTCTCCTTGGAAGGGGAAGCATGTGGTGAGGTCAGCACAGACCCTTGCCTCTTCATCTCAGCCACTCTGTTTTACTATCTTGGGCCACTCCTGGCATCAGCTAGCCAGCTGTAGCTAAGGGAAAACAAGAATGGGAGAGGGGCCTCAGGGACACACAATCCAGTAGGCAAAGACTTTTCCAACAGTGCCTGTGATGCAAGTCTGGGCTTCATGTCCCAAAAGACAATCATTCCAAAAGCCAGAAGGGGGGGGGGGGTGTCTTCTCTTCTTACTTGGAGCCCAGAGCCACTAGACTTTTTGGTGTCTAAGGTCCACATTTATTTTCCCTTTGTTTACAGGTGAATCACAGAGGAGCCTACTGACCAGGATGCTGGGCTACTGTTCCTTTTCTTTTTTTTCCCCTCTTTTTTTCCACATTTACATTTGTGAGTGGTTCCCAAGCGAGTCTCTTGGAAAGCACGGATTTGGGATCCAGTTGATGACTCTTGGCTGCATTATTAGAGTATGCCCTGAAGGTAGGTTCTTGGTCAAGATGGTGCCTTGGTCAAACAAGCTTTGCTTAAAAGCTGCCCACAAAACTGTCCAGGAAGAGGATGAGCCAAACGTCATGTCAGGAATGTGAATTAGATAAAATTTCCAACAGTCCTTTGGCCAAAGAATGCACTAAGACTCCCTCTGGTTAAGATTTTTCTGGAGCATGACCAGTGCTGCCCCCACAGCTGCGTCCACATCCTGCCCAAAGGACACTGGGAAGGGAAAAGCCCTCTGCACCTCCTGCTTCAACACCTCATTCCTGGACAGCGCACTCCCACTGCCAATCACCCGCTCCACACCCCATTCCTTGAGCTGTTGAAATGGAAGCATGGAGTGCAGGTTTTGGACAATGCCTCGGCACAGGGCCCTGGTCACATGCCCCAGGGTGAGATCAGAGGAAGAGATTCTGGTCACTGAGGCTAGCTGGTCTGGTAAGTGCCTCTCCCCCAACACCGTTGGAGTGATAGTTAGGCAGGTGTCTCTCTGCTGTGCAGCTGCCTGGATCATGCGTGAATACACAGTGGATTCTTCAACTTCTAGACCTTCCAAAAACAGAAAAGACCTGTGTGAGTTCATGCACCCTTTGGGATAGTCTGAGACAATACATAACTCTTAGAGGGCAGGGATAGATTTACTTGCTACTCCTCCTCACCATGGCTAACTGTTTCCTGGCTCAGGGACTCACATAGTCTAGTTAGCTATGCTCTGCTCCAGACATCAGCCAGCTCTCTCACTGCAAACCCCAGCCTAGACTTCAGGGAGAGATCTTGTAAGTGTTGCTGTGAGCCCTAACTATCCCATAACTAAGCATCCCACATCTATGCTCCCAAGGGAGGCAAATGCACACACTGATCAAAAAGCATCATCACAACTACTAGTAGACTTATTAGCAGTGTCAGAAACCCCAGGACCACAGCGCTGATCGCAGTCTAGCCCAGCCCTCATCATCGGAGGTTGAGAACCACCAGTCTAGACCAATGCTTTTCACATTTAAATATGTATATGAATCACTTAGGGATCTTATTAAAAAGCAGTTTCTGACTCAGTGTGCCTGGAGTGGGCCCTAAGATTCTGTAGTTGTTATACACTCCAAGAGAAAGCCAGTGCTGCTGGCCCAAGAACCACATTTTTGAAGTAGAAGGTTCTAGACCAGTGCTTACCAACACTTAAAGGCATAACAATCACCTGAGGAGCTTTTATAAAATGCCTACCCCACCCTACCCCATGGCCAAATCATCAGCATTCTGCAGGCAGGACTAGGACATCAACATTGTTTTTAAAAATTCACAAGTGTTTCCGGTGTGCAGCCAGTGCTGAGAGCTGCCACCCCAGAATTACCATGAAGTTTCATCAGCAGCACATTTAACTTATACAAACTCAACTATACATACTTGGGGATATGAGAGAGAGAGAGAGAGAAATAATTTAAATTTCATAGTCAAAATGTGATCAGAAAAACTCTAGTTAAATATGTCAGAATCAGGGCACCTGGCTGACTTGGTCAGTAGAGTATGTAACTCTTGATTTCAGGGTTGTGAGTTCAAGTCCCCTATTGAGCATAGGGCCTACTTAAAAAAAAAAAAAAAGCCAGAATGAATATTAGTGTCTTCCCCCACCTTCTAGAAATTCTACTAAAATCTCAGAAAAATCACATGCTTGGTGAATAACCTAGCACATGCATACACATATATAAATCTGTAGGACTAAAGCCTTGGAGAACTGCTGGTTCAAAAGATATGCACATCATATTCCCCTCCTTAGAAGCTGGACCAATACACACTACTACTGCAATGTATAAGAGAGATTATATCTCCATATCCTAGGATCCCTCATGCATTGAAAACTTCTAAAAAATAGATAAATAATATAAAACCATGAAACTAATGGGGAAAAAGGGAAAGGAAATGAAAAAGAAAAAAATGGATCAAACAGAAAGCTTTCAAATAAAAAAGCTCCATCTGGCTGGCTCAACTGGTAGAGCATGTGATTCTTGAACTCAGAGTCATGAGCTTAAGCCCCACATTGGAAGTAGAGATTACTTAATAAATAAAAACTAAAAAAAAAAAATAGAAAGCAGAGAGACTAGGAGATACGATGATTAAATGCAATGTGGTATCCTGAATTGATTCCTGGAACAGAAAAACAACATTAGTGGAAAACTGTCAAAACCCAAAGAAAGTCTATAGTTAAAAAGAAGAAAACAATGAACAATGTGTTTACATATCCTTGATAAACATTGCCAAAAGAATGTTAAGGAAATGTTAAAATAAAGTGTTCTTCCTCACTGGGAAATATCTGGACCATGAACCCAGCTTTGGGGGGCACCTGATGGAAGGTGTATACCAGCTGGAGGCCTGAGAGATCTGGCTTCTAGACCTGACTCTGCGTCTCTTGACTTACCACCTCATCCAAATCTATTGGTGGCAATTAAATGCTATGAGTTGCCAAATATTCACATCATAGGCCTAGAACCACAGACCATCAGAGCTGAAAAAACAGAAAAGGGAAGGGACTTGCCAAGTCCCTTAATGACTTAGGACAGAGCTGAGAACTGAGGCCACTAACTGGGTATACCACTACACTATGCTTATTTAACAAGCAGTTATATCACACTTATTATGGGCCAGACTTCATTCTAACTGCTTTGCAATATAACTTATTTGATCCTCGAAGTCCTTTGAGGTAGGTCTAGGATAATCCCTTTTTCAGATGAGGAAAGTGAAGAATAGAGAGGATAAGTAACCTGCCGAAAAGCACAAGGAAGTAGCAGAGCTGGGATTCAAATTCAGGTCACCTGGCTCCAGAGTCCCTGCTCTAAACTACATGGGAATCGAACTCCCTGTTTTCTAACTTCTGGAAAATAATGCAAACCTAGGGTACTCTGAATAGAGAGAGAGTTTTATTTTTTTATTTATTTTTTAAAGATTTATTTATTTATTTATGATGGGGGGGGGCAGAGACACAGGAGGAGGGAAAAGCAGGCTCAATGCCGGGAGCCCAATGCGGGACTTGATCCCGGGACTCCAGGATTGCGCCCTGGGCCAAAGGCAGGCGCAAAACCACTGAGCCACCCAGGGATCCCTGAGAGTTTTATTTTTATATGTTATGCTTTAATATTTCTATTTCTGGTTAATAAATATAATACCTTTTATCTCACTAAACCTTATTGTATTTGCATCTATATATTTTTTAAGACTTTATTTATTTATTTATTTATTTATTTATTTATTTATTTATTTATTTATTTATTTATTTAAGAGAGAACACAAGCAGGAAGGAGGGGCAGAGGGAGAGAGAGAAGCAGACTCCCCGCTGAGCAGGGAGCTCAAAGCAGGGCTCCATCCCAGGAACCTGGGATCCTGACCTGAGCCAAAGGTAGATAGATGGTTGAATGACTGAGCCACTCATGTGCCCCACATCTGTCTATCTACCTATTTATTTATTTTAGAGAGAGAGGGGATGAGCAAAAGGAGAGAGAGAAAGAATCTTGAGCAGACTCCCTGCTAAGCATGGAGCCCGATGCAGGGCTTGATTCCAAAACCCTTAGATCATGACCTGAGCCCAAATCCAGAGATGGATGCTTAAGCAAGTGAGCCACCTGGTGGCCCTATTTATTTATTTTAGAGAGAGAAAGAGTGCACATGAACAGGGGGAGGGGCAGAGGGAGAGAAAGAGAAAGAATCCTCAAGCCAACTTCATGCCAAGTGTGGAGCCCTAGAGGGGACTTGATTCCAGGGCACCAAGATCATGACCTGAGCTGAAATCAAGAGTTAGATGTTTAACTGAGCCACCTACGTGTCCTTGCATCTATATATATTTTTTTAATCAAATTATATAATTGTAGAAATTTCATAAAAGTTTAAGTTACATATAATATTAACCTTCAAAGTCCTCAGGTACATCTTCAAAATATGTCTTCATATGTCAAATATGTCAAAATATGTCTTCAAAATAAGAACCATGAAAATGAAAAAGACTTTTCTTTTTGAAAGGATCTTACAAAGAAATCCATCTCTTTCAGGTGTAAAACTAACAGTCACTTCGGTGTAAAGATAAATACTGGTCAACTCTGCCAACAATTGATAGAGCCACCCAGTTAAACCAGTATCTAAACACAGGGCTTGCCTGAAGATTCTTTTTTTTTTTTAAGATTTTATTTATTTATTCATGAGAGACACAGAGAAAGAGAGAGAGAGAGGCAGAGACATAGGCAGAGGGAGAAGCAGGCTCCATGCAGGGAGCCCGACGTGGAACCGGATCCCTGGTTTCCAGGATCAGGCCCTGGGCTGAAGGCGGCACTAAACCGCTGAGCCACCCAGGCTGCCCTTGCCTGAAGATTCTCTTTTTTTTTTTTTTTTAAGATTTTTATTTATTTATTCATAGACACAGAGAGAGAGAGGCAGAGACACAGGCAGAGGGAGAAGCAGGCTCCATGCAGGGAGCCCGATGTGGGACTCGATCCTGGGTCCCCAGGATAACACCCCAGGCTGCAGGCGGCGCCTAACCGCTGCGCCACCAGGGCTGCCCTTGCCTGAAGATTCTGATGACTGGTTCTGCATCTTGAAAACCTTCTCTGGCTCAAGGCTAAACAAAATCAGAGTTCTCTTCTTTTAATGAAGCATTCCTGAGGGGATCTCAGCCAAAGGGGCAGAATTCCCTGAAATCCTGACATCCCTGGCCAGCCTGAAAGGACTGATAGGAGTCAGGAACACTTGTCTGCACAACTAGCTCACAACATGAGCTTCCCATGTGCTCTCTCTTGCCTGTGCCTCACCTTGTCACTATGCTCAAAGTTTCCTGGAGTGACCCTATTCAGAGCTCCTACAGGTAGGCCAGTGCATCTAATGAACACGATTTCCCTAGGCCTGCATGGCTGATCAGAAATTTCATTTCTACCTTAAGTGCTTGGAAATGGAACCTCTCCTAGAAGGAGGTTATATATTTCTCTGTAAATGAAGATCAGAGAAAGGCCCAATCTATTCTATCCTGAAGAAAGCAGGAGGGCATCAGATTCCCAGGGATCCTTTCCAAGAAAGGGAGTCAGGAACTACTCGTCAGGAATAAGTGCTATGAGGATCTTATAATACTATAAAATACCAGGAGTCTTTTCCATTCATCCATGTTTGATCATTTTATTTTCAGATGTCTGTAGTCATCAGAAGGAAAACCTTGAATGCAAGGGACGGTGACCTACTAACAGAGAAGTAACCAGTGGGCAGGGGAAAGCCAGGAGACTACTATGACATTCCAAAGTCAAGGTTAGCGGGGAAGGTGCCCCCTCAGAAAATAATAAGTGACGGCAGCTCAGAAGATGAGAGGAAAGAAGGCTCCAAGCCCAGATCCTTAAAAAAGGAAGGAATGTGCTGGAGCCTGGATGGGTCTGACATCATGAATAACACAGGCAGCACAGACACTGCCAATAGGAAGGACAAACAGAGAACACATCACTGTGTGGGCAATGTCTTACCTAGATCCATCATCCACTGTACCAGCATGTGGACAAACGTGGCCAGCACGTTGCCCCCATTGAGTGATGCTGCCACTGCCAGGTAGGTCCTGTCAAAGTATGGGAAGTAGGTGACAGGAGCTGCAGGGTCTGGAGTCTGCGCCGGCTGGAATCCAGAAGGCATGGAGGTTGCCAACTGAACTGAGGTGCTGATGTTGAGAACTGTGGTCCAAGGAAAGCAGAAGTTAGGCCTGGCTGGCTGGCTCAGGCATCATAGGTCACAAAGGGCAAGAGAGAGTGTGCTGGTTTAAAAAATACATTTTCTACTTGATGGGCTGAGCACTGGATGTTATACTATGTGTTGGCAAATTGAACTTGAATAAAAAAAAATAATCAATTTAAGAAATTTTTAAAAATTAAAAACAAAATAAAAATTTAAAATATGTCTTCAAATTCTTTAAGACTCCTCCTTTCAGGAGGTAGAGCCTTATTCCCCCCACTGCCTGAGTTTGGGCTGGCCTGGGGGTCTTGCTTCTGATGAGGAAAATAAAGCAGAAGTGACCCTGTGTGATTCTGGGGCCCAAGTCATAAAAAGGCACTGAAGCTTCTGTCTCAGATCACTTGCTCTGGGGAAAGGCAGGCACCAGGTCATGAGCAGCCCTGCAGGGAGGTCCATGTGGCAAAAAAAAACTGAGGCCTCCTGATAAAAGCCCCATGAATGAGCTGAGAAGTTGATCCACAGGCCTGGTCAAGCCTTTGGATGACTGCAGTCCCAGCAGAACAACAGTGTGATTGTAATTTCACGAGAGACCTTGAACCAGACCATCCAGCCACACCCAGATTCCCAATTCTCAGAAACTATGAGAGATAATAAATGTTTGCTGTTTTAGGCTACTAAGTATGGGAGTGATTTGTTACACAGTAATTTACAAGGATTTGCAGCCCAAGTATTTGACTTTCTGGGGAGGTCTCATTCATTTTCAGCAAGTGCCACCTCCTTCTCACAACCATGGTGTTTTTCTTAATCTCCCTCTATCAGCAGGAAAAAAGCTCCCAGACTCAGCACAGAGGGGATGATTTTCTCCTCTATTTGAGGCCAGAGCCTGTGGACTGACTATTCTAGAAGTCTCTTCTCTTCCATTTCTCACAAGACCAGGCCAAAAAGCCTGTTCTTCTCAGTTTGTTGGGGTCTAAAATAACTGAGGTCAGCATGTAACTTTCCTATCTATAGAAGGTTAGAGGCAAGGAGGCTGAAAACAAGTCTCAGAAAGCCAATAATCTCTACTGTCTGCCACATCAAGCCTTTCACCATGACTTTTTTTTTAAAGATTTTAAAGATTTTATTTATTTATTCATGAGAGACAGAGGGGGCGGGGGAGGCAGGCTCCATGCAGGGAGCCCGACGTGGGACTGGATCCCAGGTCTCCAGAATCATGCCCTGAGCTGAAGGCGGCGCTAAACCGCTGAGCCACTGGGGCTGCCCCTTTCACCATGACTCTTTACCAGAAACAATATGCATTCATTTCAAGGATGGAGAGGCCAACCAACTTTGCCCATGGACACAACAAAAGAGCACAGCCAGCAGCCCCAATCTAGAACCAGAGACTACAACCAGCTCAGTGAAGAGGGAGCCTAATTCTTACTTTTTCCCATTTGAATAGCTCTCACTTACTTACAGAAAGCACATTTACATCCAGGTACAGGACAGTCCTCTGTCAAGGAACAGCCTATAATTTGAAAACCACCAGGGTAGAAAAAAAAAGAGCCAGGTTCTTTACAGGCACCATCCCAGTATGTCACCAAAACTGTCCACGAGAAACATTTCATTGCCCTCATTTTGGATGATAACAAGGGCTCAGGAAGAAAAGCAACCTATACAAGGTCATACCAGAAGAAGAAGAGGGCTAAATGCTAACCCAGGCCAGTAGGCTGGACTCCAAAGCCCACATGAGTTCCCTGACATTCACACTTTGAGATGAAAGGCTATAAGGCAAGAGATGGTATATTGGGAAAATTAAGTCACAGAATAAATTTAGCATATATTCCTGGAGCATTGATTTTAGTTGAAAATTTGGGAGAAAAGGTTTTGAAAAATTTTTGGACTTAAAAGATTTTAACACATGTATGTGCAAACAAAATTGGCAGAATTTCACTTTTCCCTTACAGCTAATTTTGAATTTAGAGGAATTACTACCCAAAATAAGACAAAAACAGTCCTTGAAATGTTATTTCCTAAGGACATCATAAAATAGGAATAAACTGCATAGAGAAGGCTGGTCAGAATTTTTTAACTCAGGGTTGAATTGTTGTAGTTCTAACTGATGGAAGAAAAAAGATCTGGTAACAAAGAACTCAGGTAAGGGGATCCCTGGGTGGCTCAGCGGTTTCGCACCTGCCTTTGGCCCAGGGCGCAATCCTGGAGTCCCGGGATCGAGTCCCGCGTCGGGCTCCCGGCATGGAGCCTGCTTCTCCCTCTGCCTATGTCTCTGCCTCTCTCTCTCTCTCTATCATAAATAAATAAAAATAAATCTTTAAAAAAAAAAAAAGAACTCAGGTAAGATGAATGCATTCCCCATTCCCCTTGATAACGAGGAGGGGCTCTCCAGAGTGGACCTACTCAGCCAGGCTTCCATGAGGATAAAATGAAACCCCCATTCTGCAACTACCCTGCTTGGGCAGGCAGGCCCCACTTCTCCCCTAGCCCAGGGAGGGGCAAATAGCAACCCACAGGCCATATCTACCTCCATGTGTTCCCATGTGCTCCATGAGCTAAGAACGGCTTTTACATTTTGTTTACATAATACTTATTGAGATATAATTCACCATAAAAAGCAAACTTTTAAAGGGTATAATTCAGTGGTTTTTACATTTTGTTTACATAATACCTATTGAGATATAATTCACCATAAAAAGCAAACTTTTAAAGGGTATAATTCAGTGGTTTTTAGTATGTTCATGATTATACAACCATCACCACTATCTAATTTTAAAATGTTTTCATTACCCCAAAAAGAAAGCTTGTATCCATTAGTACTCACTGCTCCCCGTGGCCCCCAGCTTTCCATCTCTATGGATTTGCCTGTTCTGAACCTTTCTTAGGAATGGAGCCATACAGCACGTGGCCTTCTGGAACTGGCTTCTTTCATTCCTCTCTTTTACTCCCAAGTGTGGCATTTTAGCTATGTAGATAGATCACATTTTAAAAATCTATTTATCAGTTGGTGTGCATTTGGACTGTTTCTACTTTTTGAATTATGAATTATTATACATAATGCTGCTAAGAACATCTGTTTGAAGTGTTTGTGTGGACATGTGTTTCCAGCTCTCTTGGGTGGTGTGCACCTGGGAGCAGAATTGCTGGGTCACATGGTAACTCCGTGTTTAACTTCTGAGGAACTACTGAGTTTTCCGAAGGGGCTGCAGCATTTTCAAATCAAGTGGCATGTTCTTACATTTTTAAATGGTTGAGAAGAAATCAAAAGGAGAAGAAAATTTCATGACACATGAAAATTCTATGAAATTCACATTTTAGCATCTATAAATGAAGTTTTATTGAAACACAGCTATAGGGGCAGCCCCGGGTGGCCCAGCGGTTTAGCGCCGCCTTCAGCCTGGAGTGTGGTCCTGGAGACCTGGGATCAAGTCCCACATCAGGCTCCCTGCATGGAGCCTGCTTCTCCCTCTGCCTGTGTCTCTTCCTCTCTCTCTCTGTGTCTGTCATGAATAAATAAATAAAATATTAAAAAAGCAAGCAAGAAAGAAAGAAAGAAAGACAGCTATAACCCTATTCATTCATTTATGTATTCGCTATGGCTGTTTCCATACCCCCAACAGAGTTGAGTTGTTTTGACAGAAACTATATGTCTTACAAAACCTAAAATATTTACTATCTGGCCCTTTACCGAAAAGTTTACCAAGCCCCCTTCCCTAGCCTGCAGCCTCCACCTCACTGTGACTCTCTTACACCAAATACAGAAAGACTCTACACTTCTAATCAGATCGGATGGAACTTTCATTGACGAACACACAATAACAAACACCCTAATCTACTCATCTATTTTTTTGGTCATGGAGTTATACAGAAATCAGTCAACTAGAGAGAATCATTTCCTTTACCTGGTCCTAAAGAGAAAAAGCACAGACTGTGGTCAGGGACCAAACTTGCCCTGTTGGGTTGTAAATCCCTAGAGGAGGGGCTTCACCTGGAGGAATGAGGTGGGAAACATGTTTTTCCATGTTTACAGAATAACAATCAACAGAGTGCTGAGGCTGCTGGTTACATGTGCCCCTTGGGCTCTCACACAGAGCTGGAGCTTAGGAGGCACCAGCAGAAGTCTGAGGAGCAAACAAAAGAAAGACTTACCTGCATCTGTCCTTTTGGCCATACAGGAATACACGGAGGCCTGTAAATCACCCAAGGCCACGCCCACCGGTGTCCCCTCTGGGATTTCAAACCAGGCACGGGAAGTTCTGCCTGCCACACTGCCGGCCTCAGCGATGTCTGGGAGCAGGTGGACAGGAAAGCCTGAGGCCCTCAATCTGCAATCCAGAAATGGGCAGTGCACTTACTCAGAGCTGGATTTTTTTTGGTCTTTGTTGTTTCCAGGAAACTCAATGAAGGAAAGCACTATAGGGTACACATATGAGAAGGGAGGTTAGAATCCAGTGTTTTCACAGAGGGCCTCTTTGGCTTTTTTAAACCATGAGAAACAGACTTGCATTTTTTTAAAAGTGAACACTGGCTTTCAAAAGCATGGCATTGGCCTTCCCGGAAGAAGACAGTCAGTTCAAGCCGGGGTGATCAGGAGAATTAGATAGGAACCAGATATCATTTCCACCCAGCCTCCTATGTTTGAAAGACACACAAATACTCTACAAAGCGGGGGGGGGGGGGGGGGGGGGGGTCAGAGTTTCAGCACAAAGTCACAGTTGGTTATAGCACAGGCCAAACCAAAGTCAAACCCCTCAGTTTCCTGAATACCAACTGCATTCATCACTCAGGGTTAGTAAACATGGGGCTGTTTTTATAAAACATGCTTAGAAAGTCCTTTACCTGAACTACCACATGCTTTTTGGTTTTTTTACAGAGCTCAGAATTTGGACCCTGAAGGAAGTGAACTTAGAGGGCACTGGATTTCTTGATCTGAAAAGGCAAATGAGTCCTTAAAAAGAACTTTTAAAAGACATCCCTCAAAACTACTACTTTCATTTCTTAAGCTTATTTTAAATTTCCTTACACTGAAAGTTGTTCTTTGAAATCTGCAGGCTAGGTCCAAGTCACAGAGTACTGGGGAGGCCAACCTAGGTCTGGGCCAATGTGGAGGAGCAGGACAGCATGGTGTAAGGGGTACCCCCTCCAAGGGTTCATTCACAGCCAGGCCCACCCATGCCTGGTGACTGGAATAGGCTGATAGACGATTCCTGGCCTCTTGGAATCCTCCACTATTATTCCCAAATTGGAAAGCACCACTATATCTCTCATATTAGAGCTTCTGGCCTTTAGCCTGGAGTCAGCCTGCAAGGATATACTCACATCTCTAAGTTCCAGCTTTGGCTCTGAGTGTTGAAATATCCCCAGCTAGCAGCATTCTGGTCGCACATCAGGGATCTTGGCAAGCCACACAGCATGGCAACCACATAGTCATGGATGGTGCCAGCAGCATCGTAGGACTTCAGCAACTCTGGGCTAGTTTTCATATCAAAAACAATTCAACATAGTCTAATAATAACTTGAAAGCATATACTATACCCAGCTGCAGGCAGTGGACTAGATGTGGCATAAGCTGGGTGGGAGCAAGCACCCCACGTCCGTGGCTCCCCAACAGCTGAATCTCCCAGGGTGAGGGCCTCCCAGCCACTCAAAGCAAAGCTGGCTGGAGTCCGCCTTAGGGGAGTGGTCTCAGGGAAGGCAGCACCATGCTTGAGAAAGCAGGACATTGGCCATTCTTAGCAGCTCTGACCCCACCATGAACTTACCAAACAACCCCTTTGCAAGTACCTTGCTCTCTCAGCCTCTTTCTTTCCCCCTCTGATTTAGAATCAGATAACCAACAAAGAGCCTTCTGAAAAGTGAAGCAGTTCTAGACCAAGTCTAGGTCTTGCGACCACATCCTTTGCCAGGCCACCTCGCTGAGGGATATTCCAGCAGGTGGAGTGATGCTGACTGGCTGGAGATATAGCCCTCTGGCCACTCTCATTTCCCTGGAAATCCAGCACCCAATTCCAAAATCAGTTGTCCGTACCTATTCTTCAAAAGCCAGAAGATGGTTGCACAGCCAAATCCTGAGGCCACACTGAGATGGGACTCTGGCTGGGGCAAAGAAGCTAGGAACCCGCTGCTACACCGGCCATCCTGCCATGTGACCAGGTGGCTCACGGCTCCAGGCTCAAACACAGGAGAAACTCTTCCCTCTCTCCATTCACAACCTGGAACAAAGGCGATTACCAAAAACAGAGTAAAGAACAACTGACCAGCAGCAACATGTCCTTGAGACCACTCTGCTAGGGAGGTTACAGCATGACTTTATTACCTATGATAATGCTTCATTCACACACATGTGTTCTGATATCAGGGCACCTGGGATCTACCACCAATGGCTGTGTGATTCTGGCCAAGTCACCTACTCCCTCCATTCATTCCACTTCTTCTATGTTCCCTTTAATTCCTGGGTTTTTTTTTAAGATTTTATTTATTTATTCATGAGAGACACACAAGAGAGGTAGAGACACAGTAAGAGGGAGAAGCAGGCTCCCCATGGGGAGCCCGATGCGTGACTCGATCCCAGGACCCCAGGATCAAAACCTGAGCTAAAGGCAAACACTCAACCACTGAGCCACCCAAGTGCCCCCCCCCGCTTAATTCCTTTTTTTAAAGTTGATATTATATCCCCTCCCACCCTGTAAGAAAAGAAATTTGGTACGCCTTCAAGTCCCCTAGTCTCTGTCCTTCCAACCCTTATCACGATGATATTACCTATACTTGATTCCAGATGATGATGGATATATTTCCTCTTTTCCTTTGGTCCTAGGTAATTGATTTTTAGATATCGAACTTTACTCAGGAATCCGGCCATCTTTACTTATCTCACTTATCTCTCGAAATCTTCTGGATTTTTTTCTCTGCTCTTATTTAAATATTTTACCCAAAACTAGTTCCAGATAGTTTGTTCTATGACAAAATATCTAAAGGCCTATATGGCTCAAAATATTTTTTCATATCCTTGTATTTGAAGGACAGTTGTAATATTCTAGGTTCTAAGTTCTTTTTCTTCAATACTTAAAAATACTTTGTATATTTGTAATAGATTACCACAAATTCCTTGCTACTCCTTCCATTAAGGGATAGAGTCTAAGTCCTCTTTCCTTATCTATGCTGGCTGTGATGATTTGCTTGACCAAGAGAATGTAGGTGGAGTGAAATCCTAGGACTCCTAAGGTTAGGTCAAAGAAGCCTTGCAGCTCTCACCAGAGCCTCCTAGAGTACTCACTCTGGAGGACACCAGCCACTCATACCTTGTATCATCTACTTCTACAGGCAGATTGAGCTACTCTACATGGGGTTGACAGAGGTTGCTCTGGGGGAGCAAATCTGTCCCACTACCCTGAGGCTGCCATACATGGAGAACTCACATGCAGGAATCTATGAGGCCATCCTCAGCTGAGTCTAGACTTCCAGGCTTCCCCACGAAGGCATCAGGCATTGAGTAGAGCCACTCTTGAACCCTTCAGACCAGTCTGTCTACTAGATGAATACAACTAAGCAACCTCTGTCAACCCCATGTAGAGGAGCTCAATCAGATTGTAGAAGTAGATCATACAAGATATGATAAAATCCAGAAAGGGAGACAGAACATAAAGACTCCTAACTCTGGGAAACGAACTAGGGGTGGTGGAAGGGGAGGAGGGTGGGGGGTGGGGGTGAATGGGTGACAGGCACTGAGGGGGGCACTTGATGGGATGAGCACTGGGTGCTATTCTGTATGTTGGTAAACTGAACACCAATAAAAATAAATTTATTATTTAAAAAAAGGATAAAATCATTGCTGTTTTAAGTCACTGGGTTTTGGAGGTAGTTTGTTATGCAACAATAAAGTACCAATATACAGGATGCCTGGGTGGCTCAGTGGTTGAGCAACTGCCTTTGGCTCAGGTTGTGATCTCGGGGGTTCCCAGGATCAAGTCCCATATCAGGCTCCCCGCAGGGAGTCTGCTTCTCTCTCTGCCTATGTCTCTGCCTCTCTCTGTGAGTCTTTCATGAATATATAAATATAAAATCTTTTAAAAAAAAAAGAACCAAAATACTATTCCATTGCATTTTTACATAGAATGTTGCTGTTGAAAAATATCTAGTTAAATGCTTCTAATTCTTTTATATAAAATCTGTTCTTTCATTCTGTAAGCTTTTGGAATTTTGTCTGAAATCCTTAAAAGTTCACTACATCTAGCTGTGAGGTTTTCCTACTCTCTTTTCTTTAACATTCCATGGGCCCCTTTGGTCTGGACAGTTAAATTTTGTTTTATCGATTATGATAAATTTTCTCCATTAATTCTCCAAATATTTCCTCCTCTACCACTTTTATTTTTCCTTTTCTGGATCTCAAATTATTCAGACACTAGTGCTTCGATTTGTATCTTCAATATGTCTTACTTTTTGTTTTATATTTTCTATTTCCTTTTCTTCTTTCTTCCTTCTGAGAGATTTCCTAAATTTGCCTCTTTCATTCTCTAACTTGTTCTGAAGTTCTATCCATTCTGCTATTAATCTCATCTATTACATTCTTTATTTCAACTATTATATTTTTATACCTAATATTTCTGCTTGGTTCTTTTTATGTTTTCTTCTTAATGTTTCTTGCTAATATTCTCCTTTCCTTTTTTTAATATTTTATTTATTTATTCATGAGGGATAAATAATCTCATCTGTGAGAGAGAGAGAGAGAGAGAGAGAGGCAGAGACACAGGCAGAGGGAGAACCAGGCTCCATGCAGGGACCCTGATGAGGAAATCGATCCCGGGGCTCCAGAATCATGCCCTGGGCCAAAGGCAGGCACTAAACCACTGAGCCACCCAGGGATCCCCAATATTCTCCTTTCAATGTCAGGCTAATTTTAAATTCTTAGACTATACATTCTAATAGTTCTGCTTCTGAAAGAATCTCCATCTGGGGTGCCTGGGTGGCTCCAAGAGCATCCAACTCTTGGTTTCACCTCAGGTCATGATCTCATAGGTCATGGGACCAAGCCCCACATTGGGCTCTGAGCTCAGCAGCAAATCTGCTTGAAGATTCTCTCCATCTGCCCCACTCATGCTTGTATGTGCTCTCTCTCTCTCAAATAAATTTTAAAATATATCTTTAAAAAAAAAAGAATCTCCATCAAATCACTCAGCACAATGTCTTTCTTATGAAATAGCCGTGAACCTCAAATATCTTATTGTCTTGGTCCATGAACTCATTTTGTCCTGGGAGTATTGGCTACTCTGTCAGGCAGTGTAAATGAGCTAGACCTCAGTCCCTGTCAGCCCCAAAGGGTCAGGGGAGGATGGATAAGACCTGGGGTGGATCCATAGCTAACCCATACCATCTTGCAAAACACCTCCTCAGGTCGGGGATTCCATTCTGCCCCCCAGGATGGAACAATGTTTTGAGAGTCCTTAGATTATAGGTCACCAGCCCTGTGATCTGGGGAGAGTGATTTGCTTTGATTTTATTCCTGAAGACACCTGAATTGCTTTGGGCATGGGGAAAGGTTCTGCTTGTCCCAAAGCATGACAATCCAGGGGAACCAGCAGTTCCCCCCTGATTTATCCCCACAGGCAAGGCAGTTTGCTTCTTGCCTCAGATCCAAACCATCAATCCACATACACCAACTCAAAATACCCTCATCACCCTCAGTTCTCTCACAGTGTTCTCCCCTTGCTTTGGTGTTGTTCTCTTATGATTCTTTTGAAACCAGTCATGGGGGAGAGAGCCATCAGTCAAGCTCGCTCAGCATTTTGGTAGCAACTGTATCTGGAAGTCCAGAAGTAGAGGACACTTATAACTGTTTCCTGGGTCCTGGTATCTCGTTCTGTCATGTGCTAACTTTATTGTCAAACTAGTAGGAAGGGGAAGGGTTAGGGTGTGTTGTGTGTATTAAATGAGTTAACACATGTAAAGTATTTAGAACTGTATCTGATGCAGTACTCAATGTTAGTGATGATAATGATGAAAATGAATCTTTACCTTCTAAACTCTGTCCATGGTCTAACACGTCCAACAGCCTTTAAGAAAGAGAATACACCCTCCTACATATCTTTTGTTCTATCCTCTCCTCATACAAGGGAGATTTCTCACACTTCACTATGTAACTACAACCACAGAAGCAGAATGAAAAAAGAATGTTGACAATCAAATGCCAATTGAGAAAAGTTATCAGCAGCAAGAACACTCCAGACGCAATGGACAGAGATGAGAATCTGGCCTCCATGTAACATGAGAACATTGCCTGCCATAAAGCAAAGCAGGGCAAAGCCCCACATGCAACTGTTTCGTGGCTATTTCTGATCTCAGGCCCCAGATTCAGAAGCCAAAACCATTACATTTTCTTATAAATTTATTCGTTAAGAACCAAAGAAAACACTTAACTGCCCCTCCCTCCTCAGTTTCAGGCCACGAACATCCATTCATTCATTCATATGTGCATGACTGAATGATATGTGTATTAAGTATCTAATATTTATTAGGCACTGGTTCTAGTCCCTGAGAATACAGCAATGAACAAGGAAAAGTCACTACTTTCATGAAGCTTACACACTAGGGATATAGAATATAAAGAAGCAAATATATAATACCAGATACTTTTAATTGCTGTGAAGAAACATATAGCAGCAATAGATATTTGGAGGGTGATCAGGGAAGTCCTCTCTAAGGTGACATGTGAGGAGGGACCTGAATGGAGTAAGGAAGTGAGCCATTAAGCATGTCTGGGGACACATACTACAGGCGGATGGGTCCAGGCAAAGGCTCTGAGGGATCTTGTCAGTCTCTGCTTGGTATCCCTGGCCAGTAACCAGAGGAGCAGGGAAGCAAGTTACAAATCTTGTACCTGAAGCATACTTAGTTTTACCTGGGGTGTGGGGATGGGGGGGCTCCTCAAAGCAATGCATCTTCACAACCATATACTACCTTTGTACTTAAACTTCAAGCTGGATTCTTATTCCAGACCTAAAGCTGGATCTCTACAGCTTTTTTCCAATCCCTTTTTCCTCCTCCAAAACCCTTTAAAAATTTTTTTTGAACATCATTTTTATTTTGTTTGCCTTATAAAACAAATATGGAGTTCTTACCATGTAGCGGGTATTATTCAAAGCACTTCAAAAATATTAATTCATTGAATCTATATAATAGCCTTATCACAGATATGATAATTATCCCCTTTGTATAAGAAAAATGAAGCACAGAAAAGTTAAAAAAAAATTTGCTAAAGGTCACATAGCTACTAAAGTGATAGAACCAAGATTCAAATTGAATCTATTCCAGAATTCAGCTTGATATTTGCTTCTTTCTTTTCTTTCTTTCTTTCTTTCTTTCTTTCTTTCTTTCTTTCTTTCTTTTCTTTTCTTTTCTTTCTTTTCTTTCCTTTTCTTTTTTTCTTGGCAAAGAATTAACATATTTTTAATTTTATAATTACACAAGTGGTAAGTGAATGCATTCTCAGTATAAGATGTTCAGATACTACAGATAAAGCCAAAGGCCTGCTTATATCCCTACCTGGGTCCCAGCCCCCTTCCTGTCCCTGTTAGCCCTTGTGGATAACCACCTAAAGTTTTTACACTGACACCACATATTTGATTTGGTTTGGCTGACTTTATTTTGTTTTTGTCCATTTTTTTTTAAACAAATAGCACTAAACTATATTTCTTTTCCTAGGAGTTGTTTTTATCATCCAACAAATGTTCTGGAGTTCCTTCCATGTCAGTATACATGAATGTACCTTATTCTTTCTAACTACTGCATATCCTTCTACAACATGGGCACACTAACATTTATTCATACATTCCTCTGAGATTAAATGCCAACTTTCACTACCATAACAAGGAGGCAAACAAACAACCATGAGTAGGCGTCCTTATGCACACCCGTGTAAGATTAATTTTCCTGAGCAGATTCCAAGTAACAGAGCTGCTGAGTCATAGTACTCTCTTATTTTTAACAGGCCCCGCCAAACTGTCCTCTAAACCAATTTTCCACTCCATTTGCCAACTCTTGGCATTTTCAGACTTTGATGTATTATAATCCACTGGGTGGAAAATGATTTCTCGCTGTTGTTTTCTTCTACACTGTCCTAATTACTAATGATATTGAGCATCTCTTCATATGCTTATTAGCCACTTGTTTTTCCTCTTCTAGGAACTGCCCATTGGTATCTTTTGCCCATTTTCCACAGGGCCATTTGTCATTTCTTTGTTATTAGTTTTTTATATGTACCCATATTCAGACTAGCAAACGTTTTTGCCCAGTCGGCTGCTTGCCTTTTAGTTTGGTTTTATGATCCCCACTCCTCTCCTGCTATTACTGAGCCTAGAAATGGAGTCTACAGGCATAACCACAGGCCTCTCAGAAGACACTCTCACTGCCTTTCCTCTCTGCCCGCTGGCTGGCCTATGCCCTCGTGGAAGCAATTAGCTCTCTGCTCGGCTCACTGGTGCCTGTCTATGTTGACTGCCTTGAGTGTGCCTTGGAAGGTGAGGGCTTCATCTGCTCGTTTCTATGTCTCCCAAGGGGTCTAGCATGGAGCCTTATATATTGTAGTTACTGAAGCCAAACTAATCTGTGGCCACCTTTAAAAACACACTGACTTGGTTCCCAAATATGATTTCACTCAACTCTGCTAAGAAGGTATTATCATCGTCAAACGGTGGGTTCCCTCCTTCCCAGAAGTAGAAAACAAAACAAGGAGGCATGTGGGCTGGCTCAATGAAATATTAAGCAGCTCTCTCCAACAATGTGGGCAACGGTTTGTGTGGTTGTTACAGAGTCCAGGAAACAGGCAGAAAGAGAAGTCGATGACCAGACCACAATCTTTGGACCTCTGTTGTCCTTTTTGGGAAGGGCTTTAGTATTAAAAGGACATTTATTCTCATTAATGCAAAATTAAGGAGTTTAAAAAGCTTTTACAACCTAGACTCCCTCTGAGAGGCCAGCTCTAACACCATAATTAGCCTTCTCCCCCATTACTGATTGGAGCCAAGCAGCTCCTGTGGTCCCAACCAGCCTGACAACAGACAGATGAGAAAGAGGAAGGAGTAAGAGGTCTTGCACTAGTTTCCGCAGTCACCCAGGCCCTCCTGGGAACTAATCAAAGGATGTACCCCTAGACATCTGTCATGCTGCTGAGAGGCAGATCACCACTCACGTGGCCCAGGGGAACTGGAATCACTGGTTCTCCAGGCAAAAAGGGGTGAATCCAAATTCCAAATCCCTTTAACTACAGCCACCAAAGTAGCCATCTGTCCTCTACTTAAAATACCTGCGGTGAAATGTTGATAGCTTTGAAGCGGGTGAGGGATATGTGTCAGTTCATAATAGAATTCTCCCTACTTTTACATCTATATAGAATTTTTTATAGTTAAAAAGAGTCCTTTAACGCTTGCTTTAACAGGGACTCATAACATCCAAATCCTTCCTTGGATATCCTTTTGAGAAGTTCCTCCGTTCATGGAGCTACTGCACCCTTCTGCAGCTCTGGCCCTCCAGGAAGCCCTTAAGACCCCAGTGTCCAAAGTCAGAAAAACCTAGGTTCAAAAGCTGGAGTCACTATGCTGCCATGTGACCCTGAGCATATTAACCTTCTCTGAACCTCCACTTCTCATTGGCACAATAATGTAACCTACATCATAAAGATGTTGGGAAAGTTCAATGAGATCATACAGGTAACATCCTGAGCCCAGCACCAGGCATGTAAAGCACTCATTGCTATTTTGTGGCTTAATAAGTCTCCTCCCAGAGGTCAAACAGAACAGGTCACCTACCTCTGCACCGTGGCAGACCTTCTGATGTAAGACAACCAACAAAATAATATTTAGCACCTGAGCCCATAAAAATAATGTCCTAAAATTTAAAAAATCACAAGTATCTGTGATTATGGCAAACAACAAAAATCATGCCCAAATTCAAAAGTTTCCTCTGTGTCTCAGTATCTCCTACAACTACACTCATCTTCAGTTGTCTGCACTGATGCTCTGAGATACCAACACAAATAAAGAGAAAGCTGTGGAAAATCCACCCTACTGAATCCTATGAGAATCAGAGAAAGTGCACTTGTCCCTCACCCTGTTTATGGACAGTGTGTGAATGGAGAGTTTGCTTATTCATTGCGCATTTGTATGAGAAAGGATATACACAAAATACAAGAGTCAGCATAGGCCATTTCATTCCCACTGCAGGGTGACCTGATCCTTCGGAGGAGTGACCTCTGCAGCACTTTGCTATCCCACAGTGATTGCTAGGAGCATATGATCATCCCCAGAGCCCAGAGTACCTTGGTCTGTTTTCCAAAACATGACTCCATGCATTTGTCCTGACACTCCAATGCCACAGACTTCCTGGAGCAGCTGCCGAGGAAGGGCAGCAAGGCATTCATTTAGGGCTTGGATGATTCTGCTCACATCCTGCTCTTGCCCCTGGAAACAAAACAGGACACGTTGGGCAGGGGCACACAGACAGGCAGGGGGAGGAGGGCAGAGGCCTCAAGCAATTTCCAGGGTAGTGGGTGCCAAGCTAATTCCCCTGGGGTTACTTCCAGGACCTGCTGACTAGCCTCAGGGATGACATGTGGACTGAAGGTTCTCCACCACATCCAGAAAGGCCTGCTGCAGGAATGTGGTGGGCAAGATTCCACTGCCTCCCACACAGGTGAGGCACTGCTGCGGACCAGGTTCAGAAATGGCCAAGGCTCTGCCTTCCACTGTGAGTGAGTCTGAGCTAAGGAAAGCACTGCCTCTGCCCTATAGGAATAGAAAGACTAGCAAGAAGGATAAGAAAACTCAAAAAAGACCGTAATATAAGAAGACACTAAATGTCTATCACAAGGCACACACAGGGTTGGGATACAGGAAGGATGGAACACAGCAGGGAGGAACCTAGCAGGAAGGGTGTAGCCAAGAAAGGCCTCATGGACTAAAGTACTTTAAGACAAGCCTTAGCATTTGCTTCTATTTGGACTTTAGTTCATGCATCTGGCAAACATTTCCTGAGTGCCTTTAGAGCCAGGCCTTAGACTTGGCAACAAACACCCCCTAGGCAAAGCAGGCAAGGAAGTAACCCAGAGAATACCTGGGCAGAACACCAGTGAGATGGTCCATGTGAGAGGCTGGTGGGAGATGAAGCTATAAAAGAGGAGAGACTGGACCCAATAGGGACTTCAAGCCCCAGGACGAGGGGCTCCTCCCAAATCCAAAGGGAAGCCCCTCGGGTTTTCTGAATGGGATAATACCACCATCAGAAGATTAATTAGGCAATGATATAAGCTACCCGGAGAGACACTGATAGTAGAGATTTTTTGGGGGTGGAAATGAGATGTAAGGAAGTCAGGACAGGGCAGCCCAGGTGGCTCAGCAGTTTAGCGCCACCTTCTGCCCAGGGCCTGATCCTGGAGACCCCAGAATGGAGTCTCACATCAGGCTCCCTGCATGGAGCCTGCTTCTCCCTCTGCTTCTCCCTCTGCCTGTGTCTCTGCCGCTCTCTCTCTCTCCTCTCTGTGTATTCTAATGAATAAATAAAATCTTTATTAAAAAAAAATATCCATGAGCCAAATGGTCCTAAGAGACAAGAATATGAATTGAATATAAGATTTTAAAAAGGGGGATCCCTGGGTGGCACAGCGGTTTAGCGCCTGCCTTTGGCCCAGGGCGCGATCCTGGAGACCCGGGATCGAATCCCACATCGGGCTCCCGGTGCATGGAGCCTGCTTCTCCCTCTGCCTGTGTCTCTGCCTCTCTCTCTCTCTCTCTCTGTGTGTGACTATCATAAATAAATAAAGAAATAAATAAAGATTTTAAAAAGGTTAAAGGTCTCTGGAGTCAAAAGCGAAAACACAATGAAATATCTTAGAGAACATGAAATGCCAAAACCAATCAAGCAGTATATATCCAAATGGGTGGGAGGTACAGTCTAATATAACTTCAAAAGTAGCTGACTCACACCAAAATATTTAGGTTCCATAACCATCTCTTCTTTTAAATTATGAATTTCCTGTTAAAGACTAGAAGTCAGACTCCAAGACCCATCCCATCCCAGGAGATGCCTCTAATCAGTAAGAAGTCTCAAACAGCTAAGGAGGCCACCACAAAATATATACTTGGAAAAGCAACCCAGATGACATGATTGTTTTCCTGATGATTAAGTAGATCTCAGGTGGGTGCCAAAACTAGTGTGGAGCCCAATGTGGGGCTTGAACTCATGACCCTGAGATCAAGACCTGAGCTGAGATCAAGAGTTGAATGCTTAGCCAACTGAGCCACTCAGGCATCCCATGATTAAGTAGATTTCAAAGAACAAGAAAAGATAAAGAATTAAACAGGCATGTTTAAAAGAGTCGTACCTATTTGATTAACATTTGAGCTTAAGGACTTTTTTGAGTATTTGTTATTTTAGGTAAATATAAATATTTAAGAGAATTTGACCTAGGTTACCTTTGTAATGTATGTGTGTATGTGTGTATATATACATATTATATACATGTGTGTATACATGTGTATACATATTATATACATATATATGTATAACTAAGGTAGTTAACTGAAATGGCATTAAGCATTATTCAAAGGTCCTCAAAATGATAGCTACATGTTAGACATATAAATGGAAACAGCTTTATAAGCTAAATTTAAAAGCTTAAGTAAGAACTAGGGTTCTGAATTTAATAAATTGAATACTTAATTTTATTTCAACCAAAATAAAATGTTTCTGGCACACAAAAATCACCTCAAGGCACAAAATAAACATATTTAACAACTAGAAGGACCCATGGAAAACTCAGAAGAGAAAAGTGGCTCAGCTCTTAATAAATGCCTGGTCTCTGGGGAACTGAAAAGTTTATGATCTTGCAAAAGCATCAAGCCCCAGGCTCCCCTCCCTGGGCAGAGTGCAGCCCTCCCCTCCTGGGGGGTTTGACCCCTCACATGCCCTGTCAGACTGCTGGCTTTGGGCAGGGGCACTTCCAAACTACCATGATCAAAGCAGCAGGAAAAAAGGATGGTGAGGATGGGTAGGATGAGGCAAGGAACGCAGAGAGAGCACAAATCATTTTCCTGATGAAGCCCAGATTCTAACATGCAGAACTGACCAGACAGTGAAACACCAGCAGAGGAGGTACATGGCTGGGCACTTGAATTGAGATGTATTTTAAGTATAAAATACATACCAGGCTTCAGATTTAATATGAAAAAACACAATGTCTTACCAATAATTTTTTCTTATTAATAATTTTATATTAGTTATTATATATTGAAATTATAGTATATTGGATACACTGGAGTAAATAAAATATGCACTTAAAATTAATTTCAGCTGTTACATTTTACTTTTAATACTAGAAAACTGAAAATTCAGGTGTGGGTCATATATGTGGCTAGAATTTCTTTTGGATAGTGCTAGTTAAAAGAGTTCCCACATGGCCTCAGATGGTATATCAACCCAAGACAGAGGAGCCACTGTTTAAAATGGACCCAGGGTGGGTTCGTTTCATGGATGGGGATAGTGGAGGAGGGAAATGGACCAGGTGGGAGTGAAGACAAGGGGACAGTCAGTGTTCAGCAAGTAGTTTGAGTTTTAGTGGTGAGTGTGATCAGGGAGTAGCTCTCAGACAATGGGCATACCTACAATGTAACAGGAAGAATGCTGTCTCCATTCCTTGGTTCAGAATATCCATCTCTCTATAACCAAATCAAATCTTAAAATTTTAAATTTGAGAAAAGAACTTAGAAACTCACTCAATGCCCCCAACACACTCCTCTTTACAGATGAAGAAACTGAGGCCCAGAAAAAAGAAATTAACTCAGAAAGGGTCAACAGAGACTCCCTCAAAAATCTTGGTATTTTATTTGCAAATCTTGGTATTTTTATTTGCAAAGCCTGACCTTCCATACAGCTGCCAAGCTTGACCTTGGTGTATACAGTACTTCTTAAGAGTGAAAAGTATGGACATAAGGATGGGGTCATAGGCATTTCCGTAGCTCAGTGGTGCTCACTCCAGGGATGATTTTTGTTCCCTAGGGCCCATTTGGCAATATGGAGACATTTGGGGGTATCACAATTGGGTAGGAAGGATTTACTGGCATGTAGTAGGTAAAGGCCAGGAATACTGCTGGATATCCTACAATGCACAGGACAGCTCCCCACAACTCAAAGTATCAACATTGCCAAGGTTGAGATATACTGCTACAGATGAATTATAGTGTCCCAGAGCACAAAACACATGTGGAGGATGCAAGGGGGGCTCTTACTGGCCTCTCCTAAACCCTGCATTAGGTAGGTGTGGCACACTGTGTGCCTGTACACAGAACAGCCTGCCAAATGCTGTGGGAAGCAGGGAAAGCAGTTTTCAAGAAGTGGCCCTACTTCAGGGCCCTTGGGTGACTCAGCTGGTTAAACATCCAACTCTTGATCTTAGCCCAGATCTTGATCTCAAGGTCATGAGTTCAAGCCCCATATTGGGCTCTACACCCAGTGTGGCGCCTATTTAGAAAAACAAAAAATGAGTGGCCCTATTTCAAGAGAAAAGGCAATGTCTAAACCCATTCTCTGTAATCTCAGCTCTGCGGCTCACCCCCACGGGGTCAGAGCTGAACATGCCTCCATTTCATACTCCATGTGGTGAAATAATCATTTTTAAATACCCTGATGATTGGGTCACCTGGGTGGCCCAGGTCGTGATCCTGGGGTCCTGAGACTGAATCCCAAATCAGGCTCCCCAGAGGGAGCCTGCTTCTCCCTCTGCCTATGTCTCTGCCTCTCCACCAAACCAGCTCTACAAGAAATATTAAGAGGGACCCTGTATAAGAAAGAGGGAACCCAAAGAAACAATCCACAAAAACAGGGACTGAATAGGTAATATGATGACACTAAATTCCTATCTTTCAATACTTACTCTGAATGTTGAATGGCTAAATGATCCCATCAAAAGACTCAGGGTATTGGATTGGATAAAAAAAAAAAAGCAAAACCCATCTATATGCTGTCTACAAGAGACTCATTTTAGACCTAAGAACACCTACAGCCTGAAAATGAAGGGGTGGAGAACAATTTACCATTCAAATGGTCCTCAAAAGAAAGCAGGGGGGAATCTCTGGATGGCTCAGCGGTTTAGCGCCTGCCTTTGGCCCAGGGCGCTGTCCTGGAGCCCCAGGATCGAGTCCCGCGTCGGGCTCCCGGCATGGAGCCTGCTTCTGTCTCTGCCTCTCTTTCTCTATCATTAATAAATAAATAAAATCTTTAAAAAAAAAAAAAAAAAGAGGGATCCCTGGGTGGTGCAGCGGTTTGGCGCCTGCCTTTGGCCCAGGGTGTGATCCTGGAGACCCAGGATCGAATCCCACATCAGGTTCCTGGTGCATGGAGCCTGCTTCTCCCTCTGCCTGTGTCTCTGCCTCTCTCTCTCTCTCTCTGTGACTATCATAAATAAATAAAAATTTTTAAAAAATTTAAAAAAAAAGAAAGAAAGCAGGTGTAGCAATCTTCTTATCAGATAAAGTTTATCCCAAAGACTGTAGTAAGAGATGAAGAGGTACACTATATCATACTTAAAGGATCTATCCAACAAGACCTATCATGAATATTTATGTCCCTAATGTAAGAGTGGCCAAATATATCAATCAATTAATAACCAAAGTAAAGAGACACTTAGATAATAATACAGTAATAGTAGGAGAGTTCAACATGGCACTTGCTGCAAATGACAGATATTCTAAGCACAACATTACCAAAGAAACAAGGGCCTTGAATAATATGCTGGACCAAATAGATTTCATAGATATATACAGAATTTTCCATCCAAATGCAACCCAGGAAATTAGAGAAGAATTAAAAAGATTCATGGAAACTAATGAAAATGAAGATACAAACATTCAAAATCTTTGGGATACAGCAAAAGTGGTCCTAAGAGGGAAATATATTGCAATACAAGCCTCCCCCAAAAAAATTGGAAAAAAAACTTAAATCTACAAGCTAACCTCGCACCTAAAGGAACTGGAGAAAGAACAGCAAGTAAAACCTACACCAAGCAGAAGAGAGATAATAAAGATCCGAGCAGAACTCAATGAACTAGAGACCAGAAGAACTGTAGAACAGATCAACAAAACCAGGAGCTTGTTGTTTGAAAGAATTAATAAGATAGATAAACCATTAGCCAGCCTTATAAAAATTTGAAAAAAGACTCAAATTAATAAAATCATGAACGAAAGAGGAGAGATCATAACCAATACCAAGGAAATACAAACGATTTTTAAAATGTATTATGAGCAGCTATATGCCGACAAATTAGACAATCTAGAACACATGGACGCATTTCTGGAAAACCACAAATTACCAAAACTCTCTCTGCCTCTCTGTCTCTCATGAATAAATAAAATCTTTAAAAACAAAAAATCTTAAAAGTAAAAAAATATATCCTGTTGCCCCAACCAAATTTTGAGTCTCTATGAAAATGCTAAAAAAAAAAAAAAAAAAAAAAAAAAATGCTAAGTGCTCCTGAACTCTTTACCCTCTGAAATGTTTCTGACCAAGATGGACTCTGAACCCTAAAGAACTGAGTCTAGATACGTGGCAAGAGGTTGTGAAAAACAAGCTTTTGGGAGTGAGGCTTAGAAAATCCAGGTTTGTGGCTGGAAAGTGCTTAGAGGCCACTGATTTGAACTGGGAGAACAAGCAGGATTGGGGGGGGGGGAGTCATAAAGTTATACAGAAAGTTCCTGGATATTAATTTCTGTTGTCAGTTAACTGAACATAGAGCTACCTTTTTCAGGGAATTAATGAAATCCAGCTCTAAGGACTGATGATCTTTCTGAACCCACATCTCCAAATAGATCCCATTATGGTGAAATTCTCCATTTCTACCCTGTAGTTTTCACAAGACACTCGTTTTAATGTATAATGATCCATCCGATCTTTTTCTCTCTCTCTCTCTTTTTTTTTTAAGATTGTATTTATTCATGAGAGACAGAGAGAGAGGCAGAGACACCGGCAGAGGGAGAGGCAGGCTCCCTCTGGGGAGGATCCCAGGACCCCGGAGTCACGCCCTGAGCCACCCAGGTGCCCCCCCCCCAACCCTTTTCTAACATTTTAATCAGCTCATCTCTCCTGTCTCTCCGCTGTCCTTTCTCCAGGGCGTCTCAGCCTTTGGTCCCGGTGTCTCGCTGCCCTTGTTTGCATGCCCCAGACCACAGTCCCCCCTGCAGAATGAGCAGAGGCCGCTGAGGCCCGGATTCCACAGCTTAGTTCCTGAGGAAAATCCAAATTCTGCTCTGGGGAACAAACTGAAGCCTGAACTTGAGGACACCGGCAGGTGGGAGGTGCAGAGGGGGCAGACAAGAGGGAGGCCCGAGGTCACTCCACAGACACCAGGGCAGCAACTTCCCGCAGGTCAAAGTACAGAAGGTGGAGGGCAGGGAGCACCGCGGGCCGCGGAGCCACAGCGAGGCCGGCGGAGGCCAGACGGCCAGGAGATCGCTGTCGGCAGCGGGGCACGCTCCCGGGACCAAATCTCACGTCTCACGGGTCCGAGGGAGCTACAGCAGGGAGGCAGAGGTCAGGCAGGCTGGGGAAATCAGGGAGGCTTCCTGGAAGAAGCAGGGTGTGGAGGAGGCCTCCTCGGAGGAACAAGAGTGGCTCCCTGAGGCGACGCAGCTCCGGGACGCTGCCTCACCTGGGGCGCCGCCGCCTCAGCCCGCGCAGCCCGGGCGCAGCTCGCTAGTACCACGAACCCAGGTGGGTGGCCGGGCGCGGCCTCCAGCAAGGCAGCCTTCACAGACGTGGTGCCCAGGTCAATACCGAGAGTGACCACCCGCGCAGCCATGACCCACGAGAGCCCCGCAGCCGGCGTCTGAGGCGGTGGCGCCCCCTCCTGCACGTTCCACCGGCTTCCGGGCGCCCGGGCGGGGCGGGGCCGGCCAGTCCTTCGGCCACGCCCAACACGGAGGCTTCTCGCCTTCCCATTGGCCGAGGAAGGCGGAGCCCCGCGCGGGAGGCGGGACCTAGAGGGAGGCTCGCCGCAGTTCCGTAAGACGGGGGTTCTAGGACAGGGGAGATGGTCCCTGGCCTCGTTCGTCGAGGTAGGGCAGGGTTGGCTGACGGGCACTGGGGCTCCGGGAGCCTCTGTGTCCCCTAAAAGTGTCTGAAGCCTCCCACGCACCCGAGCACCCATCCCTGCCAAAGCGCCTGCGCCCCTCTGCTCGGCCGCCACCCCGCCCAGTTGTGGGGCTAAGACTAAACTACAGTTCCCCGAGTGCACCGCGCGGAAATCTGTACGCCCAGGTCAGGTGACTACAGTCAGGTGACTTCTGGCCCTCCCTCACCCAAAATCCAGCTGACCGGGGGCAACGCGTACAGTCGGAAACGGATCCGGCGTCCGGTGTGCTTGGTTCCCGGGCCTAGGGGACCTCGGGCGAGAGCTGGAGCGACCCCGGCAGCCTCCCCCACTTGCCCGGCGGAGCCCCAGAGGGCTGAAGATCGGCACTGTAAGTCGGTTGGGGATCCTGCCGCGCAGGGTTCCATCACCCAGCAGCAGTCCTGGCCTCGAGACACCAGGCGGCTTCCAGGCGGAAAGGCCCGCACGGTGGTGATCGGAGGCAGGGGACGCTGGGCTGCCGAGGTGGTGTGGGTGGCCCTACCCCAGGGCAAGTCCGAGCCCCTTCCCTGCGTTCTGCTTAGTTGCCGCCTGAATCCGGGTCGCAGAGTTTGCAGATTACTTCGGAGAAAGGAGATATTGGAAAAATCATTCCACGAACTCCCGTGGGTGTGCTGACCGCGGGTCTGTTTTCGGGGGGACTGGGCAGAATGAGACCCTGCCCTGCATTTCGGAGCCTTCAGGCTGGAGGAAGGGAGGACAATTGATTGGGCCCTGCCTTTTCCACTAGAATTGAGAAAAATAACCACCCATGCTTTATGAGAGTTCGCTAGGTGCCCGAGGCAACGGTATTAGTCATTTTACAACACTGTGTATCAACCTTTTTTCCTAATCAACTACTCCCCACTAGGAAATTTTAATACCACTGATTAACTCTGTTTGAATACTGTGGCCCTTTGGAGGGCCACAAGCCCTGTTTTGCATTTCATCTCATTTCAGTCGTATGATGAAGTCTCACTGTCCTTGTTTTCACATTAGGAAATAGAGGAGGTTAAGTAGCACCCCAGAGTCACACAACTTATAAATGAGAAGCCCCAGGTCCAAACCTGTGCAGTCTATCTACAGGGCACACGTTCCTTGACACTTTCTGTATTCTACAAGAGGAGACTCAAGGAGTTCCAGGTTGTAAAACAGTTGACAGGATTAAGTCAGATACCTGAAGGAGCTGGGGGCCCCGGACCCCAGGCTGCTCCTGTGATGCATGGTTTGGGAGTGGGAGACTTCTTAAAGTTGTGTCTGAGTGAGGCCTGGAAGATAGAACTTAAACAGGAAGAGGGCCAAGCCGAACAGAGCCCATTGTCATGAAATTCTCCAATTCTACTTTGTAGCATTCACAAGACACAGTTTTAGTGAATAGCTATCACTCTACCCTTCTTCTGACACTTTAATAAACTGAGCTCTCGATGTCTGTCCTGATGTCTTTTCTCCAGGGTATTTCCACCCCTGAGACTGGGGACTTTTGCTGACCAAATATTTGAGTTTCTCAGTCCACATTCCACTCCTGCAGGATGAGAGAGGAGCTGGTTAGGCTTGATTCATATCTGATTTCCAGAGGAAAACCCAGACTCTACCCTGAGGGACATTCTGAGTCCTGAACTAAGGACACAGGCAGGTGTGAGGAGCAGAGAGTGACAGGAGACCCATGGTCATTCCATAGACACAGGAGACCAATTCCCTGCAGGTCAGAGTATAGAAGCTGGGAGGTAGAGAGCATGGGGACACAGCACCAAAGGTGAAGACTCCAGAGAGGCCAGAGGGAGGAGGTCAGTGCCAGGAGGTAGGAAAACTCCTCTGAGATAAGACCTAACAGATCAAAGGGAGCTGCATCAGGCAGAGAGGGCCTGGAGGAGACAGGGACAGGTGGAGGTCAGGCAGGCTGGAGCCACCAGGGAGACTTCTTTGAAGGTAGGGGAAGTCCCTTGAGGCCTTTTAGGAAAACTGAAACCGGAGGGGTGTTTCCACATAGACCTCCCATAGCCCTCGCCACAGGAATCCCAGAAGTTGTCAGGTGGGAGGGCCGAGGCCCTGCATGCTCAGGCAGCACATATAGACCAAGTTACAGATACCCATGCGGACCTGCCCCATCTTGACACGTGGTTCCCCTGCTGTGCTCTGGGGTTACAGGTATTCTGTAGTGTGTCTCCCTCACTTAACCAGCTTTTCTGGGCTAATCTGGGGCTTGTGCCTCGCTGGGTCCCCATTATGAGTGATCCCTGCCGCTCCTGGAGAGGTGACCCTTGTCAAATGAGAAAGTGTCAGTGGTGCCATTAGCCACTTAGACTTTTGTCCCCAGACAGAGAATGAAATTAATTTCTTTAAGGTTCATAGGTTCATAAAGTCAAACATCTGACCACAGTTTGGATAACTTTTGGAGAAAAAGAACCCTTAGCCAATAAAACTGCATTCCTTCTTTTTGTTAACTAGGTTACAAGAAGCAGTTAAAGAGGGAAAAATTCAGTGTTTGTCTACTTTCTCAGAGTGGAACCTTACACAACACACTTAGCCTCTCTGAGCCCTTGTCTCCACCTGTCAAAGAAAGCTAAGTTCCACACCTACCCACCCCCCTCCCCCCAGTCACCTCCAAGCTGGTGATGCAAACTGCATGAGGTCACAGGTGTGAGGTGAAAGTGCTTTATGAACTGTCTGTGCCATGATTCCAGGTGGCATATTGTCCATTTGTTGCTGAGCTGCTCCCACTTTAACCTGAACTTCTCTTGCGGTTTTTCTTTCTAGTTCTTTGACATTGAGAAACATGATAAGGAGTTGGCTGATTATTTGTATCCTTCTTCCCCTGCAGCTCATAGAGAAATGTGGTAAGTTTAGAAACGGGCCATCAACTTTGTAAAGAGGGAGATGGTGCAATAGAGTAAGTAGCCTGACCTGAAAATAGCCAAGGGTGTAGAACTGTCCAGCCTGCACTGGTCTGCTGGTGATGGAGCAGACCCAGGTCTTCAGGAGTTTCACAAGGATCCAGATGATTCCACAAATAATTGTCCATCTTCTAGGAAGTCCCTCCTGCCTTTTCTGTACCCCCAAAGTCAAGTTGTGGAGCTCCAACAACTCCCTGCTCTGTGGACCTCACAGAGGAATTATAAGTCCTAGGAGATGCAGCAGAAGCAAATGAATAGGCCACCTGTTGCACCTAGTTCTTCTGTCAGGTTCAGATACCTGAGGAGTCTGCCCAGCATCCCCTTGTAAGATGAAAAAACCTTCTCAGGGAGAAACTGAGGAACAGGGTACAGCAGCCCTAGTGGGGCTAGGAGCCTCACAGAACACAGGCTGGATGTCAAAAAACACCTGAGGGTTTGGGCATCTTTGTGACATTTAACCTTCAGAGCAGAGCCCTGAGAGACGTGCATCATTCTATCAATTCTCCCAGTGCTTAAAACATTGCTGAAATTCCTCCCATGAGAAAAAGGAAAGTGTTTAGCACTCCTAGGATGGCAGACCCGTTATTTTGATCATCAGTTTGTCTCTTGTCCAAAAACTAATATACTGGGCAGCCCCGGTGGCTCAGCGGTTTAGCGCCACCTTCAGCCCGGGGTGTGACCCTGGAGTCCTGGGATTGAGTCCCACATCGGGCTCCCTGCATGGAGCCTGCTTCTCCCTCTGCCTGTGTCTCTGCCTCTCTCTTGCTGTCTCTCTGTGTCTCTCATGAATAAATAAACCTTTAAAAAAAAAAAAAAACCTAATATATCTGGGGCGCCTGGGTGTCTCGGTCAGTTAAGTGTCTGCCTTTGGCTCAGATCATGATCCCAGGGTTCTAGGATGGAGCCCCATGTCTGGCTCCCTGCTCAGCGGGGAGCCTGCTTCTCCCTCTCCTCCCCCTCTCCCTCCCCCTGCTTGTACTCGCTCTCTCTCTCTCTCAAATGAATGAATAAAATCTTTTTTAAAAAATCAAATATATCTTTAAATCCCTGACTAAGGATTTCAAGTGAATCTTATACAAACAATACAAATCCTGCAGAAGCTTCCAGCGAGCCATACACAGTGGCTGTACCATTTGTTATCTGGCCTCTTGAAGGCTCTTCCAGTTTTGTTAAACCATCAGTCATGTCACTTTGCGGTTACATCTTGTGAATAAACAATTTCCAAGGTGGTGCCGTGAAGCCTGGTATTTCTCAATACAAATTCTAGAGCCCCACTCCAGACCTGCTAGATTATTTATATTCTCTGGGCCTGAGGCCCTAATGTGTGTCACACCTGCACTGTCAGGCTTTAGATAAAGCCCAGGGAAGAAAAGCCACCACCACCTCCTTTTTTTTTTTTTTAAAGATTTTATTTATTTATTCATGAGAGACACAGAGAGGCAGAGACACAGGCAGAGGGAGAAACAGGCTCCCTGCAGGGAACCAATGCAAGACTCCATCCCAGGACCCTGGGATCACTCCCTGAGCCAAAGGCAGACACTCAACCACTGAGCCACCCAGGCGTCCCCACCACCTCGGTTATTACAGAGGGGGAACTTAGGCCCAGGAAAGGGTAAAAGTCTTCCCCCAAAGTCACAGAGCTAGAAAGTAGCAAAGATTAGACCTGCATAGGATCCCTGCTCCATTTTATTTCTTTGCCTCCTTTCCAGCCTCATCATCTAAAACTTCAGATCTCAGTTTTTTATTTTATCCCTGGAGGGAACAGAGGACAGAGAAACCCAGGCCCTTCGCCACAGCCGCTCCCCGTATAAGGACCATCTTAATCAAATTGAGCTCCTTTCCCCTGTGGACTCCCTGCCAGTTCTAGATTCATGCCACTCCTTAGTCCTGAAGGTCCTGAGGTGAAGGAGGTGAGGTGAACAGGTGCCTGGGGCTTTGAGCGCACCTGCAAGCAGGTTGGAGTGGGCGTGTGGGCCTCCCAGGGAACACAGGAAGAAGTCAGCGAGAGGCTAACTCACTCTGGTTCTGTGGCCAAGTTGCTGTAGGGTACTCGGCCTCCCAAACCTGCTTCACTCCCAAGGCCCATTTGTCTAACTTATCCTACATTAATAGCCTAATGCCAAGAGGAATAGTGATAGTGAGACTGATAGACAATTTCCCCCTGGCTCCCCAAGCATGGTTAGCCCTCAGGAAGGGGATCAGTGAGCCCAAAGGGATTCTTTACAAACAGGATAGCTGGGCCCTGTGTGTCTCTTGAGAGTAGAGGAAGGGGCTGGACCAGGTCTGCAGGGCCATTTGAACTCCATGAACAGAGGAGACCCCTGTGCTTTCCCATCTTAAGTGTTTTAAGTCCACATTTTCCAGTCCCAGATCAATGCTTGAATTCCTGTGTGACAGTTTTATGGGTTCCATTGTTCTAGAACTATCTCTGGGTAACTCAGCCTCAGAGCCCGTCAGTGTGGGGAAGAGGAAGCTACTGTGTTTCCTGCTCAGGTCTGTGTCCACCTCTGTCTCTCTGGCAGCAGAAGGGGAAAGAACGTAATGAAGGCTCAGGTTTCCAGGCCCATCACCTATCCTCTCAGGACCTCCATGTCTTCTTCTAGAAGATGGGGGTTGTCATGAGCCAGAGCTCATGAGGTCAGATGTCAGGGACTCACGTCCCAGTTTCCCCTGTGGGCTTGAGTTCCCTGACCTAATGGTTTGGGTCCTTCCAGGGTCGACAGTTGACTTCACTGTTCCTGCTACAGTAGAGCTGGAAAATGGAAGCTCAGCCAACACCAGCATCATCCTTCAGTAAGTTCCTGGGCCCGGCTCTGGATTCATTCATCCCATGGCCAGGTCAAGGCTGACTCCTGGCTCCATCTGTTCATATTTCAAGTGTAATGCCTTTGCCTCTTCATTTTAAGACAAGTGGATATTCTGTATGGTATTACCAAGTCCCTTCTTTCCTGAGAAGATAAAATAAGCTTTAAAAACTTAAAAATATATAAGAAAAAGACAAGCCAGAGAAAGAGAGATGATAGCAGGTGTCTGGAGACTGGGGCCCCAGAGTTTCTCTACTCCCAGCCACTGAATCCTTGTTTCTGGTCAGAGGAGAAGGAAGGAGGCTTTCCCCTGTAGACATGAGCCTTTTCCCCAGCTGAGAGATGGCCTTGAGCCACCTGCAGTTGATGCCACACCTCAGAGTGATCCTTTTCAAGGCTCTAAGTATCTGATGAGAGCCCTGAAGGTGAGGGGGCAGGGACCTGAGCTTCACAGCAGCACTTCTGAAAGCAGAAGTGACCCATATATGGTGGATCCCATTCATGGCAACATTCCCACTTGTTGAGAGTCTCAGCCTTATCTGAGTCTTACTGCTGACCTCCTGGTTCAGGCATGAAGAGCCAACCTAGTACCGAGGGCCAGAGAGCCTGCCTCCCCCTCTATATCCTTCACTGCCTCTCCCTACTCTTACCTCCCAGCCATGAGAATCCCCCACGATTGGGATCCCTGGGTGGCTCAGCAGTTTGGCGCCTGCCTTCGGCCCAGGGTGTGATCCTGGAGTCCCCGGATCAAGTCCCACGTCGGGCTCCCTGCATGGAGCCTGCTTCTCCCCTGCCTGTATCTCTGCTGCTCTCTCTCTCTCTCTCTCTCTCTCTCTGTGTGTCTCATGAATAAATAAATAAAATCTTAAAAAAAATTTAAGAATCCCCCCATGATAAAGAGCTAGAGCCCTGTCCTTTTCTCTGTACCCTTCTCCCTTTTCTTCACCTTCCTGGGAAGTCTGATTTCAAACCTGAGCTTTGATAACAACCTGCATTCCATCCCAGCCCTTGCCACCTTATAAATCTGACAAGCCATCTCCTCACCACATCGCCCCTCTCCAGAATCCTTCAGTGACTTTCCATGGCCTTCCAAATTAACTCCAGGTCTGTACATTCACATTTGAGGACACCACCAGCTACTCCCATCAAACTCCTCTCCTGGCTTTCTGGGGACACACCAGTCCCTGCTCAGACCTGAGCCCTTGAAAGCCTTCTCTACTAGAGCAGATGCATGGTCCTTTTGGCCTCTGAACACCTCAGTTGGCAGTCACAGCCAATTCCCCACTTTCTCATGTTCTCACCTAGCCCCCCTTGGGGCTCTTGTCTCCTGATACAGATAGAAAGCCCCTAAGGAGCAAGGACCCCACCCCTACCACTCAGGGCCTAGCATATAGCACTTTTAGCCCAAATTGCTTGAGAAGTGACAGATGCAAAATCCCTAATTGCTTGAGCAGTAACAGGCCCAATGTGAAATCTAGAGGGTTAGTTGAGATCTCACAGTGTCCAACTACTCAGCAGTAATCAGACTCTTATCCTCCACAGGCATCCATTAAATGCAACCTTGGTGATCACTTTTCAAATCACATTTCGTTCAAAAAATGTTACTATCCTTGACCTCCCTAATGAAGTAAGTAATGAATTTCAACTACTGGGTAACAAAATACTTTTCAAGTAAGTGCTTGTAGAAATAGGCCACCTTGTTTTTCTACTGTGGGCTGTCCCTGTTCCAGCATTCTAAAAATCTCCGATTTTGGCTTTGTTCATCTCTTTGAGGATGGGTATTTTATGCCATGTAGATGGAATTAGGAAGGTGGTGGTAAAAAATGTAAAGCAAAAAGGGTTCTGGGAATGTAGAAGAAATTCTTAATAAGATGGGGGCTTCTAGAGGGCATTGGCAGACCAGCAGTATTGTCCCTGCTTGAAAACCTTTTAGAAATACAGAATCTTGGGTTCCATCCCCAAACCTACTGATACAAAACCTGCATGAGTAAGATCCCCAGTGATTTAGGCCCACACCTAAGTTTGCAAAACACTCATCTGAGATTCCATTGGTTGAGTGTTATTTCCAAAAACCAGTGCCAGGTGTTGTCTAATGATAACTATTCATGGCCCTTATGCATTTATCTGTTCATGTATACATTGCTTCTACCTTAATCAACATTTGACCCAATTACCATTGATCAGATAAAAATATCAGTAGGGGAGGCAGCAATGTAGAGAATAAACTAGAGTTTAAAAAAAAATAGACGAGATAAATGCAGGGATTACTGTGCAGCATGTCACAAGGCCCTGTGTGGTTGTAGAAACGGGCTGCAGGTTGGCTCTGAAGCCCCTGGCAAGAAAACAGTACTGAAGCATGTGATCAGATAAAGAGTATCAACCCAGAAGGGCCTTGTGTGGGAGGGCATTCCCTTCTCACTCTCTGGTGAACACCACACCTCATTAGACAGCCATTTCTCACAACTTTCACCTGCCCCTGGGTGAGAAGCCTGCTGCAGGGTAAGAAAGCCATTGGTTCTTACAGCAGGTCATGGCACCCAGCTGAGATCTGGTTTGATCCACAGATCAAATTTAAAGTCTGAGAAATGATGCTGATTACCTAGCTTAGGGCCAGACATCCGAATGAAAGTATCTTTTCAAAATCAGTGAAAATCAAGCATATCTTAAGGGAAAGAAGCCTGACACAGAAAAGCCTACTCTGTATGCTTCCTTGTGCGTAAAGTACAAACACTGTCAAGGCCAATCTGTGCTGTTGATCAGCAAAACACTTTCCCCCTGGGGATCAGGTGTAACTGGAAAGGAGCAGAATGGAGCTTCTGGAGTGCGGGAAGTGTTCCATTTCTTGACCTGTATGTTTGAACTGGGTTTGTGGTTGTTACTTCATCAAGCTGTGATGTGTGTACTTTTCTACACATATGTTGCAGTTCAATTTTTGGAAAATTTTAATGGTGGATAACATTGTATGTCAGCTATAATTTTTAAAAATCCATGGCAGGAGTCAAATCAAGTTATAGAATGGTCTCTATGGGTACTGACCCACTTTCCAGGGTTCAGCCTATATGGCCCCTTCCCCATCCAGCTCTAACCACTCCTATCTACTACTCCCTGTGCCGTTGGAAACCACTGGTTAGAACTTGGGGGTCAGGCAGCCTCGGACCCTGACCTATGAGCCTTGGACGAGATACTCCATCCAATATGCCATAAATTCCTCATTTATAGGCAAATAATGTCTCCTTGACAGGGTTGTGAGGATTAAAAGCAGTAGCAAGTATAAGATGCCTAGGATTTTATGTGGTATGTAAAAAGAAAGCACTCATAAAAAATAGTGGTAAATTTTGCTGTCGACCTAACACTGTTCTTTTTTTTTTTTTTTTTTGACCTAAAACTGTTCTTAAAATAAACTTTATTGGGGCGCCTGCGTGGCTCAGTCAGCTAACTTTCTGACTCTTGATTTCAGCTCAAATCATGATATGATATCATGAGATATCATATGGGTCATGAGATTGGGCCCCACATTGAGCTCCATGCTAAGCGTGGAGCCTGATTAAGATTCTCTCTCCTTCTCTCTCTGTCCGTCCCCATTTGTGTGTATCTGCTCTCTTTCTTTCTCTCTAAAAAAATTAATTAAAAATAAAACTTATTAATTAAAAGAAAAAGATAGTGATAGTTACAGTTTCCTTCTGCCTTGTATCGGTTGGTTTCTAGTTGACCAGTTTTCTTCCTACCTAGTTCCTAAAGCGATTCAGTGGCCACTTACAGATATACGAACAACATGGCCAAGAAAACTGGTTAAAAATAAGAAAAAATAAAATAAAAAATAGCCAAGAGTGGTACATGTCATGAAGATGTGGCTTGCAAGAGGTGGGCAAGCTACACCGTGAATCACTCTGGGCTTTGCAGCAGCCACTTACAGCATTTCACTTGTTCTGCCAAAGCCTCTTGATTTCTGATGCTAAAAACAAAAAGACAATCCTTCCAGGGTCCTCATAAAGAAGCCACTGAATTCTAATGGCTGCATCCTCACAATGCCTGTGGTATGGGTGAGGGTCTGGGGCCTAGAGCAACGTCCACAGAGCAAAGAGAGGGAATTAGTTGGTTCGGGGAAGGTAGCATGCTGCTTGGAAGATTTGAGAATGTCAGGGAGAGTGAATGAGTAGGAGATCAAAGATTGCAGGGGCGGCCCGGGTGGCTCAGCGGTTTAGCACCACCTTCAGCCCAGGGCCTGATCCTGGAGTCCCGGGATCAAGTCCCACATCAGGCTCCATGCATGGAGCCTGCTTCTCCCTCTGCCTGTATCTCTGCCTCTCTCTCTCTCTCTCTCTCTCTCTCTCTCTCATGAATAAATAAATAAAATTAAAAAAAAAAGATTGCAGGCAGACTCTGAGTACTGTGTTTTGGAGCAGAGCTTTTGATAAGTATCGAGCAGAAGTGAGTGTTCTCCCTGACAAGTGTCTGTTGTATGCACCTCTTCTGTCTGTCACTCAGCAGCCACACTGGGAATGGGGCAGAGGAGCCCTCCATTATAATGGAAGTAGAAGTAATAGCAGTCATAGTATTTTTGGACATCATGCCAGTCATAAAAACTCTGTAGACACTTCTGTTATCCCCTTGTACAGGTGAGCAAACTGAGGTCAGAGCTTGAATAACTTGCCTGCGATCGCATGGTTAGTGAATAGAGAAGAGCTTTCCCACCTCCTCTGGGAATTGAGGCAGGGGTGGGCCTGAGGGCAGGGCTGTTCTGCTCAGAACATCTAACACGCAGGTATTGGGGCGAGGGAGGGTAGTTGGTCCAGTGTTTCTCCCTCTTATGAGTAAGCTCCTGGAAGGCAGGGACCACATGTGATCCATCCCACCATTCCCTAAAGTGTAGCCTAGAGCTAGACACTCAGTGAGGTCCTAATAACCCTGTAGCACTAGATCAAATTTAGTTTTCCTAACAGGTTGTGGTGCCTCCCGGAGTGACAGAGTCCTCTTTCCAAGTGACATCTCAAAATGTTGGACAAGTTACTGTTTATCTGCACGGAAATCATTCCAACCAGACCAGGTAAGCTGACCTTAGCCCACGTGGGCCTCAAACGATGAGATGGTAGACAGGCAGTGTAGGGTCCATGGGGGTATCTTTCAAGCCCAGCTTCAGCTCATCTGTGACCAAATTCTTTCTAGCCCAAGGATCCGCTTCTTGGTCATCCACAGCCATGTCATTAGCATCATAAACCAGGTGATCGGCTGGATTTACTTTGTGTCCTGGTCCATCTCCTTCTACCCGCAGGTGATCACCAATTGGAGGCGGAAAAGGTAACTGCTAAGCTTTCTGTGAAGTCACTTGAGGCTGGTAAGATGGGAGGCATTCCGGAGAGGCTGCAGGCAGCATGGATTCAGGCTTTCCTCCTCTGCTCTTCTCTCTTCTTGCCCTTTCTATAAGTGTTCAGTGTGAAAGCTCTAAGAGCCTGTGGCAGGACTTGCAGCTCTGGACATTTGGTCTGTGGCCCAGTTCAGCCCCCTGCTATGACAGCAACAAAATGGGGCTTTTCAGCGAAATGGAGAATGGGCAGTGTTGGGTGGGGGGAGTCTACCAAATCTGCTCTGTTCTTGATCCATCCAGCACTGGAGGAATTAGTCTCAAGTCTTACTGCAGTGCCAAAGCTGGCCCTTCAGCCTTGGATGTTAAGCAGCCACCCAACTCTGACTTTAGAGACAGGGTAGGCCTGGAGTTGTTGTATCTATGCACAGCAAGGACCCAAGCTCTCCTGCAGCCTCCCTAGCCACATGGGCCTCATTGGGGGCTGCTGAGCTGGGAGCCAGGGAGGAGATGCTTCCTCTCTGGAGGAGGCTTCCAGGACTTCCCACTGGGGCCAGGACTTAAAGAGGCAGGATACAAGCAGGGGGGTGGGGAGCACGGGCAGGGGGCAGGAAACCAGTACTCAAGAGGGTGGGATTGATTGAGATGTGGAAAGGGACCTGAGGGTGGCGCTTTTCTTGGGAGAGCTCTATCCCCTCCTCTCCATCCCAGTCTCACCCTTTGCCTTGCTGTCTCTTCATCACTCCATGCCACAGTGTCGTTGGTCTAAGCTTTGATTTCGTGGCCCTAAACCTGACAGGCTTCGTGGCCTATAGCGTGTTCAACATTGGTCTCCTCTGGGTACCCTCCATCAAGGTACGGCACTGCCTGCCCCCTGCAGCCCTGCCCAAGCTGTTTGGTAGCCTGGCTGCACTTCATCCCCAAGCTTCTCCCAAACCCTCAAATAGGAGCAGTTTTTCCTCAAATACCCCAATGGAGTGAACCCCGTGGACAGTAATGACGTCTTCTTCAGCCTGCACGCCGTTGCTCTCACCCTGGTTGTCATGGTGCAGTGCTTCCTGTATGAGGTGAGAGATGAATCTGGTACCTACCCCACCAGAGGTTGCCTAGGCCAATGCCTGCCACCCCCACTTGCCCCCCATACCTTCCACTTTACAGAAGACACAGAAACTCAGCAGCTACTTACAGGACTAATAGACTTGGCCCTGCGCTGGGTACAGGGGACACCCGTGACGAGCCCAAGCCCTCAGGCCCCCTGGCCTGGGGTGAGGGACACAGAGAGGCAGTGATGACCCAGCAGATTGTGAGCTAAGCAGGAGGGAGGACACAGAAGTTAGGGTGGGGCAGCCCCAGCGGGAAGGCAGAGCTATGAAGGCCTAGGGGCAGTGAGATAACTAGGAGCAGGTGAGTATGCCTGGGACTCGGGGTCCTGGTGAGGGGCACAGGCTCCCGAGGGTCTGTGGGGCCAGTCTCCCCACAGCTATATTGCTGGAGGGCTGTTGGGTGTCTCAGCAGGGAAAGGCACCATTAGGCTGGTTTTGGGGGATCACTGACATGTTTTCTTTTACTTCCCTGTGGGTACACTGCTTCCCTTGGGGAGCTCCCTCTGCACATGCAAGATCAGCCAGGGACTGCTTGGCTCCCATCTTTATGAACCTTCTAGGTATTCTTACCCTTTGCTGTGAAGCCCAGTGAAGGAGGCCTACCTTGGGAAAAGGTAGGGGTGAGGGATTGGTTCAGAGATGATCAGACTCCACTTGGATCAGGGAATGATCAGGCCTCTGGTGTGTTACAGGCCACATTTCCAGCTCCTGGTGGCCTCCAAGAGGCCCCAGTTCTGCAATGTGGGAACAAGGAGAAAATGGGCTCTGAAAAGACTAGGGACTGAACTAGAGACCCTAACAGTGACAAGGGTGTGGTGGGCACTGGGTAATCTGTGCCCCCCTCCTCCCTCCCCGCCACTTGTTCCCTTTTCTTGTCTCTGTCACCCTCAGCGGGGCACCCAGCACGTGTCCTGGCCTGCCATCAGCTTTCTGGTGCTCTCGTGGGTCTTCGTGCTTGTCACCATGATTTTGGCTGCAGTCAGGGTGATCACATGGCTACAGTTTCTCTTCTGCTTCTCCTACATCAAGCTTGCAGTGACGCTGATCAAGTATTTTCCACAGGTACCTCTGGGGCCTTCCTTACCCTTCACGTGGCCATTAGCGTGAGTGAGACAAGATAGAGAGCCCAGGTCCTGCTCCCGTGGGGCGGCTTCTAGGTGGGGTGAGGAGATGTAAATGGAGAGTTGCAATGGAAGCCATGAGCCCAGCCAGAGCAGAGCCAGGCAGAAAGCTGGCCAGAAAGACTGTTCCATTCCCTGGAGCCACGAATCACCTGAGAAAGTCAGTGGAGATTTCTCTGAGCTCATGCTCAGCTCTGGGCATCAGGTGGTACAGGTCACTTGTCTCCCCATCCCAGTCTTTCCTAAGGACTTCAGTTCTGTCCCCATTGCTCTGACGACCCTGACAAGCAGCAGCAGGACACTTGGGAAAGATGGAGAGGAGGCAGCCCAGCGCTACAACCTCTGACCTCCATCTCCCATCCAGAGACCTCATGCAGGATCCACCTTAAGGGTCCTCACCATGCTACCCCAAGTACTAGATCCTGCTCAGATTCAGAGACTTAGAGTTCAACACACTTTCCCCCTTCGCCCAAAGGGACCAGGACACAACGAGGTGGAAAGTAGCTGCCAGTGGTGGGCACCCCCAATGAATCTAGGGCCTCCTCTAACTCACCCCATTTCCCATGAAGACCCCTTTTCAGTTTCCCCAGTGCAGAGAACCTTGTATTTCATGGGCTCAGAAAGGAGAGTCTTTTGGCCAGAGTCAAGGCTCATCTCCTAGAGGGCAGGGAAACAGATCCAGGCTCCTAAGGGTGAGCTGGACTCAATTTTGTGGGCAAGAGAGGAGAGGGCATTCCAGGCTGGGGGCAGCCTACAAAGCAGAGAAGTATGAAAGGCAGTGAGGAGCAATGTTGAAGCTAAAAAGGTAGGGCCAGAAAAAAAGTGTATTATAAAAAACAAAAAAGGTAGAGTCACGCCTTAGGGGGTTGGGGAAGAAGGCTTCAGAGTGGGGTGGAGGAAAGTCTTAAGGAAAGTAAGGCCACAGTCCCTGAGTGTGGGAAGGCTTGGGCCTGGTCAACCCAGGAGGCAGGAGCCCCACTTGTTGATGTTTGGAATTGCCCCAAGACTGGAGAGATGGCCACAAGCATGAAAGAGGGTAGGAGAGGATGAAGAAGGGGACTGACAGGTGGCCGACTGAGACAAGACCACTACGGACCACTACCTCTTGGCTGATAGGACGGTTGCCCCACTAAGTCCAGAGCGTTCTGGCATTGGAGGAAGGATATAGGGCAGTGGCAGCAGAAAGTGGGATGCCCAAATGCACCCACCCACTAGACCTAGAAAGCCTGAGATGGAAGTCCCCAGAGCCCAGTCAGAGCTAAGGTGGGAGCCAAGTCCACTTTACAGATGGGGAAAACTGAGGCTAGGAGAACTCTAGTAACTCTTCCAAGGTAACCTCCAGACCAGGCAACTGACTCCCAGCTGTGTTCATAAGGACAACATGAAGTCCAGGCTGAGTGTCTCCTTCGTTGGAGGTGAGAAGAAAAATCACTTGCTGGTTTGTCCCAGAACAGGGAAGATGAAGATGGAGAAGCAGCATCTCCCCCTCCTTTGCAGTTGTGAGGTGCAGGGATGAGAGGATGAGCTGTTTGCCCACACGAGACTTCTGGACCCGCCCATACTGTTCCCTGGGCTGGTCATCGTGTTCTTTGCTGCTGAGGCCCAAGCACATGAGTGGGAGGAATTAGAGCTGCTCTTGTTGGGAGAGGCAGTCACAAGGTATAAGAGGCAGCCACCCAGCCCCCTCACCACCATCCTTCTATATCTGACACAGGCCTACATGAACTTTTACTACAAAAGCACCGAGGGCTGGAGCATTGGTAATGTGCTTCTGGACTTCACTGGGGGCAGCTTCAGCCTCCTCCAGATGTTCCTCCAGTCCTATAATAATGGTGAGTCAGCCAGCAGGCAGCCGCCCATCTGGTGGGCTGAAGGCACAGGGGGGGCCAGGCTTCCTGGGATACCGCTCCACCCACCCCCAGCCCTTCAGCCAGGGACTCCAGGCCAATCCCAGCAGCCAAAGTGGGGATTTTGTAGCTGGAGGATTTGTGGTTTCCTGGGCAGATGAGGACACCCCCCACCCCGCCCCACCCAAGAGCCCCACATGCTGCAGCTGTTTCAAGAGCTGCCAACTTAAAACCAACTCAGTCCCCTACGGCTGTTCACAGACCAGTGGACACTGATCTTTGGAGACCCAACCAAGTTCGGACTCGGCATCTTCTCCATCTTCTTCGATATTGTCTTCTTCATTCAGCACTTCTGCTTATACAGAAAGAAACCAGGGTACGACCAACTGAACTAGTACCCAGGGACCCAGCATAAATGGTCCTGGGCCCTGTGCATGCCAGGAAGGCCAGGGCAGAGGCTGGAGTGCAGGGCTGGCTCAGTGTGCTGCCAGTGTTGAAGCACTGTCTTCCTCGGGGCCAAACGCCTTACACACAAACCAGCCTGCCTTCAGCCAGGACTCTCCCAGACCAGGCTGGGCAGGAGCCTCCCTCTGAGACAGATACCAGACTCTGAGATGGAAAACCACACCACGGACGGCCCCTCCCAGGCCTTGCCAGTCGGGCATCTGGCCCTCCTGCATCTTGATGCCACCGTCTTTATTTTCTTTAAGGCTTCAGGCAGCACAAACGGGTTCTGACAGCCATCCCAGGGAGGATTGGGTGCTGAGTTTGGAGCCGAAGGCCTTGACCTAAGCAGCCATTGTTTCTGGGAGCAGCTTGAAGGACTGACCCCGCAGGTGTGAGCCAAAGGCATTTCGCTGCCACTGCTATTCCCAGAGACCCAAGCAGCCAGGTGGTGTGGCCAGTGGACTCAGAGGTGTTGGTGCTAGAAAGGACAGGATTTGGGGGTTAGGCCCTTCCCCGAAGGCCACGTTGAACACTCACCTTCCTGATGCTGTTTCTACGTAATTCAACTCCCCCAACTGTAATCACAGGTGGCCCAGGCTAAGGTCTGGTAAAGAAACTGGATTTCTAAGCCTTGAGGTGACCAACAGATTGGTTCTGAGCTAGGCTTGTGCCCAACCCCTCTGGATCCTTATCACACTAACCCCTTTTGGGTTTTTTGGAGGGATGTTCTGGAAGTGGGTGGCTTAGTGTCTCCACCTTCTGCCTACCTCTACTTTCCCAGTCAGGGACCCTATTTAATCCCCTTTGCTCCTTATCTTGTGCTGGTGTATAGGGTGTGTGGATGCGCACGTGCACACGTGCACACGTGCACACACACACACACACACCAGTCTGCCTTAGAAGCCAGGAAGACCTGACAAATGGTGAGAGAAGCTCCCCTGTAGGGGAGGAGGGCTGGCCCCCTTCCTTCACTTACCCCAGACCCTACCTGAGAGCAACTTTTTGGCTGTTCAGGAGTCTCTCATAAGGACTTGAGACCACTCACACAATCCTCATGGGCCCTACCCTTATTCCAAACCTTCTTCCCTTCTATCCCAGGCTGTCCTTCCTGTGGCAGGAGGGGAGGGTGCCAGGATGTGCCTTGTCAGTTCACATTCAGACCTTTTACTACAAGATTAATGTGAGGTGCCTATATCCTTAATTAAAATCGGATTTGTTTCCTTTCTGCACACTGAGCACTTGCCAGATGTGGGAGGTAGGTGTGTTGGCTTCAGAACCAATTCTTGGGGCTTAAGGAGACAACCCTACTTACTTCATGTAAGGAAACACTGGAGTTGTAAACTATGCTGATGGCGAGGTGGCTGCATGCCGACCGGCATTCATCAGGGGAGCCCTCTTGGGTAGTGCAAGATGCCTGCCTGCTCAGGGCCAGGTAGGTCACACAGGTACCATTACCAAGGGCATGTTGCTCAAGCTGGAGTTAACGAGCATGGGTTGGATGGGTTAAGGGTACTCTTATGGGTGCGGGGGGGGGGGTGCATTTTATTTTTCAAATTATTCTTCTATCCATATATCCAAGAATTTAGGATCTTGTTTCCCTAAAACAGTTTCCAGCCTGACCAACCCCACAGACGTATTTTATTTAGGCTACTCTGTATGTTACTGGGTACCACACTGTAGAAATAGGAGATTTCAGGTTTCTGATGGAAAATTTGAAAAACTGGATTTGGCAGTTGTAGATAAGCCGTCAAATAGCAATCATTCCCAGAGCTGGTCGTGCAGCCAGTCCTGGGCCAAGCAGAGGCACTGGTGTTCTCCAGCTTACCCCCATCTCATCAATCCTACCTGTGATAAACTATGCTCTCAAGAGTCTTGGCAGAGGGTGGGGGTGTCCCATGAACCCCTTAGTGTCCATGAGTCCTCTCCCGGGTGGAGCACAAGCTAAGTGACACAGGGGAAGTCAGGAGTTCCCTGCCCCACTTCCAGGGAGGTGCTCCCAGATGTTCCCACAGATGTGGCCCTGGACAAACAGCAACAGGCAGGCCTGGCAGCAGCTGGGCCTCATCTCAGAAGTGGTTGGGGGCCAGGCTAGTCAGCCCTGCAACCAAAGCTCTAGCCACCATCCACCCCCAGACATCCCTAGCCCCATGCCTCAGCAAAACCCCTTGTGAATTCCAACACTGTTTATTTGGACCCAAGATGTCAGGTATGGGGTAATTTCACACTGCCCCATTTCCATAGGAACCAAAGTAACACATGTTGTTCCCAGATACAAGTTAGTAAGCTAAATTCAAAAGTAAAATTGGCATCTCCAAATAGGTAAAAATGCTTTTGTATCAAAGTTGTGATTTAAAAAATATAAAGTTAAACCCATAGGCATAGAAGGAAATGGCAATCCTGAGAACTGCCCTGAAATGTCAGCCTTGAGCTTCATCTAAATCTTGTACACAGGTGAACCCTGGGGAGGCTAGTGCCCCTCAGGGAAGTGGGGGTGTGAGGGGGTGAACCATAAGCCTGTCTGGCTTCCATTCAGGCAGTGTGTCAAGCCCCTCCTGGGGAAGGAAGGGAAAAGCAGGGTACAGTCGCTGCAGAGTTGAGACACAGAGGCATGGCCAAGCCCTGCAGCCAGGCCTCTGTAGGAAAGCCTGGCCCCACCTGGCATTCTCCAGCTTTGTGGGGGACCTCCTGCCCATTTGGGCACTGCTAAGGCCATGCAGCAGGGTCTGGGGGCCAAGCCTATGGTCACTGCAGATTGACTACAATTCAACTCCAGGCCCTTATTTTAAATTCTCAGTGTCTGAGGATGAGAGCTGGTCCCAGAGCTTCAGGCCAGTGGGAGGTGGGGAAGGAAGGCTGGGTCAGGCCCCAGGGACAGGCCTCTGGGACCAGCTCTGGCCCTTTGGAGCTGGGGCCCAGCATGCAGCAGAAGCCAGGATGAGGGGCAGACAGAGCATGGAAGTGGTGTCACTGTAGGCAGGCAGGCACGAGGCAGGGACCACAGCGGGCTGCTAGGACAGCATGGACTGCTGCACTGCCTTCTGCAGCGACTGCCGGGTCACTAGCAGGCGCACCACCTCCTCCGAGCGCTTGGTGAGCCGCTTCCGGGCTTGGTCGTGTGTGACCATGGTCATGTCCCAGCCATTCACCTGGCCCAAGGAGAAAATACAGCCTGCCTCAGTTCTCTGTCCTCTGGGATCTGGAAGCAGGATAGGCTTTGGGGTCCTGGGTCACCCAGGCAGGCTGATGTCTCTGTGCTGGGGGATGCCAAGCACCACAGTTGAGGCATACAGAGGAGAGAGCCAGCTCCCTCTGGCAGCAACACCAGCATGCGCTCCCAACAGTTTCAGTGAGTCTCCCCGGTGCCCCAGGAGGCAAGGGCAGCCCCCAACCCGAGTGCTTCAGACCCTCTGGCCCAAGCCTTGATCTCCTCCTTTGGGACACATGTTACCTGCATAATCTTGTCTCCAATCTGCAGCCCAGCAATTTCAGCAGGGCCTCCTTCAGATACTCGTGTGACATAAATGCCCTGGAAAGAGACAGCCCAAGTCAAGCCCCAGTGTCACTGGGCTAGCCCCTAATCCAGAGAGCAAAGCCCAGCCATCCAACTGACTGCACCAAGTCTGCCCCTAACATAGGCTGTGCCAAGACAGTCGAGGGGAAAGCAGCGCTGCCCCACCGTGCTCTGGTCCCTGCTGCTCGCCTCTTCCTGTTCCTCCTGGGCTCTGAGTGAGCCTTCCTAGGGCTGGGAGGTCTGCTCCCCACCCCCATCCCTACTTATCATTTCTTAAAAGTTCTTAGGATTTTTGAAAGACAAAGAGGTCTACTCCTTCCAAGAAGGCCATGGAAGTACCCACCATCTCAGACCTTTGTCCCCAGTGGAGAGGTCCCAGGACCCTGGTCCCCCTCACCTTGTCTGTTTTATCTTCTGAGAAGGGATTCTGGGAGGGATCCTGGTCAATTCCACCTCCAATGCTGAAGCCCAGTATTAAGTTCTCACCTTGACGCAGCTTGTGAATTTCAACTCTTTGCTAGCAAAGGAAAAAACAAGTTGGGAGCAGATGGGTATGTGGACAATGAATCTGCTCTGTGTCCAGCAGCAGCCTCAGGCTGCTGTGCCAGCTCAGACCCATGCCAATGGGGGTGGAGCCCAGAGTCCTCTGTAGGATTCCACCCGGTTACCAGCCACCAGCCTGGGAGACTGGGGGCCAGGGGTGAGGGGGGTAGCTTGTGACTCAGAACTCAGCCACAACCACCTACGCAATATTCTGTTCTAGCCTCTGTCCCCTTCCTGTTAATCTCAGGCACCAGCCTTAGTCAACAGGTACTCTAAGCCCCTCCTGATCCAAGAGTCAAGATGCTGTGACTGCTCTACATGGGGGGCCTGTGACCCAGGGGAGGGACCACACAGAGCAGAAGGGGTCAGGGCTTGAAAAAGAAACGCCAGTGCCTTGCTGAGGCAACTCATTGCTGAGCCAGCCTTGTTGAGGGCAAGACTATAGAGATGCTCCGGAAAAGCAGAGAAGTTCAAACTTGCACATGAAGGAGAGGAAGGGCTTGTCCTGGCCAAGGGACAGAAGCACAGGCTTGAAGGTGCTATACAGGTCTACGAGATGAGTGTACAGCACTGGAACTGAGAGGTGAGGTGAGACTGGGGCCAGATCAGAAAGGCTGTGGAGTGCAGGCCCTAGAGGCTGGCCCTGAGGGAGGGGGTTTCTCTGTAAGCCCCAGACCCTGTTGTGTGGTGTAGGAGGCAGAGGAGGGTTCTAAAGCTCTCCCACCATAGTCCCCAAACTGCCAGGGCCCTTTCAAAGTTCTCAGCAAGTTCTCAGCAGGCACCCTCCAATCACCAGAGTGTAGGGGCTAGCTAGACCAGATCACCCCACCCCAAAAGTTGAGTTTTAAAAGGAAGAAAGAAAAGAGTGCCTTGATCTGGACCTGAAGAGCTTCACAGAAGAGGGATCATTTGCACCAGACCTTGAAAGGAGTGACAGTTTTAGACACCTGATTTTGATTCTGGGCCCACTAGAGTTCTCAGGGGTTCAGGAATAAGGTTGGTCCTGGTCAGATTTGATACTAGAATGACCACCTGGGCAGTCAGGAGGAGGAGAATGGATGTCTTCTAGAGGTGGGATGTGGAGGCCAGGGGACATGACTACTTGGAAACTAGATCAACAGACTTGAGGACTGCTCGTGGTAGAGAGCAGTGAAAGGAAGCACCCAGCCAAGTGGCCTGGCTGAACACAAACATCTCTCAGCTGGGGACACTGAAGGGGAAGCATTTTGGAGTGCCATGAGCTACCCAGGCAAGTGTCCAGACAGAAGACAGACGAACCCATGGAGCCACAGCTCAGAGAAGAAGCCAAAATGGTTTTAACATTCTCAAAATATTAATTACGTGGGATAAGGCAGTGACTAGGAAGGAAACCTCCCCTAGCCCATTCTCAATCCAAAACACAAGCAGGATGTGCTTGCTCCGGCAGCACTTAACACAAAACACAAGCGGGAGAGGCCAGACACGTTCCTAGTCTTAACAAGAATTGGGACAGCATGGTCTTAGAGTTTTGAGGACCTGCCAGGACAGAAGAGAGGGGAAGCAAGAAGTATGACCCCTGAAGCCCACCAGACATAGGTCCTCAAGTCCAAAAGTGTGAACTCCTGCAGGCCTGCTCCACCTCCTCCCACACACACCTTTGCCCACCCGAGATTAGAAGAGAGTACAGGCCCTTGGGCTGGAAGACAAGGGCGGGTCCCTGACTTACTGGGTGAGATGAGGCAGTTTACTGCCTCTTTCTTGCGCCTCCCCTACACACTCCTTTTCTTCCACCTAAGAAGCAAACCTGGCCGCTTCTCTCTGAGGCAGCTAGGAATCTAGAAAAGCAAGGTGCAGTTGGGGTGAAGTGTAGGGCAGCAATCTGTAGGTCCAGAAATGTTTCTTACTAGCCCCGGCCAGAGCTGGTTCTCTAAACTCAAGTTCACATGCCACCTTAATGGGTGCCGGCGCCTGACTCAGGAGTTCCCCTGCAAACCCATCTGAGATAAGGCAGCCCGTCCCACGGCCCTAGGACTGGGACTTGGACCTGACCCAATTCCTGCCAGACAGGCCTTTCTTCTCAGAGATCTGGGTTCTTCCTGGGGACTTTCTTTAGGGCTGGGCATCAACAGACTTCTCCTGGGACTGTTTCCCCATCTCCGCCTCCCGAGTTTGCCTTCAGACCCCATCCAGCTTTGGCGCTGACGTCCCCGGCTCTCTTCTCCCCGTCGTTGACTGCCATAGCATTTAGCACCCAAGACCAGCCGGTGGAGGGGAGCCAGGGGCCGAGGCTGGCCCAGCGCCGGGCGGGGAACCTGGACTCTGTCCCAAGGGTGAGAAGCCAGGGAACGTCTGCAGCAGGAGCCAGCCAGCTGCGTGGCCCTCACTGTGGAGCAGCGGGGCTGGGTCCGAGCGCGCCAGGCCGGCGGACAGTCGGGCCTGCCCCTCCGCCCCGGCCACCTCCACCCCCAACTGTCCCTCGGGGGGGCGGCGGCGGCGGCGGCGGCGGCGTCTCCCGCAGCGGAGGAAGCACTTCCTCGTTCCAGGGGCAGCGACTCCCGGCTGTCCCCGCCCCGCCCCGCCCCGCCCCGCGGCTGCCCGCAGGGAGCTCAGCCGGGAAGGGGCGCTCTCCCCGCACCCCGCGGCTGAGGACCTTCTCCGCCGGCTGGACGGAGCCCAACGCAGCGGCGGCAGGGCGCGGGGCTGGCCTCGGGTCCAGGTGCCCGGCAGGCGCTCTGGGGTCCCGCCATCCCTGGCGCCCGCCGGGGAAGACCGCGGTCCCGCGGGGCAGAGCCAGGGCCCGGGCCCGGCCGCCGCTTGGCAGCCGCCCGGGCTCAGCGCTTCGCCGGCCCGCGTGGGGCGTCAGTTTGCCGATCTGCACAACAGGAGCGAGCGCACTCACCACCACGGCGGTGACCGGCTGGCCCGGGATGTAGGACATCTCGACCCGCAACCGGAGACCAGGCGCAGCTCAGGGAAGCCCGCAGCCAGAGTCCCAGCGGCCGCGCCCTGCCGGGTTAACAAAGGCACCCCGGCTCGGCCCGCCCCTCAGGAGTCGTTGACAAGCCCGGCCAGTGAGCGGCCGGAAGTCCCCGTGCGTGCGTGGGGGGGCGGGGGGCGCCCGCGGCGTGCGCGTCGGGGGCGGGAGCGCGGTTTCGGCGCGTGCGCAGCGAGGGCCCTCCCGGCACCCTCCAGCGCAAGATGGCGCCGGGCGGCTCTGTGCCGCTGGCGGTCTGAAGGAACGCCGCGTGTCTGTGTCCGCCGCCGTGTTGCAGGTAACTGGGCGAGCCGGGGCGGGCCGAACCGAGCCCTCAGCCTCCTCTGCGTCCTTGGAAGGCCCGAGATCCAGGAGTGGTGTGAGGCGTTGGGAGTCGGGGGGGGGGGGGCGGCGTGCTCGCAAGTCGCCAGAGGCCATTTGTCCCCGGGTTTTCTCCGCAGCTCCGCGGGAAAGTAGAGGCTGAGCCCCGGCGAGTGCGATGGCCGCTGTGGTGGCCAAGCGGGAAGGGCCGCCGTTCATCAGCGAGGCAGCTGTGCGGGGCAACGCCGCCGTCCTGGATTACTGCCGCACCTCGGTGTCCGCGCTGTCGGGGGCCACGGCCGGCATCCTCGGCCTCACCGGCCTTTACGGCTTCATCTTCTACCTGCTCGCCTCCGTCCTGCTCTCCCTGCTCCTGATCCTCAAGGCGGGAAGGCGGTGGAACAAGTACTTCAAGTCACGCAGACCTCTCTTCACCGGCGGCCTCGTCGGCGGCCTCTTCACCTACGTCCTGTTCTGGACGTTCCTCTACGGCATGGTGCACGTCTACTGAACCAGACTGGGAGGACTGCCGTCAGAGATTAACACCGTGTAGACTTAGTTTTTAAATTGTTGCATTCGCTGCTTGTTCTGTAACCTGATAATTTATATCTGAAGACGAAGAGCCTGTAGCATTCTTCAGATTAAATGAAGCGTGAGACACTTCGTGGAGTCTTTTCCTACCTTAACTCATAGCCCATGTCTGCCGTGGGTGCAGAATCGCCAGGTTTTGGCTCCTAGAGAGCTGGGTCTGGGTCTCAGCCTTCTGTAATTTCCTTGCATTTATACATAGGCCATCCAGAGAGACTACTAGGGCCTAAGTAAAGAGGGACTTACTGTTAGCAGCGTTTCCCACATGCCAAAACATGGTGCCTTGTACCCTTTACACCCGTTGTCTCATTTCATTCTAGCAATATCCTTGTGGGGTAGATAGAATTATTATCCCTCGTTGATGATTCTGAGGCTCAGGTTACACGGACCTCTGCCACAGAGAGAGAGGCACAGCTAGAAAGAGGCAGCCAAGTTCCAGATACAGGTCTTTTAATTGCTCTTGCTGCACTGGCTGAGTGTACCTTTTTTCAGATCCCAGACGTCCCTCTCTGTACCCACTGCTTTCAGGCATGAGTCGTGCCATTTCAGTTCCATTTCATCTAGCAACAGCTAGCTGTCATTTCCTTTTTAAACAACTTCAAGCTCTTTTCTAGAATATGTCTAATGGAGATTTATTAGACGACATTTAAGCTAAAGTTTGGGCTTGTTTAGAATGTAATGCTTTTGTCTATGTGCTAACCCATGATCCCTTCTTGTCAAGGGGGTATCTTAGAATAAAGTGCATACCTTTGAAAGATAACATATTGCATTAGAGTTATAGTAGTGAACGTGTTGCTCATGTTATTTATAGTCTAACTGGGAGGACCGGTATTCCCTAATTTCACAAATATTTAAATTTTGACAAGTGCTGTGAAGAGAGAACAGAGGAGCCCTAAACTGAGCCCAGGTTGGGGAGTAGGGATCAATAAAGTCTTTGAGGGGCGCCTGAGTGGCTCAGTCAGTTGAGCATCTGACTTGATTTCAGCTCAGGTGGTAATCTCAGGCTCTCAGGATGGAGCCCTGCCTCAGCCTAAGAGCTCAGCAGGGAGTCTGATTCTCTCCCTCTCTCTCTACCCCCCTCCTCAGTGTGTGCTTGCTTGCTCTCTCAAAATAAATAAATCTTCTTTAAAAAATTCTTTGAGATTACATTTGAGACCTCAGAGTTGAATAACAAGTATGAAGAAGAAGCTACATTCAAGAAAGCACAAGTGTTGGGCAGCCACAGTGGCGCAGCGGTTTAGCGCTGCCTGCAGCCCAGGGTGTGATCCTGGAGACCTGGGATCGAGTCCCACATCAGGCTCCCTGCATGGAGCCTGCTTCTTCCTCTGCCTGTGTCTCTGCCCCTCTCTTGCTCTGTCACTCATGAATAAATAAATAAAATCTTTAAAAAAAAAAAAAAAAGCACAAGTGTGAGGACCACTGGGCAGCAGGAAGGGGTTTGGCCTGTACCTGGAGAGTTAGAGAAGAGGCCAGGACCAGGACTTGGATCAGTCATGGAAGGCTACAATGGGGATGTTGGCCTTGATCCTAAGAGCAATTTGCAGAAGCCTTTGGAAGTTTTAGCCAGGAGTGATGGGATCACAATTGGATTTTTCTTAAAAGAATCCATTTCAGATCAGAAGATCTGAGAACTTGAATCCAAATCCCCTTTTACAGACAGTACATGGCCCATGGTCAATAGCAGATAGATCTGGGACCCAGGCATGCACACAAAGGGAAGAAGCAGGTGAGGCCACAGCTTTGCCTCCTTCACTCACCCAGTGACCTCTGAACCCTCTCAGACCACCACTGAAGAGGTTCACAGGTATGGTTTGCACACTATGCCCTTCTCAACCTCCCTGTCCTGAGGGCTTTCCCTAAGTGAAATGGGAAGGTTTGTGATGTGGAATAAAGAGCAGTCCTACTGGATCGGGGGTTGGGGGTGCAGAATAAGTGAGCTGATTTACTTAAACATTATCTTTTATCACTAGACAGTAAGATTGAAATACTATTATAAAAAACATTGCAGAGAATGTCTTGATATCATTTTGAGGGAACTTAATAAACTCCTAAAGCAGAAGGTAACTTGATTCCAAATGCTTTCCAGAGTTTTATCAGATTACCCTCATTGAGTGGAAATGTACCAGTTAGTTCTATTATGTCTTCCCAGTCTTTAATATTTGCTCATTTAAAGAGTTTCCTTACTTCCATTTGAATTTCTTTGTAATACAATAGGGAACATAATTTATTGTTCACTGATGGTTTCTGTGTCTGCCTCTTTTGTTCTCACTTTCTCCTTACATTTTTCTCTGAGACAGAGTGACTGAAAAGATAGGAAGGGGGAGAAAAAATCTAGTTTTCAAGGGATGCCTGGGTGGCTCAGCTGTTGAGCATCTGCCTTCAGCTCGGCATGATCCCGGAGTCCCAGAGTCCCCGAATCGAGTCCCACCCTCTGCCGAGATGTCTCTGCCTCTCTGTGTCTCTCATGAATAAATAAGTAAAATCTTTAAAAAAAAAATAGTTTTCAAGTTAAAACCTTTTATTGTTTTATAGCCAAATAAAAATACATTTATAAGGCAGGTCCCAGACAGTGTTGCCATCTTTCCTCCTTTGAGTCTGTGCACTTCGGCTTAAGGGGAAACAAACAGCTGGGAGAAAGGTGTGCCTTTTGAAGAGTCCCTGGAGAAAATGCTCTTGAGGGGAGCTGCATCATCTGGGTGGAGGAGGGTGGGCTGCAATCAAGTGGAGCCCTTTTTCAGACATGCAAGATGCCATTCCAAGTGGGGTGATTTAGGGACTCTGCAGGACACTGTTGTCCTTAGCTGGGGTACTCAGACACCTGGAGGAAATCCTGTTCCCCCTTTACAGCACTGAGAAAGGAAGAACTGATGAGGCGTTGGGGCACAAAGGCAGCCGTGACTAGTTAGTCCCGGTGACCCCTACAACAGGGGTAGAGGGCACTTAGCTCTTTCGTGGCTGGTCCCCTTGATAGCACTCAGTTTACAAATCCCATTGGCCAGCATCATGGCACTCCCAAGGCATGGAATTAATCATTAGGAACATACCAGGTAGGTGGCATTAGGCCAGGGTCTGTGCAAACCAAACACTGGGTCTTTTTGGGCCAGAGGCAGCACGCAAGCCTTGGCTACTGAGCCATCAGACAATGGTGAGTGATGAGTTCTACGTCTCTCCCCTTGGGTTTACATAGGGACTCCTCAGATACTGGGAGAGGGAGAAGTGAACGACCCCCCCCCCCCCTCAGCCCAGTACCTAAGTGTACTCCACCGTGTCCCTTTCTGACAGGAGACTTGGTCTGGTGTTGCAGACATCAGGAAAAGAACTTTTCATTTCCTGAGTAAGGGCACAAGTAACGCGGTAGGTTGTCAGCAAAACAGGAGAGCCTCTTGGAATTGGTAACACAAGTTGCCTCTGAACGGGTGGGAAGGAAGCTTTTCACTGTCTATAATCTTTTAACATAAATTATCTAGTCAAAATATTTTAATTCAAATACATTGAGCTTGCCCCTTTCCTGGGGGTGGTGGTGGGGTGGAATCTTCTTGCTCTGTCTGACCTAGAAATTGGCAGCACCTACAAAAGCTGGCCTCTTCCTTCCTTGGAGCCAGGCTTTGCTTATCTCCTTAACCAGTGCTCTCAAACAACAATGTTCACAACAGTCACCTAGGAGTCTTGTTGAAACACAGGTTCTGATTTGGATGGGGCAGCGACTGCATTTCCAACAAGTTCCCAGGTGATGCCCATATCGCCAGTCCACAGGCCACACGTGAAGTAGTGAGGCTCTGCAGCCACTAGGGGGGGAAGCAGCACCATTCTGCAGGGTGGGGTGGGATAGAGTAAGGGGGGGTAGGAAAGTCTGGGTGAGGGGCCAGGCCCCCTGACAGTTTGGGCCTCCCTGTTGACAACTGCTTCCACCAGCCAAGTGAGCATCACCTATTATATCTCATTAGCCCTTCAGACCCAGGCTTTGCGGAGAGAGGGAGGGAAGCCAGGTAGGGACACCCAGCCGCATGGAACGGCAAGAGACAAATGACACAGGCAGATCATCTCCCATTTGGGTGAGACACTATGCTCAAAGCTTCCTGAGGCTGGGTGGGTGGGTGGACTGGAGTAGAGGCCTCTGTGCCTCCCCTTCCCCACCTTAGCTGGAAGTTCTCAGGGGCTGCCTCTCTCAAGGGCCAGCTGCCTCCTTGCACATCCAGTCCTTTCCTGGTTGCCTCCTTGGCCACCTTTAAATTTCATCCCTGAGGGCAAAGCCAAATATCCCCCTTGGATGTTGGCTAAAGTCTTTCTCTGAGGAGCCGCCATTCTCAACAGGAATTTGTGAAGTCTCAGCTAGAGGTTGTAGGAAGGCCAGAGGAGCTGGGCCTGGCTGTGAGGTCTATTGGCTCTGGAGGGAATTCCATGTGTGCTCCCGTCCCTGAGGGCCAGGTCAGCATCTCATTTAAGCATCTCTTGGATAGGGCACAGCCCACAGCAAATAATGTTTATTGTGTGATGAATCAACTAGGTTCTTAGAAAAATGAAAACACTCGAATACCACCCAGGCCTCTGGCCTTCCCCCACTTGCTTCTCCAAAGCCTTCTCTTCTAGATCTGAGCCACTCTGGCCCCTAGCAGGTTCCCCGCCACACATACAACACACACAACAAAAAGCTCGTAGCAGGATCCTGAGGTGCAGAAGAGATGGCTGTGCCTGGAAGCACCTGTCCATGCAAACACAATTTTTACTTCAGAGCCACAAGCTGTTCTGCCCCAACATCTTCACCAAATCTGCTGTCAACCAGCAGCTCTGGCTATGCCTCCGCTGTCCGCAGGTTCTGTAGCTGCTCCATATGCACTTTTCCATTGCCCAGGTGGCTAGACCTGTGTGTGGGTAGGGGGCACACAGAGGACAGTTGGGAGCCCTGTGGACATGGATGGCCTAAAGGCAGAGCCCCCCACCCCCCTGCCCCACAGCCACCTCGCTGGCAGCACCGCAGATAGAGCATTCGCAGAGAGGGGCAGTCTGGGGGTCCCTGGCCACGGCCCAGACATGTGTTGGGGGGTCTCTGAAGCCACACCAGCAATGAGCAGCAGGCACTGTGGTGGTCCCCTGAGGGCACCTGGAGCCTCCCACAGCAACAGGCAAGGAAAGCATCTAATAAGGAGTAGGGGCATGGGGGACTTGGTAAGGGAGGAAAACCTGATGGAGAAGAATTGGATTCTAGATTCTATGTTCAAATCCCGCTCAGCCATTTATTAGCTGTGACTCGAGCAAGCTACTTAACTTTTCTCGCCTCAGTTTCCTCATTAGTAGAATGGGACTATTAGTGTCCACTTCATTAAGCAACTGAAATGAGCTGATGCAGACAAAGAGAAGTGGCTGGCAGAGTAAGCCTGAGTCAACGGTGGCACTGTTATTGTCTTAATGCTGGGACAGCACAGCAAGTGGACTTTGTGGTGACTTAGGGGCTTGGAGGAAATAACGAGCATCTTGGAGGGGCTAAAGCACCCCCTCCCCACAAAGTCCAGCATGGATGGGCTCTCCTACATCCTGGCCGTCCTGCCATGTTGCCAGGTCACCCTGGAGCGGGCAGCAGGGGAGAGGGCCTGGCTGTCTCTGCAAGGCTCAGTCTCGGGTCCTCCGACCGGCAGCCCCTCACCTGGTGGGCTCCAGATGCTGTTGGTACCTGCAGCTGTTCCCCTTCTGGCTACTGCCTCTGGGCTGCGCCTCTGGATGCTCCGCTTCCTCTGCCTCTGGGATCCCACCCTGCTGCGAGGACTCTGCAAGCCCCGGGAGGACCTGTAGGATTCTGGCCAGGACAGGACCTAGTTAACCCTGGCCTGCAGAGCCCAGCCCACCTTCTCCAAGCTGGTGAGGGTGGGCCCTGTAGAACCCCCTCGCCCTGGGGGGGGCACCCCTCTTCCTCCTGCAGCTGCCAGGGAGGGGTGGAGGTACAATGAGGGCTCCATCAGGGTCAGGGCCGAGGGCTCAGCCTGACCCAGGGCAGCTTCAATCCGGAGAATGGGGAACAATGTGCTGTGGTGGAGTGGAGGGAGTACCAAGGTGCCCACGTGGAGCCCAGCTCCTCCAGAATGGCTGGGCCACAGCCCTCTTCCCTTTCCAATCTGCCCACAGACATCAGCATTTCCACTTAGACTGTGTTCCACCGCTGTTAGCAGACACACACACACACCACCACCACCACCACCACCACCACCACCACACTCAGGGCTCAGAGAGGCCTAGAAATAGACCCCCACAGGAAAAAACAAGAAATCCATCTTTTTCCTCTTACTACTCCAGCTCCCCTCAACCCAGCCCACCAGGACTACCAAGTCCAAGAATCCTAAAATGTAAGTGCTAGAAGGCTCATAGAGAGAGAAACTGAGGCACAAGGAAGCCTGGGAGTTGTCTGAAGTCCCAGAGTGGACAGCACCTGATTCAGTTCTGGAGGCTGAGTCCCCTGCCTTTTTTTGCTGCCAGCTGCTGTAAGCCAGAATCCAGTTCTTTATAAAGCCCATTCTCAGAACATTCCACCTCTCTGGCCCTTCAAAGGAGCTCCCAGTGATTCAGCCCCACCTCCAACCGGGGTAGAGTTTTCAGGCCAGGGAAGGGGAGGGGATCAAGGTGGCCCCAGGAGGGTCCCTTCACCCTGCTGGGGACAAAGCATAACTGACCTCACTTCCTCGTACTTCTTGTCTCGGTAAAACTGGCTCTTCTTGATGAGGTAGATTAGTACCAGGTCACAGAAGAAAGCCCCCTATGGCAGAAGAGTTGGGGTTCCAACCAGAATCCTAGACTTCCAGAAACTGCCCTGCCACCTAACACACAGTACATCCCATCTGATCTTGTGCCAACCCCCAAGGGGCATCACCATCCCCAACGACGAGATGATGACACTGGGTTCAGAAAGAGGCACTTTTGTCAAAGGCCACAGAGCTGGTCCATGGTAGAGCCAGAGTTAGCCTGGGTCCATCCATTCTGTCAGGCCAAGCACCCCCTGCACCACTCTGGCCCCATGCAATCCTGTCTTCAACGAATGTCTCCTGAGCACTCACCATCTGCCAGGTACTGCACTGGGGTGCAGGAGAATTAAGACAATGAGACCCTGTGGGGACCATCCCTCTGGTGCAGGAGGCAAACATGTAAATTATGACAGTGACATATCCTATGATGAGGACAGGAGCAAGGAAGTAGACAGAAGACAGGACTCAGCCTGGGGAGGGATACCTGGGCTGAGTCTTGAGGGTTGAATAGGAGTTCATACAAAGCAAAAAAAAGGGGGCGGGGCAGGAAGGGCATTGCGGAGGAAGCAAAGGAAATTCCACAGGGCCTATGTTGCAAAAGTGAGTGACGCTTCTGGAGAGGTGTGATGGGGACCAGCCAGTAAACTTTCTTATAATGCCATTGAGGCCTTTGTCCTAATCCCTTAGGGAAGACACTGAAGAGCCTTGAACACAGGCAGGACGCAGAAATTTGGGTTGGTCCCTCCTGTAGTCACTGTGAGAGATGAGTTGGAGGGGATCTAAGGAACAAGGACGACAGGACGGTCAAGGAAAGATGGATGAGGACAGAGCTAACCCAGCTGGAACCCACCGACACCCATTCTGGGGAGCCTCAGACCAGAGCATGTAGTCCAAACACTCCACCAAGGGCCACTCCACCCAGTGGCCCGAGGACGGAAGAATTTCCTGCAGGGCTGACGACAAGGTGAGGGGGGTTGGGGGCCAAGGAACAGACTCACAGGTGAACTGGGCCTCTGACTCTGGGCACTCTGACCCCCCTGAGATGCTCAAAATGTTATTTATCATTTCCTTGTTCCACAGAGAACAGTCCTCCACCCAACCTAGCCTCTATACCACATTTCCTGTCACATGTATTTTCCAGGTAGATCTCCCGTGCTCTTGCATTCTGACTGACCCACGCCATGTGGCAGTAAACACTGAGAGTGGCCCAGCTCTAAGAAAGTCATGTAAGCAAATGTCCAAATCTCCCTAACAACAGTCCCCTGCGGTAAAGAGGAATCATCCGGGACTCACTTGCATCCACACCTCTCAGAACGGCCTTGTTGAATCCTGTTACTTGGTGATACTGTTACACAGTTCTCCTGGTCTCCATAAAAAGTCCATCCTAGGTCCTGCCCAAAGCCAGCACCGAGAGGGCAGAGAGGACGAGGTGGCCAGAAACCCCGGCAAGGAGCTTGCTGGTGTGGGCGTGAGCCACTCACCAACAGCTCCTGTCTTTAAAAAAAACTTCCAGAAGATCAAGACATGAGGCATGACAAGAAGCTCGGAGGAAACCTTTGCCTCCTTTTCAGCAACTACTTCCTCTCCTGTGAGCCCCGCTGGGCCCAGCTGACAGACAGACCTGAGGGAGGACTATAGCCTGGCGTCCCTACTGCTCATCTTCAAGCCCCGTGATTCTCAACTAGCAGTGACTTTGCTCCCCAGGGGACATTTGGCAATTTCTGGATTGCCATTTTTGGTTGTCACAACTGGGGAAGAAAGCACTGCTAGCGCCTGGTGAGTACAGGTATCTATTGTAATGCTGTTTAACATCCTACAGTGCACAGAGGGCCTCAACACACAAAAAAAGAATTATCTGGCCCAAAATGTCAACAGAGCCACTGCTGAGAAACCCTGGATCTAGCTGGATCCAGCTGGATCCCGCCTCCACTGGGACAGCAGTGGAAATGAAGCTTCCAAGTGCAGGGACCAACCCAGGATCCCAGAGAAGCCCAGCCCCACCCCACTCCTACCCCTTGCTCCAGAGCTGCAGGCAGATGCCTCTCTGGGGAAATTGGGGAAAGTCAGGTGGGGACTGCTACATGGGGAGTGCTGGCAGGTGTCAGAGGACGTGTCAGGTCCTTCTTTACCTGTATCCCCTGGCCTCACCTGTTCTCATTCCTCCTGAAGCATCAGGACAGCACCTTTCAAGCAGTTTCCCCCTCCCCTGCCAGCGCTCAGAGAGTAAAGGTGAGGAGGGGAGTACTCACAGCACCCATGAGCGCCACCCCAGAGCCAATGTTGATGATTGTGGGGATGATGCTGAACTTCCCTGCCTGTAGCACAAAGAAACAATGCAGGGTGAACAGGGATGGGTCCCAGGGACTCCAACATGACCCACCCTAGACCTGCCCAGCCTCAGAATGGGAGATACACTGCACATACCTTGCCATTTACCATCACATCAAAGCGGATCCCATAGGCTTTCATCAGCGTGCGGAACTCCACTCCAGCTCCATCTCGGTAATATCTGGCAAACCTAAGGGAGACCTTCCCTGTTTGGCAACACATATTTGGCTGCTTTGGATATTTATAAGCACCCCAGGACCCTATTCTTAGCAGCACTGGGAGAGGTTACAGACCCTCTTGCTAACATTATGGTAAAGATGCATCCAGATCTGTGAAAGCCTTACAGACATTCCCCTGGGAGGCAAGGGCTTTTCCATGATATGCTGGGCTGACTCAGGGCCACGGGAGCACTGAAGGAAGTGACCCAGCTAAGAAGCCAAGCCTCAGCTCCTGGTGAGCCCGCAGGGTGACAGAAACCTCTCCTCTCCTAGCTGCCACCCTTCACCTCTCCACAGCTCCTTGTCCCCATACCTCCCACTCTAATATCTACCCGAGTAAGGGCTGTCATGGTGCTGGCACTCAGAAAAAGACAAAACATGGACAGGGTAACAACACAGCGAGTCTGGTCCTGGTTACCTGAAGTTGTACCCAGAGGAGATTGAGTTTCCTGAAAATGTGTTGTCCAGACGGCTAAAAGAATAGTGAGGGTTGCATTCAGAAGGAGCTTTATCAAGATCACAATCCCATTCAATCTGAATTCCTATCACACCACCCTGATGAAGAAGAGATAATAATCAGTGCACAGGACTTTGTGGAGATGGAGAGAAGTCACAGAAAGAGCTGGACAAGATGGGGAAAGTACACAGGCCCATGGTCAGCCAGCCCCTGGAACATCCTTCCTGGAAGAAGGTGGGAGTTCCAGGGTCCTAGCCCTGCCTTTGGAGTGGCTGAGCAAACAGGCTGCTGAGAGCACCCAACCCCAGAATCCTCCTGCTTCATGCCTCCAGGAAGAAGGGAAGTACTTGAGTGAGCACCCACGCTGGGATGGGTGCCTTACACAAGAGCCAGAATGTGCCAGTGGGGCTCCTTCCAGCTCAATTTCAACAGATGCCCCAAGGATTCAGAACCAAACAGCAGGTGCTCAGTGTGGCTCTCACTGGGTGCCTGAATTCTGTAGGCTGTGCATCCCTGGGCCACCCCATCCTACAGGTCCCCCTAATTACCTCCCTCTTCCTTACAGAGCCCAGATCCAGAGCTCTCAGGCCCCCAGACCCCCAGGCCCAGCTCCCTGAGGGCACACCACCCACCTGCTGGGCTATCTCCTGGAAGTCACTCCCCGTCCAGCTGACCATGGACCCCAGGCGGAAGATAGGGCAGTAGGGGTTCTTGGGGCCAAACTGACAGGATTTGAGGAAAGCTTTGTCTTTGGTGTCCAGCACATTGGTCCTGGATGGGAGGCCATGAACAGTGAAATGAAGCTGAGACTGGTTGTTCTCAGGTGAGAGCCAGCCTGACCCAGGAGTTGCTGGGCCTTTATCTGGCTTAGGCTGAGTCCCTAACTTTAGCCCTTACTCAAGTCCTGACTACTGCCCCCACAGCACCCCCAGCAACGTACTGCACTCAGGACAGAACCACACTCCCACAGCAAGGGGAAGGGGTGCTCCAGCATCACCCAGTGGTTCATTCACACACAGGCGTCACACGCACGGACAGCCCATGCACACAGGCCCATGCACAATAACAGGAGGCAGGCCCTAGATCCCCAATAACCTAGTCCCACGTACTTGGAAAAGTTGAATTTGGGGAAACGAATGAAATTCTTTATGTAAACAGTGAAGTCTTCAGCCTTGCCCAGGAGTGGTTTCCTGAAAACCAAGCCAGGAGAGTCTGTCCAGGAGGCCTTACCCCTGCTCCCGCAGTACATTTCCCAGGCCTGTGGCAGGGCTGAGGCCTGCCTTCTCCCTGGGTCCCCTGGTTCTTTCCCAAGAACCATTAATTTGCTCATGTTGGGGTGGTCCTCAGGCCTTTGTGGAGTGTCCTCAGAAAGAGGATCTGAGTAGATATGTCTCCACCATCAGGCTGAGACCCACTCACTGCCCAGGTAGCTCTTCAGGGTCCCGAGGCCATAGCCACTCACACTGGCCTAGACTTTGTCTCCACTGGGCACCAAGCGAAGATCTCACAGGTGCCCCTTTGCATGTTCCCCACCCGCAGGCAGCGGCCAGTCTTCACTCCTGCAGGATAGGGACGGAGACAGTGCTAGAAGCCTCCCTGATCCATCCCCCACTTTGCTCCCAACCCTGGCTATTCCAGGCCTCACCGTTTCCAGCCACAACTGGCTCCCCAGGAGGGCAGTCACTGTCCGTATAGCACCAGGCATCCGGAATGCTTTCACTCTGCCAGAAAGAAAGGACACCTGGGTGGGGAAATCCCCCACAGGGGCCCCAGTTCAGAGCCAAGTTCCATCCCAGGAATTAGGACAGGAGCCCAAGAGGAGCCACACACCCTTTGAGAACCTGCTTCTGTCCCCAAACAATGCAGGTACATGCTCTGGGGCACTTGGAGGAGATAGAAACCCCCCTCTTCTGCGTCAGGAGAGGGGTAGACCCCAACCTCTGTTGGAGGCTCTCCCACCCCTCCCCTGCTTTCTGCACCAAATCAAACCTCAGCACAGGTCTCCTGCCGCTGGTTGGGGGTCACGATCAAGTTGGTGATTACGAAGAAGACATTCTCTCCCTGAGGAGCCAGAGAGGAGTTAAGGGACATCCTCCTGCCTCTTGGGGACCCTCTTTCCCAGTACTTCTTGGCAGGGGGTTGGGTCTCCGCATGGGTGTTGAGGACAATGGGGCCACAGAATCAATGGATCCCATTCAACTGCCCACTCACTCTTAAGTCTCTGAGTAGATATCCTTTGATAAGTCCCTTTCAGGCCCACTGTCCCAAACTGCCCCCTCCCCGAATTCCTATTTTGACCTCAGTCCCTGGGATCCAAGCCCAAGTCTGAGAGAAGAGAACAGGACTGGGTGGCCAATGCCTGGGCCCAGGCTAATGGTGAACAGGCCAGGGAGCCTTTCCCAAGGTCAGTGGCTAATACAAGGAAGTGGTTCTCTGCAGCAGGCCACCTGACTCAATGTGACCTGAACGTTCTGGGGGCCTCATTTGGTCTCTACAGCTTCAGGGCTTATTGGGAAGGGACTGGTCCCACAGGCACAGTAGAGGAGGGCAGGGGATGGATGTAGGGGGAAGGGTCTGGGCAGGGTCTCCATCTGCAAACCCTGGCAGCTGTCCTGGGCCAAGGGAATCCCTAGGTAACTGAGCAGCTCCCTAGGTGACCCACCCTGAGTCAGGCCGTGCTAGCCCAGGGCCCAGTGCTATGGGGGGCTCAGACCTGGGGTGGGATGACGTAGTCAGCAACATCCCAAAGCCGCTCCCCGAGCTCAGTCGTGTTGGTGAAGGTCACACCTTTGACTTTGGTGACAATGCTGCTCTGCAGGGAGGTGTCAGTGTCTTGGTAACCCTTCTTTACCAGGAACACCCAACTGCAAGGAAAGGGCCAACAGGTGGGCATCAGCCTCATTGCTGCCCTCAGGGAATCTTCCCCCGAGGTTTCACCTTTCCCACCAGCTCCTAGGCTGGGGTCACAACTCCACTGCTGCCTAAAACCTCGTCCTGCAAACAGCAGAGGTGACAAGCAATCCCAGAACCAGGAGACGACTGCTCTCAGGGGCTGAGGCCCTGAAGATAGCCAAGGCTGAGCCAAAACCTGCACACCCACGCCCTAGTGATGTGACCTCAGGAGAGCCAATGAACTCTGGGGAGTTAGTAACAGTGCCTCTCTTCCAGACGGGGAGGGGTTGAGGGTGAGGACAGTTAAAAGAGATGGTGCGTAACATGAAACTATTCATTAACAGAAGTTCTTTTTAAAAATATTTTATTTATTTGAGAGAGAGAGAGAGCATGAGCAGGGGGAGGGGCAGAGGGAGAAGCAGACTTCCCACCGCGCAGGGAGCCCGATGCAGGACTCAACCCCAGGACCCCAGGATTATGACCTGAATCGAAAGCAGGGGCTTAAATGACTGAGTCACCCAGAAGCCCCAACATGAAACTATTCATGAGGAAACCTCAGACAAATCCAAACTGAGGGGCACTCTACAAAACGAGAGTACAAATCCTATACTCTCTAATGCCCAAAACACACATAATAAAAGAAAAAATAGATAAGTGGAATTTCAACAAAATTAAAAACTTTTGTACATCAAAGGACACTATCAAGAAAGTGAAAAGATAATCCACAGAATGGGAAATAATATTTGCAAATCATATATACTGGTCAGGGTCTGGTACCCAGAATATATAAAGAACTCTTACATCCACAATAGCCAAACTGTGGAAGGAGCCTCAATGTCCTTCGACAGATGAATGGGTAAAGAAAATGTGGTCTCTATATACAATGGAATATTACTCAGCCATCAGAGAGGACGAATATCCACCATTTGCTTCAACGTGGATGGAACTGGAGGTTATGATGCTCTGTAAAGTAAGTCAGTTGGAGGAGGACAATCATCATGGTTTCACTCATACCAGGGAATATAAGAAATAGTGAAAGGGATTATAAGGGAAAGGAGAGAAAATGAGTGGGAAAAATCAGAGAGGGTGACAAAGCATGAGAGACTTCTAACTCTGGGAAACAAACAAAGGATTGTGGAAGGGGAGGTGGGCAGGAGGTTGGGATAACTGGGTAACTGAGGAGAGCACTTGACGGAATGAGCACTGGGTATTATACTATATGTTGGCAAATTGAATTTAAATTTAAAAAAGGGAAAAAAAAAAAAAAGAACTCTTACAGCTCAGCAATGAAAAAAATAACCTGATTGAAAAATGGGCCAAGGGCAGCCCCGTGGCCCAGCGGTTTAGTGCCACCTTCTTCCCCGGGGTATGATCCTGGAGATCTGGGATGGAGTCCCACGTTGGGCTCCCTGCATGGAGCCTGTTTCTCCCTCTGCCTGTGTCTCTGCCTCCCTCTCTCTCTCTCTGTCATGAATAAATAAAATCTTAAAAAAAAAAAAAAGAAAGAAAAATGGGCCAAGGATTTGAGTATACATTTCTCCAAAGATACACAGATAGCCAATAAGCCCATGAAAAGAATTTTGCTCAACATCATTGATTACTAAGGAAATGAAACTCAGAACCACAATGAGATACTATTTCACACCAAATAAGGTGACTATAATTTAAAAAAAAAAAAAGCAAAATAACAAGTGTTGGTGTGTTGATGAGGATGCAGAGAAATTGGACCTCGCTGATATGAATATACTGCAGCTGCTGTGGAAAACAGCTTGGTAGTTGACCCACCAACTTCATGCCAAAATATATACCCAAGAGAACTGAAAACATATATCCACACAAAAACCTGTACATGGCCGTCCTTGGCTACATTAACTGTGACAGCCAAAAAGTAGAAACAGTCCAATGTCTGTCAACAGATAAATGAATAAACAAAATGTGGGTACCATTCTGCCATAAAAGGAATGAAGTCCTGATTCAAGTTATGAGTAAACCTTGAAAACATTATAAATGAAGAAGCCAGACCCAAAAAAGACTACATGTTGTAGAATTTGATGTATATGAAATGTCCAGAAAAGGTAAATCTATACAGATGGAGTTGTACAATTTGATGTATATGAAATGTCCAGAAAAGGTAAATCTATAGAGATGGAAAGAACATTAGTATTGTCAGGGGCCGGGGGTCAGGCAGTATTCCGACTGCCAGCTAATAGACATGGGTTTCTTTTTGGGGTGATGGAAAGGTTCTGACATAAGATAGTGGCAATAGTTGTACAACACTGAGAATGAACTAAAAACCACTGAATTGTATAATTTTAAATAACTGAAATGGTGGGCAGCCCTGGTGGCGCAGCGGTTTAGTGCCGCCTGCTGCCCAGGGCGTGATCCTGGAGACCCAGGATCAAGTCCCATGTTAGGCTTTCTGCATGGAGCCTGCTTCTCCCTCTGCCTATGTCTCTGCCTTTCTCTCTGTGTCTCTATGAATAAATAAGTAAAATCTTAAAAAAAAAATAACTGAAATGGTGAATTACATACTAGGTGACTTTTACTTCAATTAAAAAGTTGTAATAAAATAAAAATCCTGTACTTTTCGAAAAAAGTCAATGTCATGAAATACAGAGTCTCAGGTACAATTCCAGATTAAAGGGGACTAAGAAGATAAGTCAAATGAATGCAAGGCAGGATTTCAGATTTTTTTTTTTTTGCTATTAAAGGCAATTTATGAGGTCCATAGGTTAGAAAATAATATTGTTTCAGGGTTAATTACCTAATTTCCATAACTGTACTTTGTTAAATAAGAGAATTTGTTGGTTTTAAGAAATATGCACTGAAGTATTTAATAGTAAAGGGGTATAATGTCTGCAACTTACACTTTCTTTATAGATTTATTTATTTATATACTTGAGAGAGGGAGCACTTGAGTGGGGACAAAAGCAGAGAGAGAAAGAAGCAGACTCCCCACTAAGCAGGAAGCCCAACACTGGGCCAGATCTCACACCCTGATGTCATTACCTGAGCCCACGCACAGCTGATGAGCCATCCAGGTGTCCCTGCAATTCACTCTTAAGCAGAAAAAACTACATGTATACACACACATCATGCGTATGTGGAGAAAAAAAGTGGAAAGGACAACTCAAATGTAGTGAAATGCTAACATCTGGGGAGTCTAGGTGAAGGATGTTTTAAAAAGTTTGTACTACCCCTGTAACTTTTCTGTAGGTCTAAAATGATGTCGAGGGGATCCCCGGGTGGCTCAGCGGTTTAGCGCCTGCCTTTGTTTGGCCCAGGGCATGATCCTGGATTGAGTCCCATGTCAGCTCACTGCATGGAGCCTGCTTATCCCTCTGCCTGTGTCTCTGCCTCTCTCTGTCTCTCTCTCTGTGCCTCTCATGAATAAATAAATAAAATATTTTAAAAAATAAATAATAAAAATAGACCTGCCCTACGACCCTGCAATTGCACTGTTGGGGATTTACCCCAAAGATACAGATGCAATGAAACGCCGGGACACCTGCACCCCGATGTTTATAACAGCAATGTCCACAATAGCCAAACTGTGGAAGGAGCCTCGGTGTCCATCGAAAGATGAATGGATAAAGAAGATGTTGTCTATGTGTACAGTGGAATATTACTCAGCCATTAGAAACGACAAATACCCACCATTTGCTTCAACATGGATGGAACTGGAGGGTATTATGCTGAGTGAAGTAAGTCAATCAGAGAGGACAAACAGTGTATGTTCTCATTCATTTGGGGAATATAAATAATAGTGAAAGGGAATATAAGGGAAGGGAGAAGAAATGTGTGGGAAATATCAGAAAGGGAGACAGAACATAAAGACTCCTAACTCTGGGAAACGAACTAGGGGTGGTGGAAGGGGAGGAGGGCGGGGGGTGGGGGTGAATGGGTGACGGGCACTGAGGGGGGCACTTGACGGGATGAGCACTGGGTGTTATTCTGTATGTTGGTAAATTGAACACCAATAAAAATAAATTTATTATGAAAAAAAGAAAAATAAATAAATAACAAAAAAATAAAAATAAAATGATGTCGAAATCTAAAAAAAAAAATTATTTTTTAATGATATGGCACATGTAAATTGCTTAGCACCGTGAGTACCCAGCCAGGGAAGAAAATAAATACAACCATCAGCCTATTGTGGACATTACTGTTAAGGTCAGAGCCTGCCCAGATTAATCCCTTGGGAAAGTGGGGAAAATGAAGGCCATGAGAGGGCAGGAGGCAGCCAGCCTGAGGTTATGCCGGGAGGAGATTGCCCTGTACCTCCCAGGGTGCCAGTGAGGGTTCTCTGTGTAGCAGGTGCCCACCAGGATGTGCCCAGGCTCTTCTGCTCTGGGGCAGACCTAGACTAGACTCTCCTGTCCTCAAGGGAACCTGAGAGGGCTGTGACAATGAGTGGGACACAAAGGGCACAGCCTGGACAGAAATATTCGGCAAATGCTCAAGGAACAACACACATTCATTTCACACCTACTTCCTAAGCAGTTAGGTGATGCCATGCCTGCCTTCAGGGTGTCCCCAACTTGGATGGGCGTCCGACATTAAGGGAACGATCCCTCTGGAACATATCAGAGGAGTTATTCAAGAACCTGGGTCTGAAGGACCAGTGGGCTCTAATCAAGCGGAGGAGCAGAGGCACGCCGGCTGAGAAGCAGCATGTACAAAGGCCCTCAGGTGGGAGGCATTGGCGTGCCTGGGGGACGCAGCTCTAGGGGCCCTTCGCTTCCTAGTGAAGTGGCCCTCCCATGAAGAGCTGTGCTGCTCCCCCAGTCAGGAAATAGGAAGGCCTCAACAGCATTCACTGAGGCAGTAAGAGAGGCACATGTGCCACCCACTCACGTGGTATCATTTCCTCCTAACACCTGTTTCTTCCTTCCTTGGAGGTTGGGGCTCTGAACAGTGCCTGGCTGAGCTGCCCTGTCCCCTGACGGTGGGAGGGGGTGAAGGGGAAGGGAAGCCCAGCTGGGTGAGGGTAGAGGGCCTCTGGGCAGGACTCCCTGTCGACACCAGAGAGGCCAGCCAGGGGTGGGGTGAGTCCACCAGAAGGCAGTGCTGGGACATGCCAGGCTGATGGGCTGCCCCAGCCAGGAGCTCAGCGCATGAGCTCCGTGATTATAAATAACCCACCGGGTGCCTGGGCCTGCACCAGGCCAGCAGGCCAGGGAGGCTCTCGCGGCAACAGCTGGAGCCTAGCCCCCTGCACCTCTCCCCCTCGGGTGGCCCTAACACCCAGAGCTCCGCCCGTGAGTCGGAAGCTGCCCCCATGAAGGACGCAGAAGTCTCCCAGGGGCTCATCACCTCCGGGGCGGGTGGGCAAACAGAGGGCTCCCTCTTTACCCGCCGCCCTCACGCCCAAGAGCCCCTTCCCCAGCACGGGGGCCGCACACCAGTCCCTGGGCCCTGGAGGGGCACAGCTGCGGCCAGAGCCTCCCCCACCCTTGAGAGCCCCCGGAGAACTCACACCACCAGGTAGGTCAGGATGGAGACCTGCAGCAGCCGGTAGAGCAGGCCCACCTTCTTGTTCTTGGCGATGACATACTTCTCGGTCTTGTAGTCGAACAGCGCCTGGGAGAGCCCTTTGCAGCCCGCCTGCCCCATGTCGCTGTCTCACCTGCGCCTGCGGCCCCTCGCCCTGCGGCTGCCGCATGGGAGCCGCTCTCGCCGCTGCCGGCCGTCTGCCCCGGGCTCCTGGGCACAGCGTCCGCCAAGGGCAGGAGCGCCGGGCGGGCGCGCGCGGCGCGCAGCGGGGAGCACGGGGGGCGCGCAGCGGACGGAGCGCGGGGGGCGGAGCGCGGGGGGGGGGGCGGGGGTGAGGGGGCCCGGCAGCGGCGGGTGGTGGCGCTGGGAGCGACCTTGCCGCCGCCTCGCCCTCTTCCTTCCCGCCGCTTCCTCCCGGCCTGCAGGCATCCCTAAGGCGTAGGCCGCGCATGAGCCACCACCCACCCCCACCCCCGCCAGAAATCAGATATCTGGCACTGGAGGAGCAGGGGCAAGGAGATGAGAGTAGGAAGGGCAGCTTTTCTACTCCCGGAGCAACTCTGGGGTGGGGGTGGGGGGTGAATTGATTGAATAAATGGGGAAACTGAGGCCAGGGGAGGCAGGACCTACAGCGCAGGAAGTGAAGAGGGAATAAGGAGCATTTGCGGGGCTTGATTTAGGGGGACCACGATTCTCACCGCGGGCTGGGAGAGAGTCTTGCCAGATTCATGGCTCCTGTAACCCCTGTGATGAAGTGTGTGTTCCCAGGGCACCCGCTGCTCGCCTAGAACCCAGCCTCCCTGGGAGCCAGTTGCCAAGCAGGCCCCAGCACCCACAGCATAAAGAACTCTGTACCACACCTAGGATAGACAGGTGGTCTGGGGGCGTGGAGATGCAGGCAACCACGACCCAGGATCACAAAATATGCCGGGAGAGAGTTCAAACCAACTGTCTGAAATGTTCCCAAAGCAAGAGAAGGGCCTAATCTAGGCTGCTCAAACTGTACCCCTCCTCACAACAGGTGAAATTAAATGAGAGGGAACAGGCACTGGGATGAAGGCGGGCATCTCTGAGATCAGTTTTAGAACTTGTGACAGCCACAGCGAGGCAGGCCCCTGTGTTTCTACATCCTGCCATCTGACCAGAAGCAGTCCTGATCCTCTCTCTACCCTGCCTCTGAGAAGTTCCCTTCCCTGAACCATAGGCTCCAGGGGTTGGAAGGGTCCCAAAAGTTCATCAAGGAGACTCTCTCTAAAAGTAAAAGCTACAGGGCAGTAAGTGTCCAGTTTGGCACAGAATCATTTGGAAGAAAAATGCAAAATCCCTGTGCCCTGCGCCTAATACTTTCATTCCATAAGTCTAGGATGGGGCCTGGGAATCATGCTCTCAAATTGTAATTTGGGATGCACAGATCCTTGCATCTTTTCATCAAATTCAAATGCCATTTCCTGGGGCACCTGGGTGGCTCAGTGGTTGAGCGTGTCTGTCTTTGGCTCAGGACGTGATCCTGGGGGTCCTGGGATCGAGTCCCACATCAGGCTCCCCATGAGGAGCCTGCTTTTCCCTCTGCCTGTGTCTCTGCCTCTCTCTCATGAATAAATATTTTTTTAAAAAATCAAATGCCATTTCCTCAAAAGGTGTATCTTATTAACTGCCCCCAAAATTTGGCCTCTACCCCAGTCACTTTCTATCCCATTACCCTTCCTTATTCCCTGAAAGCACTGGTTATTCTTGGATAGAATCTTGTTTACTTATTGACTGTGTCCCCACTAAGACCATAAGCTCCTGTAGCATGGGAACCTTGCCTTTGGACATCTCTGTGTCCTATGCCCACTGCTGTATCTGCCATATCTTAGCTCAATATGTATTTGTCCACTGAGTGAACAAACTCAGGCCTGATTTTTTAAATAGGAGAGATATGGAGCTGCCACTCTGTCCCAGTCATGACTGGGAATTTTATTTATTTTTAAAGATTTTATTTATTTATTCATGAGAGAGACAGAGGCAGAGACACAGGCAGAGGGAGAAGCAGGCTCCTCAAGGGGAGCCTGATGTGGGACTCAATCCCAGGACTCTGGAATCATGACCTGAGCCAAAGGCAGATGCTCAACCACTGAGCTACCCAGGGGTTCCATGACTGGGGATTTTAGAAGCTGATGTCATCCTGGGGGGAAGGCTTGGGAACTGTCACCAGACCTCCCTTCCTCACATTCCTACCAGCCTCTTCCTCAGTCTTCCTCTCACATGACTTTCCAATACTCAGAGGAGAGGCAGCCTCAATGGGTGACATGACACCTATAAAGATTCCATCATCCTGAGTCTAGGAGGAAGGTAGCCTTTTGAGGTCTCAAGATCTGGCCTGAAGAAGAGCTGGGCTGAAAAACACCCCCACCAGGCCCCCTACCCTTGCCTTAAGCCGCATATAGGACGGTGCCACATTGGGTTCCTCCACTCCCCAAAGTGAGTTCCAGGGCTTGTGGCCTGGCCTGTTTGTTCTGAAGGCACAAAGAGCTGGGCCTTCATTTCAATTTCACAGGTTGGGTAACTGAGGCCCCAGGTCAGAGGGCAGAGCCTACAAGTAGCCCCAGTCCAGGACCCTCTCCCCTGGTCCTCCTTGCTCAGCCCTTTACTGAGTACCTATTGTGTGCTGCTGCCAAGGCTGAAATGCAAGGCCCCCTGCCCTGGGTGTGTGGCTCATCCTAACTGCCGCTCTGCGTTTAGAGAAAGGGTTCTGCTTTTATCTGTCCACCAGTGTAGGCAGCCCCTCCTGAACCTCCATGACTCAGCTAAGACCAGGCTCCACTTTCTGATAGAACGATCCTAAAGCTTTAGGGACCACATGGGGGAAACTAGGAGGGGAAAGGAACACTCTTAGGGGTCAGGCCAGATCCCTCCTGTGGGCTTACTCACAGGGAAGCATCTTAAACTACTAGGTCCAGACCCATCAGTGGGTCATGATATCAATTTACTGGGTTACAAACAGCATATCCAAAACAGAGAGACAGGGACACCTGGGTGGCTCAGCAGTTGAACGTCTGCCTTTGGCTTAGGGTGTGATCCTGGAGTCCCAGAATTGAGTCCCACATTGGGCTCCCTGCATAGAGTCTGCTTCTCCCTCTGCCTGTGTCTCTGCCTCTCCCTCTCTGTGTGTCTCTCATGAATAAATGAATAAAATCTTAAAAAAAAAAAAAAAAAAAGAGACAGATATCAGTGTGCTTATTAAGGAAGTAGGGTAGGCATAGTTTCAAGAAACTGGTGTTTGAAGTATGAGTGTGTGCATATGATGTGGAATGTATTTCTTCTTGTGGGTCACAGTCAAAACACCATGAAAAATGCTTCTAGAAAGCTGCAAACCCAAGTATCTGCATACTACATCCATAAGGGAGGCCAGCTCATCCCCCCCACAAGTTCAGCTTGACACTCAATATACCCAAAGTGGGAGGAGGAACCTATGCTTTTTATACTTCCATTATTATAAAATTCAAAGTCAGAGATATTTCCAAAACCAAGATGTATCCTCTACTTGAAAGAAAACTGCCTATTGCTTTTGAGTGACAGTTTCTCCAGTTTCTACCTAATCCATAATTTTAAGAGCCCCCAAGCACCTTGTCCAGTGATCTTCACCAGTGAAGATGTCTCAGCACACACTACTTGCTCAACACTCTTCTAAATGCCATTAAGTGTATGGGCATATTTAATCATCACAACCCTAACACCTATGTGGTTGGTACAGTCATTATCCTTATTTTTTCCCTAAGGGGCTAGATATGTCTCCTAGCAAGCATCTGAGCCAGAATTTAAATCCAGGTGATCTGGCTCCCCAGCCCAAGCAATGATCTCCACTGTCACCATAAGCACAGTGCTTTACAGTTTCCACATGAACTCATTTGACTCACTCTGTGAGCCCAGCCAGAGAGGTGACTGTCAATCCCATTACACATCTGATGAACAAGGTCTAGGTCTCCCAGCCATCCACTCAGGGCTCAGTCCTCTAGAACTTGTGGCTTCTCTGGATGACATTTAGTAAGCTTGCACATTTGCCCTGCTACTGTGGAGGGAGGCCACTGCCAAGGCCCAGTCATATAGGGCTCCTCAAAGGGCAACAGATTTTCTCATGATGCCAGAGTGAGGGGTCAAGAGAATGGGCACCTTCTGTGGCAGCTCCCACTGCTGCTGGGGCAGAGAGCATCTTGGCATGCCAATAACTGACTAAGTGCCTTGAAATTAGAGTTTCTGGGTCAGGGGTCAGGAGTTAATGGCGTGTCTTCAGAGTAGTCAAAACCCCTCCTTGATTTACCACCATATTCCTTCCCTCTCCTCTCCCAAAGTCTACATGATGCTTTATTATGAGTGTTGTGCACTTGAAAGAAGGATTGGCAGCGAGTGAACCATTCTCATCCAGTTCACAAGACTTCGTCTAGCTGAATAACCTAAGGTACCAGCAGTAAACTGATGGGGATTATAAAGTGAATTTCTAAATGCCATTTTTTTCTTTTTATATCATCTCACTTGCTCCTGAGGCTTGCCAACACGTTAAGCCTTTTGCCCTGTGTGGTTTGTACACACAGCTGTGGCCATCTTGGTCTGCTCTGGGTCTGGGGACAATCTCTAGTTAAAAACATGGTGGATCCTTGGGGTACCTGGGTAGCTGAGTCGGTTGAGCATGTGACTTGATTTTGGCTCAGGTCATGATCTCTGGGCCCTGGGATCAAGCCCTCTGTCAGGCTCTATGCTCAGCAGGGAATCTGCTTAAGGATTCTCTCCTTCTCCCTCTGTCCCTACCCCTGCTCATGTTCTCTCTAGAATAAATAAGTAAATATTTTTTTAAAAATGTGGTGGATTCTCAAGTGTTGACATTGAAACTAACAGAGCCTCCATATGTCCCCCTAAAGAAATGTGTTCGACTTTCTACTTAGTGGAAAATGGGCCCTCCTGACTCTGATTCCAACCTTTTCCCCATATCATTCTCTCTTCCTTCTCCTATGAATTTTATAGATTATAAGGGAGGAAGTATGGAGCAATAGAGTGAGCCTTGGAGTCTGGAGAATTACAAGGAAATCACCCCTTTAATGAAGAAAAACTCCCATTCTGTAGGAGATGAGAGGGAGCTTCTAAAATGGAAAGCACTGGCTGGCTCAGGTGGGTGGCTGCATGAGAGTGGCCAATAGCATTACTGTGTTTCTATCAGAGGCTTGAAGGTATCATTTGGTCACCCTGTGGCCTCCAAAGATACACGGTTCCTCCTTTTCCCCTCTAGCCTTA